TATTTTTTCATTCTCAAGAATTGGTAGAAAGGAGCAAAACAGTTGCACTAAAAAAACAAAAAATGTTAGCAAAACAGTTATATAAAATATGTATTAATAATTTTCACATTAAATTGTTGTCAATCAGTCAACATTAGGCCATAAGAAGTAGATTCTTTGTTTTGCGTCCCCTTGCATGCACGATTTTGAGTAAATCAGAAAAAAACAAACACATCCAAATAGCAATCACAAGGGTCTTAAAGTACCATCGCATTTCGTTCAATCAGAATCAGATGAAATGATGGATAATTTGATGTGCGTCAAAATTGACAGTGTTATAATTACTTTGGCATACATTGTGTATTTTCTTATTTTTTACCCTTGAATAATAGCTATGTTTATTTATTGTATAAATGTATATAGATATGTGTTTGTAATCACTGCAAATTGGTATGTCATCCCTTTTTATGGCCATAAAATGTATACATTTCTCAGCAAACAAGTTTGTGTTTTTTCTTGAGTTTGTGTTTGATTTCCTTGTACCCTTGCATGGTTTTGCCAGGACGAAAAACAAAGAATCTACTTCTTATGGCCTTACATAAAATACCGTGACGGTGTTTTTTACTGAATGTTTTCAATGATTGGTTTAAGAGAAAAACATTGTTGAATTCAGTTCTCCATATCGATACCAATCCTTTCAGAAGAGAAAAACTAGTACCTTCAATATTCAGTCCAAACATGAAACGACTTTGAAATGTCCTTCGTTTCGTTACTAGAGAATTCTACCATACCATAAGCCTACTGTATCTCCGAAAACCAGACGCCGAAAAGATTTCTTAAATATTCAGTTATAGTCACGACGTGCCTTTAAAAGTTTAACTACTTTTGATCTCTACTTTTAATCTCTTTATCTCTATCTGACCAACATGGTACAATCAGAAATTTAACTGATTTTTAAATTTCAGTCTTGGGCAGAGTTTCATCAAAGGGCATTTAATGATGCCCATCCACGATTGCTTCTACATTGTAGTAATTGCTCTATGATTTTTACTGGATTTCAGAATTTTCGAAAAGTTAACAAATCCAAGAATATTAGAGCTGGCTTTTATCTTTTTGACCTCAAAGGGCCGATGGTCGAAAATGAAAGATTTCAACTTTCCAATGGTATACTTTGAGGCAGAATCAGATCTATAGGGAGTGACAAAATTGCAAAAATGTACATTTGACCTACCAATGTGTTCCTTACAGGCTCAAATATAATATATCCCAAAAGATCCATGATATGTAATTTATTGGTGAGTTATTAAATATTTAAGATTGAAAGTGCAAAAATGGGGGAATATATTTAAATTCTCCCAAATAATAAAAAGGTAACCATTCTTATTGACAATTTATTGCATCATTGTGAAAATCTCTCGTTTTCCTCAGATAAATACTTGGAGTATTTTTAGAAAATAGACAAGGAATGATATGAACCCAAATTACTGTAGAATTGAAACGTCAAGATAAAGCAATCTGACAGCCAATCTCTTCCCTTGCAAGAAAAACATGCGTTTGTGTGACATCTATAATGAGTAAAGCAAATAAATTGTAAACAAAATATTGAAGAAGCACATGGTGTGTGTGACATCTATAATTGTAGTACATAAAATGTAGTTGGTCACATCCACGCGGACAACGTTCTAAGGCTTTATTGGTCTTTTATGAACGAAAAATATGCTAATGACAAACACATTTATAACAGTTTTTCCTTAAAACAGTCTTGATGAAATATCGAAACCTAAATAATTCTGTCACTGGTCCATGATCATGGCCCCTCTGCACTCATTCTTAATCTTGCACCTTTAAAAGAGGTTGGTGCATATTTTGACTATTTAGGAGTGCAATTTGATTTGAAATCAAAGATGAGATCACATCTGTAGTATTCCATATTTGTTTCTAAATATCATTGAAACATATAAAGGATATTCTAATATGCAAAGACATTATTCAACCAAAGAGGTGAGTAATTTTACCAACTAATTAATTTGTATCAACAAAACAGCCAGTTAGGGTTAATGTGAAATATCCTCTTACTTTTGAATATTATCTATAAGTTAACATATCTGGTTGTTCTTAAATCATGTTGTCATCATCACCTGAACTTAATTTTTCACAAAAAAGATACTAACACTCATATAAAGTAATAGAGCATTCCGTCTAAAAAATGTGGGACAGATGAAATCCAATCAAAGGGTCAACATCCATTCGCAAAGCCATCGTCGAAATGCATATAACCCAACCATATAACATGCTCCTTTGCAAATCTTGGTTACAACCCTTCGTTCAGGAATATGTATCTGACACATTACATTGGCATTGATACTGTTGTTATTTAAAAACATTATCTTTTTAACACCAATGACACCAATGACAAATGACACACTATTTCAATAATAAAATGTTTTATCCTATGCCAAGTAGAATTTTAGGGAGATAAGTTAGTAAGATATATCCCGTATCCTGATTTTGAGGTTTCCATATCCAGAACCTCCATATCTCCCGCTATATCTCCCGCTTCGGTGCATATATTCCCGCTTCGGTGCATATCTTCCCGCTTCCGATAAGTAGTGGAAATGCAATAAAATGACTTTGCATATGAATGATTTGTTTATTTTTACACCTTGTACTATTGAAATGACCATATGCCCCTGAAAACTCTACTTGGTATAGGATAAAGCAGTTATGTACGGTCGGTTTGGACATTGGGTTCACCCCTCGTAAGATATGCATATCTCCCTCTGGACAAACCCCATATCCAAAACCTCCCAGTACATAACCCTTATATATCTAATGTGCCACTTCAATGTTTTAGCATATCAAAAATATTTTCCAACATAATTCACTCTACTATACCTTACACCTAGAAATGCATAAGATACCTTGTTTGTCTCATTGTTTTTGTATATTTTTTGAAAGTACCTTAGTAACATCTAACATTCAACCGATAAACCATTAATAAGGAACAGACAAATAAAAACAAATACTTAATCATTACTAATAAGCCAAATGGGTTGCTCATGAACACCAAATGCAAGGTATAGTAGAGTGTAATTGACCTCATCGTGACATCACTCGGGTGGCAGAAACTTTTTGAAACTATTGAACATTTTTCCATGTCAATCTTTTCTAAATATGCTTAACTTCAAAAATAAACCAATGTTGATAGTCTAACCAGGTTGAAGGAAGACTATATTATGTTTTAAATATTATTGTACCATTGGTTTCTATGAGAACTAAAATTTTGAAATTCTGAACCACTTTCATGCATGGATGAATTCATTTCTCGCTTATTTATCAACCAGTTTGTCGACAAAAACACGTGAGGATGAATGCTGCATTTGTGTGATCAGTTATGAAAAGATACATGTGACCTCTTATACTAGTAGCTAGATTTAAATAAAGTCATGATTTTTCAAACAACAAATCCTCCAGAAACCACTTTTTGATATTGAACAAAAAATTTCACATATCGCACTTTGATAACATTTGCCAAGACTACAATATAAGTCAAAGTGGTGTAAACTTTAAATGGGGGCTTTAATTTAGAGATTTCAAATGATACAAAATACACAAAAGGGTATAAATAAAATCCATACTTTTCAAAGTATATGATTAATTATTTAAAACTCTCCAGAGTACCCAGCATGTCTCTATTCTATTCAAAGACATCGATTCCCATCATTTTGATTCACAATGATGGAGTCACATGCAAAGTGACGTGCAAATAAAATCTAGAGAACTAATTTATATACAAGAGGGAAACGGTGGCGGATCTGGGAACCAACAATGAGGGGGGGGGGCAAACTTCTGGAGTGAGAAAAAAAATTTCGGGCCCCTAAAACCAAAAAGTGGGCCCAAATTTTGAAATCTTGAGGCCCATTTTCTTCAAAATTTGGCATAAAATTAAAAAATAAGGCTTTAGAAGGCCCATTTATTACCAAAAAGGCCCACTTCATGGGGCCTTAAGGCCTTTTATGGCTCAAAATCTTTTTGGGCCCAATTTTTTTCTGGGCCCACCAAGGGGGGGGGGGACGGGCCATTTCTAAGGGCTATATTTTCAGATGCATCCAACATTTTTGTTATATTTTCAAATGCCCTCAATGGGATTATATTTTTGAATGCCCTACATTGGGGTTATATTCTCAGATGGCCTACATTGGAGCTATACTTCATATTGATAAGTTGTTACTACGTGTACGAGGATCGTTCAATAAATACTAATTCAGTTCATTTGAAGCTTGTATTTTTGAAGGAAAAAATAATGAATTCACAATTGAAATCAGTACTCTTTGTATGTTTTATTTAATTCAATCTCCTCGGTTCGGTTCATCGCAGGGTATGATCGTAATTAATAGGGTTAATAAGTAGGGTTGATTAAAAATGAACACAAAGCGACATAATTTGTGAATATTAAAATATTAAAGGGGCAACAAGGACTGTAGAGAGAAAATTCGAAAAAAATTCTGAGCTATCAGGTCAATATTTGGCTTGACATCTTCTTTGACATACCTCTGTTCTTAAAATATCTCGATAAACCATCAATTTCAGCATTAAGAAGTGTTAATTCAGTCCAACGCTTCTATAAAGGGAGTCCCAATTTGATTTTAAAGATCGATCAACCAATGGTTTCAAGAGGAATATCAGCTGAAATAATGTTCATCCAGGGGGTTTCTTTGTAGATCATCGACTAGTGTCAAAATATAGTTAGTTTGGATATTTCCATAGGCAAGATAGAAATAATATTTTAAAGAAAGATGGCATGGTAATCGATCTGTGTTTTTTATAAATAAAGATAAATAAAGAAAAAGATAATACTGGATTCTGTTGGTGCTGCCATCTATATCGGCCCAGAACCTATGGTAAAGGTTGTGGATCCCACAATATGGGCAGTCAATGATTTTTGAGAAGCTGAAAGTAACGGATTGCCTAATTTTATCTAGACCAATCAAATCGCTGGAACATCTTCAGTCCTTATCACAGTCAATATTCTGCAAAAATAAAAAGTTTTACTTTTCGGACGTTTACCTGTTTTAAAGCACTATCAATACACATATATGATCACATACTGATACGTTACGCATTGGAAACATTTTGCAAATAGAATTGGTAAGTGTATAGATAAAATGGGTCGATATTTGAGCTTGAAATCGACATTTCAAAAAATTAATTTCCCGAAAATTGAAAAAAAACGAAGTGTCTGGAGTAGATCTACCTTAAAATTTAAGGCTCTTTAGCCAAAATGCTAAAGAGCCTTAAATTTTATTCGTAAAGGCTAGAGTACCGACAATAGTCGGTACTCTAGACTCTGATGTGGTGGCACGCTAGAGGACCGACAAATAAATTGTCGGTACGGGAGATATGCTGTGTTTACACGCTAGAGGACCGACAAATTTTGATTTTCGAATTTTCTGGCGCATGCGCAATGCGCGGGGGGATATTTCAGATATCATAAGGATATTTTGGGAACAAGTGCAAAACCCGGGGAGGGCATTAGCCCGGTTACCCGGGGATTACCAAACCCAGTCAAAAAATGGTAGCCCGGGAACGGGGAATGGTAGTTAACGTTGAAAACCCAATAAAAAACATGAACAAGTAAGACGTTAGAGAGCTATTAATGCAGAGTAAACGGCTATATATATTCTAAACAGACAGGATATTTCTCCTGAGCCGATCAGGCGTAGAAAGGGGCGTTTGCTACCCATTAGATAGAAGAAAATAGCTAGAATGTTTTTTATTTGAAGCTTATGGTATGAGGTTCCATATCCATCCGCCAAAAGGTATGACCCCTATATAGTCCATTTAAAAACCTGTGGTATCATTCTAAATAACCCATAGTTGGCTTCTAGGGTACCTAGTATGCCACTATTTGGTATCAAAATAAAGAGGAGTTCAACTTTCATTTGAATTACGAAAATAGCGATGTAGGTGAAAATAGTTCCGAACGTGAGCATGTTTACTACGCGTTTGCCCGTCATATCAGAATTGAGGAAGTGGTAGCAAACGCAAGTTACAATAAACGGACGCTGATATCTCAAAAAGTAACCTGACTCCCTATAATTTGATGTAGGTCAATCGAACCCCTATATGGACAGGTGCATTTTGATATATAACACTATGGGGGGTAAGCGTTTCATAGTTGGTCACGAACGCCATATGTGCAAAGTATTGTTATGAATTTTCGAATTTGGTGTTGGATTACGGTACTCATACCTTATAGCACAATTTTTGATGGAAGTTGCATTTGGCTCCCTTAGTTAATGGCCACGATTCCATCTCGCATGAGAGAGCTACCAAACGCAATTAAAGTAAACAGTGATATATTCCAAATGAGATATTTCTCCTGTGCCATTGCGTAGTAAGGGTAGAGAGCGACGGGGGCGAAAGCATCCCCTCCCCTAACTGTATATATCAACCCATTAGATAGAACAAGAAAAGAGCTTTAAAATGTTTTTTAATTGAAGTTTGTAGGACAATTTTGATGGAAGTTGAATCAATTTTTGTCGAAAATTTTTTTTGTACGATTCCATACTGGAAAAGAAGCACTATGCCCCCCCCCCCTCAAAAGAAAAAAGAAAAAAAAGTAGGTCTTGCCGGGATTCGAACTCGGGACCGAATGTGTCCAAGTTGTGCTCGCTCACCACTAGACTACCATTGAATTGGTTATTTCTAAAAGTAAAAGTAGTGGTTTTATTTATGAAATTATCGGCTCTCTAGCAAAAACACGTAGCAGCCACTTGCGTACGGACAATTGTCGGTTCTCTATCTGGCACTACTAGCAGTGTTGTCATTAACAGCCGGTCCACTGGTCATTATCTGGTTACTTTTGATACGGACCAGTTGATTTTTTCACTAGGTATAGGAAAATAACATTGCAACTGGTCCGTAATATCATTTTGACCAGCAGGTTTCAGCCCCTTAGTGTCTACACTGACTACTAGTTGACGATAGAGTGCCGACAATTGTCGGTACCCCAGCAAATACCCCTGGACAGTCTCCAGCCACTCCGTTAAATTTAAGGCTATTTAGCTGTGAACATACAGTAGTGTTTTGGCTAGAGAGCCTTTGTGTTTATAATCCGTGTTTATATTGTTTTTTATTGAAGTTTTCGTCTTCTAAACAATAAAACAACACTCTCGAAAGTTTTTCAACCCAGAATGCCACTTAAAAATTAACACATGTATATCACTATAGAGTTGCAAAAAAATTAGTCCTATCATGGTAAACACTCTGGTATAGTGGTTAGGGTGCTCGCTTTTCACTTCTGCGGCGTGGGTTCGATTCCCCGATGAACCACTTTTTATTTTGAATAACAAGCCGGAAGTTTGTTCTCTGATGTCCGGAAATTATGCACACAATTTTTTCTAGAATTCTTGGGCTTGCTCCATCACTCAATCATCAATGTTTAATGAAATTAATCACTTGTATTGGCTTTGCTATAGTCACGAGAATACAGGGAATCCCATTTTAAGATGGCAAAAAGTATGATGAAGACCTGGGGATGAAAAAGGATCTTGTTTCTTCTAGATCAGCACATCTTGACAAAGTTTATCGTGAATGCAGGGACATCAGCCCAGGGACATCACAGAATACACTTCCAAATATATTGCCCATTAGATTTCAATGCTGATTTTAGAATTTTTCACGTGACGAGATATTTTTGCATAATATTTTCCTCACAAGTGAGAATTTCTAAAAGCACATGAGAGAGCACAAAGAAAATTTACAGTACAAGAGGTGAACTGTCGAGGAAACAGCGGCTTATGCAACACAACAACAACATTTTTATCCTAGCCTCCAATCCATCAATAAATGTCTATACATCAAAATCTTTACTAAACGGACCTTGCGATTTATAGAGGATAAAATGGAAAAAATAACATTTTTCTGGCTATACGTGATTGCCTGGACCTTCTCTGGTGAACCAGAGACATATATTTTCGATATATGCATGAACATCAAACAAACATTTACTTTTCAAAATCGATGTTTGAACCTTTAAAAAGCCAAATTTAGACTGAGGATTGAAAACATTCTTTTATTTCTCTCGGTAGACCGGAAGTAAATTTATGAGTCGAGCAAAAAGTGATAATGTTTTTTTATGAAGTGAAGAAGTCAAAACAGTACTAATAGAAGTCATAGTAAGCATTAGAAGATCATTTAAAACCATATAAATCAAATCGACGGCAAAGTTAGTTGAAATGACTGAAATCTTTATATGTTATCTTCTTCATCTTCGCGGACCTCAGAGAAGACACTTCCGGTTTAATAATCAGTGATTTTATCGATCAAAAAAATTACTTAAAATTTAAGGCTCTTTAGCCGAAATGCTAAAGAACCTTAAAATTTAAGGCTCTTTAGCATTTTGGTAACCCATTTGGCTAGAGAGCCTTAAATTTTAAGGCTCTCCAGGCGCGGCCAAAAAAAAAATGGTGAATGGTAAATCCTATATGGCATAATGATATGGTATATTATTGATGTTTGACCAATCACAAAATGTTTCTCTGACAAGGGCTGAACCAAATGCTGAAATCTGATTGGTCAAACATCAATAATATAGATCTACCGTATAGGATTTACAGGCTACTAGGCCTTATCCCGTACCAGGACTATAGTCCTATAACGAGCGCATTCCTTTGCCTGTATGATTACAACTTGGGAGAATTATCTACGCCCCTTACACTTAAGATACCTACTTCAATAGATTCCTGGGTGTTTTAGCATTCTTTTCGTGTAGTTGAATCCACAATTGTTTGGGTATATCGGCAGAATGGGAACATTTTTTCATCGAAAGATATTCCATCACTTTCCAAGATGGCGGTTGGATTTAAAAGGGGATTCCCCGTTTGACTGACCCGGAAGTGGCCCGGATGTACCAATAAATGGAAGAATTTGACGGTTGAAATAAGTTAAATATTACACGCAAATATTGCGATCAAAAACGAAAATTTCTTTGTTCTGCCGATAAACCCAGACAATTGTGGATTCAACTACACGAAAAGAATGCTAAAATACCAAGGAATCTATTGAAATAGGTATCTTAATTAAGTGTAAGAAGCGTAGAAAATTCTCCCATGTTGTAATTGTACAGGCAAAAGAATAAGACGTTCGCAGGACTATAGTCCTGGCACGGGATAAACTAGGCCTCGCCTTACTTAGTTTGCACAAAGCTATCTCCTGAGAGATATATATAGCTTTGCATATCTTGATATTCCCAGCCCATGTTAAAGGTCTTTTACAAAAATGTAAGAAATCTTGGAAACATTTACCCTACTTCAATCGATGCATAACATTCTAAAGTATCGTTTTTCTAACCATATCAGGCTAGCTAGAGTCGGGAGACAGTGCAGTTGACAAAAAATGTTGAATAGGTGATAATTTTCAAGATGGCTTCTCAGGAAGTTGGGTAATGGGCATAGGCTTCCATGCCATGAAATTTCCTCCTCCGGTTACACGCATGCGCATTGGCAAGACTTCCTGGTCAGACGACATGGAAAATAACAAGTTCCAAATACATTTTTCGTTATAGGATAATGTATGCAATACGTTATTGACAATCCATAACCATCTATCTTGATTTCCAGTTAAAATTCTGATTTTTTAGGCATGTGCCCCCCATGCCCCGTCTAGATCCGCTAGTGAACCTGGTCGAATAATATTCTTGGTCTTTTTCAGGTAGGCCAATAGATGTCAGGATTCATGTTCCTGTGGATGTCCATAGCCATTTGTATTGGTCTCAACTCCAAAAGTACTTTGAATTTGAAAAATGAGGAAATTATATGATATTAATCACTAACTTAGCAGTATGTTCTATGTCCTCTAGCATCTTTGGTTACTACCTGGTGAAACATACAGTGAAGGCAGCAACATTGCAAACATACAGTGAAGGTAGCAATGTTGTTTGCAATATTGTAGAAAGGGCAGCTGATCTACATCTACATCAATAATCCGCAAAAGGCTAATAAGCCCATTTAAAGCAGATATATAGTTTATATAGTGATATAATTTGAATGGAATACAATTTGAACCTTAACATTTATTGATCCATAAAGACTTGAAATGATGCATTGAAATAAGACAGCCCCTAAAATTAAAATGCTAAACAAAAAGTGGTGAGCAATAAATGGAAATTGAAAGATCACAACGTTTGCTTCTTTGTGCATCTATAAATGGGAATTTTTTTTTATTTCCTCATAGTGCCTTGACTGTCTTATTTGATTGAGTTTTACAATGTAACCTAGGGCACTGGAGGAGTGGTAAGTAGATGCATGCTTTATGTCATTTCCTTATTTTTCTAATTAAAAATACTTTATAAAATTTTGGACTTGATTTTAATTGTAATATTTTTTGATATTTACAGATTAATTTGTGAAAATGGACAACCCCTAAAATGATGACATGATAATTGAATATTCTTAAGAAAGTATTTGTACATCCTTATATCACCCCTGAGACATGGCAGGACGGTGGAGCAGTGAGATTGTCGTGGCTGAATACAAAGATTTGCAGGCTAACTGCATGGCCGTGGACTGTTCTGGTAAACATGCTTTACTTTCTGGGTAGGTGAACTTCATATAGTTTTTTTTAGATATTTTTTTATTTTTATATAAAAGCACATGTCATTTCCAATAATTGGGTTTGTTTAAAAAACCGGGTGACCGGGTAGCCGGGTGACTGGGTACCCTACCTTCCTACCAGGGTTAGGAATATGATTTCTTCATTTTATGCCTCAAAACGTCCCAATCAACATACCAGTGACACAACCAATCAAGCAAACAACCAAACAAGCAACAAAATTTATTTACCAATAAATCAACCGGCAAAAGGACAAACAAAATTAATATAATGTCAATCAGTGATGCAATAAATCAAGCAACTAACATTGTATTGTACATCGCACACTAATTAACAGATAAAAAATGGCAAATAACGTTTCAATTTACGCGAAAATTTACGTAAATCTTCCAGATTTGTTTAATATCATGTAGAAATTGCCATCATAGAAAACAATCATTGATATCCTGTCAATCACTCAGACAATAAATCAAGCAACTAACGTCATCATACGTGTAAATAACTACCTAAGACTTTCGAAATTCGGTCTCTTTCAGGTTTATGTGTGCATGTAGTTAAAGGTCTAAAGGCATGAGAGACTTCACCACTTCTTAAAAGTGGATTTTATTGCAACTGGTATTGTTTATTAATGATACAGAAGTTCATAATGTAATGAACATTGCACATGAGTTCTGAATCCTAAGTGCAAGATGGGATAACAGACGCTCCATGAGAAATTATTGTTTACCACTCATCAGGCTCCGATGTAGCTGATCATGGACATGGTCATTTTGTTAAGTAAAGACTGTACTTAATGTTTTTCTAATATTTACAGGAGAAAACTACTTGCCGTTGTTGAACTTGACAAACCTACGGAGAATATTCGTAAAATTCCTCGTCAGAGTAAATGGGAAGTTAGTGCGACTCAATGGAATCCACACTCATCACATAGCAACCTTCTGGTCACTGCGGTAACTATAATAATATTTATTGATGCTGTTTTTTATTAACCTCAGTTTTAATTTCAGTTTCTATCATAGTGGTCTTAAAATTTTAATTTTCAAATTCTGAAGTCAAAATATATTATTCAGAAAAACACATTTACCTAAAACCAGCCAGTTTCTTTTTTCAAAAATGTTAATTTAAATTTTACATGTGAAGTTTTGTGATCCAAACAATTAAAGTTTTGTTATAGGTCATCATCTGAATTTGTTATTTTTGTAGTCAAACCAGAAAGCAGAGGTTATTGGGATTACTGAAGGAACTATAACACAGCAGTGTTCTCTGAAAGCCCATACAAGAGTCATAAGGTTGGTCATCATGCCTTTGGTGCATTGTAGAATGGAATTTTACATATGAAGATGTTGACCTGATGGTGATAGATTAAATGATGTATTGGCAAAGAGTAATCAAGAAAAAGGCAGTCAGTTTTTGCAATCTGTTTCAAAATTACCCCATGATTTTTTTTACTTATGATCTGTAACTTGCGCCATCAATAGTAAATCACTTCCATCTATTCAAGTTATATATAATTTTGGGTAATTTTGAAAACTAAGTAATTGAAATAATATATTTTGTAGTGATTTGGACTGGTCTAAATTTGAGCCAAATATAATCACCACCTGTTCTGTGGACACATATGCCTTTATATGGGATATTCGCGATGCCAGAAAACCTGCCATATCTCTACAAGCTGTAGGTATGTAGCCCTGACTGTACAATATTCCTTTTTCATGATGTCTTTTTATTTTCAAATGGGCTTAAATCGGGTGACAAGTGGATGCAGGTGGATACAGCACCTATGATTTATCTCTCTAGCTACTCGTATGATTTGCTTTTGTAGCTCATGCTTTATAGTTCATATAATTTAAATAATTTACAGCTGTTTACATATATGATTTATGGGGGGGGGGCTTGTGTCATGTGTGTCATTTCAATCGTCAAATGTTACTCTGTTTTGCAGCTGGTGCCTCACAGGTGAAATGGAATAGGGTATCTGGTAATCTCTTAGCAACAACACATGATGGAGATATACGCATATGGGATCCTAGGGTGAGTTAATGTGTGAATTCTACAAATATTAATTCAATTATTTTTATTTACTCCCTGACATGTTCCAGTTTGGTATTGTATATAATATATATATTGTATATATATATGGTATCGTATAGATATACAAATAATTACCCCAGTTATTTAGTTTATGTTCCCTTACATACCTTCTGATTGAACTTAATTTAGAGAAAAGTTAAGCAATCACATTTTTCTTGATTTAGCCCAGATCTGGTGTCATTACACAGTATATGTAAAAGCTCAGATGTGAAACTGCATAAATACAAAATATATGAAAAGGAAAATGTGATGACTTAAATGATGATATTTCAGAAAAGTACGTCTCCCATACAGTACATAGCGGCTCATCTCTCAAAGATTCATGGCTTAGACTGGAGTCCAAATAATGAGCTGCAACTTGCCACCTCCAGCCAGGACTGCACTGTTAAAGTAAGTTCACTGATTTCCATATTAATACATACTGAAGATTAATTCTTTGCCTAAAATGTTATTGATTAAGGCAAGAAAATGTTCAAATTGGAAAATCACATAAGGGAAACCTACAGCTTATGTACACCCCCGATCCCCACTATGAAATCATGGTACGGTACATAAAGAATATGGTACTGTATGGTGCCATACATTGTTCACAGTGCTGTTTAAGTCTATGGTACTGTACGAGACCATATTTTACAGTACCATACAGTACCTCTAGACTACTCAGCCAAAATGTTTTAGAGATTGGCTGTGTATAGTACTATTAAATATTTGCATCCTTTGAATTTTGAAGGATATTATTCATCCATAAGTGAATATTGACTATCTGTGCGAGTAGTATACAAATATTGTGCAAATATCCTTCATTACACCCAACCTGTGATAAATTTATTCATGCATTATTTTATTGACTATTTTTTCAGTTCTGGGATGTGAACAATCCTCGACGCGCAACTAGTGTTTTGTCATCTGCTTCACCAGTCTGGCGTGCAAGATATACGGTAACATTCATATTTTTATGAAGTACTTCATTTATATGCTTCACCTTTCTTCTAGTGAGACCACACATACTGCACTTTGATTTGTAATGGCTGTTTAATTTTGGTACCAATTGTTCTATAAAAAGGAACAAAGAAATAGTCATTTCTAAATGGAAAGAATAGAGATTAGTAAAAAATGAATTGAAATTGAACAGTCTGCTTCTTAAAGATCTTCGAAAAGATTGTTAAGAATAAAACCTCTCCAATGGAGCACATCTCTTGGTAAGTGGGGGGTTACTATACACAGGTCTTGAATGTGATAATGAGTGACGTATGTTTCACTTCATTTTTTTTTCACAGTATTTTTGTCATAAAACAAGTTTTGTGCATGAAAAACAATGTATTTTTTAAACAGGTAGTAAGTATGAAGTACTCATCTTTATGACTGCCATATTGGAATCACAAGATATATAATATAAAAGGACTCTTTAAATCATGTCCAGGAAGATAAGGATCTATTTAATTTTTGATCGTCAAGTGAATTGAGATTGTATTTTTTTCAGCCATTTGGTACAGGGCTTGTTACAGTTGTTGTTCCGCAGTTAAGACGTGGAGAGAACAGTCTCGTGATGTGGAACACAAATAGTCTTACGCAAGCAAAACACACATTTGTAGGCCACACTGATGTCATTCTGGACTTCCACTGGAGGTGCATACAAGAAGGTATAGAGAGAGTGGAGGTTTCTATTTGTCAGGGACCCATTTCTCGTAAATGTAATAGATTACATTCGCTAAATTACAATTCCTGGTTTTATTTTAATTGTCTTGCAAAATAATTGTGGAAATGATATCATTAAATCATATTTCCAAATATTATTATGAAATTTATTGTATTTGTAATTATTATTAGGTGGAGGTTATACCTTGAAATTAACTGGGAAAGTTGCAAAAATATATTATAAAAAATATTTGATTGTGAGTTTGCAAAATAGGCAAAATTTATTTTTAGTATTTCTGTATTTTCCCCTTCTATTTTATTTTAAGGAACTAAAGACTACCAGTTAGTCACATGGTCCAGAGATCAGAGTTTACGCATTTGGAAAGTTGATCCACAGCTCCAAAGGGTGAGCCATTAAAGTTCAAATATTGTATACCTCCAATGTTTGTCATTTGCTATCTGCAAATCAAGGATAGACTGTAGGTGGTAAATATTACAATGGTACATATACAGGTTCATGAATATTTTGATTGTCGAGATTTGCTACACCTTGAAGTTGTCAATATCTAATTTTGTATATAATACCAGATTTTACTATTGTCTCTGATGTAACAAGGATGTATTGATTAATTCTCTGTATAATCGAGCTATTAATGTGTGATATGTTGATGTTTACAGATGTGTGGACATGAGGTGTTGGATCTCTCAGGGGAGCTTGAAGGTGTTGAACAAGGTGTCTCCCCCGTCTTGGATGCTTCAAGTCCTGTTGACAGCAATACACTCCAAGTTCCAGGTAGGGAAATGAAAGCATATTATCATGCTCATCAAATTTTGTCTGAACCAGGAATTGAACATGTGGCCAGCAAGCGATAGAAAAAACATTGGCCTTGCCACTGAGCCATAGCTGGTAAGCCATATACCGGATGGACTTTTATAAAATAAAACTTGGTCTTTTTACAGATTCGAAACTCTCTGGAGAAGCCCTTTCAGTAACGCCCCCTGGTGTTCCTGTTCCTATTATGGTTAAATCGCCACAGAATCAGATGCCGAAAAATTTGCAGCAAGAGTTCCTATTGGTTAATATTGATATTCCAAATGTCACTGTAAATGAGGTAAGATTAAGGCATTTTTTTTGTTTTGTCTTATTGTATTATAAATATGTATGCACTACACAGCCAATATAACTCGACCCCGTTTCAGCATAGAAAAAATTTGTCACTGTTTGGTCACCGAAACCTTTCGACACCAAAATTTGGTACCGGACGAATCAGTCTATTTGGTGCCGAAACGGCACCGAAATTTAGCACCAAAACGGAGTCGAAAATCAGATTGCATTTTGGGGGTGTAGAGGGGAGATAACAATGCTGCAATGGGGATATATCAAAAGGTTTTAAAAAACAGAAAATGAAATATTTACAAGTCTAAACAGTCATATAAGGAAAGCAAACCCCAAATAACCCAAACTATGATCTAACATGTAAAGAAACAATGTCTAATTCCCCCTGCAAATAAAATTAATAATTATCCCAACGAATGAAGTTCGGTAGGGATATAATGAAGCCTTTCATCTGTCCATCCATCTGGCTGTCTATCCTGAAAATAACTCAAATACTAGTGGACAATTTTTCACCTCCAGAGGAAAGATGGATAGTGGTGAATAGTTTTATGCAAACATTTTTTTTAAAGTATTGAGTATTACTGTTTTGAAATCTTGAAGTTTGAAGTTTATCCATAAAATATATCGTTATGACATATACAGATTCCATGTTTTCTGGCAGGTGCAGGGGTGGGGGGTGGAAAAAAGAAATGGTTGTCAATTTTTAGATATTTCTGATGTACAACTTTATTTTATTCAAATGAAAGGCATCTTAGAGTAGATTACAAATTTTGTATTGTTTTTCTGATTCGTGTCTCAGATAATTTTGAATGGCAGCTGCCTAAAGTGGGAATTCACCATAATTTAGAGATATCTTCAAAGTATGGTTATATTATGCTACATTAGATCGTGAATATTGTATTGTCTTTATATTTTATGCTTTTGATACTCCTAAATGGTTCCCCAAAGCTTATATTGGTAGAAATTCTGATGTATCTTCTCCAATGTATTTATTTTATAATCTGCAAATCAAGGGTAGAATAGATGGTAAATATTGTATTATGATTCTGTGGAGTTTCTGTAGTCTAGTTGAAATCATGAAGACATTTCAATCAAACATCTGTTCTTTGATTTGTTTCAAGAAAGTAATACTGGGAATAAGTGTTACAGTTACAGTTAAGTACAATGTAGTTTTATTTATCAATTTTGTCAATGTTTGATGTACAGGCAACTGACACCCATATGGGTATACATATAGCGTTTTCTGTACCCTGAATGATCGAAGGGAGTGAGGGGTTTGAAAGCTTTTGTGCCTAGCCCTAAGGGGTGTATTCGATGATATTACACCTGCTCTGGGGTCTATATTATGATTCGAATATTCATTATGGTCTGCCATTACTACGACCGGCTGTTATGACGTCACACATTACTCATATTACCAAGGGTATTGCTCACGAATATGCCCCGAGTGAAATGTTGACTTTGTTCACAGTTTTTAGAAGGCGTGAATACAGTCATGTTCAAATCACAGTTATTGCCCCAGTTATCATATAACTAAGAATATAGTATACTAGGTAATTTATATTCACCACTAGTATAATAGAATGAAACAAAAGATAAATCATATTGGTTGACCGGCTAAGGTTCACTGGCGTGAACTTTTATTCTAATTTACATAAAATAGATGGCATGACGGCCATATGGACATACTGTATCTCAGGTAGGCACCTACCTGTAGGTACCTTTCTGAAGTCTTCAATCAAGAAGAAAAAGAATATATCAAGAATGTCGTATCTTATGAAAACAAAGTGTCATTGTAGAGCCTTATAAGTGTTAAATTCCATTGCATGGCTATTTGTCTATAGCTACCTTGGGATAATTGGAATTAATTGAAATGCTAACTCTTAATGTAGTACACAAAAATGTATACATGTTGTTTTCATAAAACAACACTATATCTACTATTGTATATAGACAATATCAGTCCATAGAAAATAAGCAATCCAGCTGCATATAAATTGAGCACAAAACCATCTTAGGGGCATGACGTTTGAACCCTCAGATGGAAAGCCGGGAGTTGTTGTTGGCATGGTGATTTTTTCAGAACTTGGTGCTGTTGTGTTAATAGAGCCCAGTGTTGTTGGCATGGTGATGTTTTCAGAACTTGGTGCTGTTGTGTTAATAGAGCCCAGTGTTGTTGGCATGGTGATGTTTTCAGAACTTGGTGCTGTTGTGTTAATAGAGCCCAGTGTTGTTGGCATGGTGATGTTTTCAGAACTTGGTGCTGTTGTGTTAATAGAGCCCAGTGTTGTTGGCATGGTGATGTTTTCAGAACTTTGTGTTGTGATGCTTTCATTGTGACAGGTATTGTTGTCAAATGTTCCATTAAACTGGTATGGTTTCTGGAATAAAGTAAACAATATAAAAATAAAAAAGATCATACAATCATACAAGTATCATAGAGATGGGAAGGACTAATAAGATAAGATAGGTAATGGAACAAAATATAAGAGGTCCAAAAGATGGATTATAATGTCACATCTTCATAGGTTATAGGAATTCTAATTCAAAATCACATTTATCAAATATTTTATTACAAGGGTTAATATCCCAAAACATGAAGTTTTTTGGTACTATCTTCTGTTAGCAGGTAAAAAACTTACGAAATGGTCCCAAGATTGGATATGACAATAGAGAGCTTTTCCAGGGCAAGTTGTATAGTAAGGTCTGCGTGCTTGTCTGTGTCCAATAAGGCTATAGTTGCTCAATATACGACTACTGTAATGTTAAACAATATAACATTATTAGAATGTCTGAAAGTAGTCTTTGTAAGCATGTTGATCAGATACAGATTGGTGTACAACATTAAATGATGCTCATTGCATAATTACTCTAATATTAAACAATATGATGTTTTAGGCCTATATAAGATGGCACTAGTATAGTTCATATGATAATATTCTTTACATGTAAACCTGTGGTTGCATTACCATCTTTTTGCGAACATTCTTTTTATTGCCTAAAGTATATGATGTAAAATTATTAATCTAAGTAGCTTAGTGTTGTATATGTTGGCATGTTGTAAGATACAGGTATATCTTACAATATTAAAGTTTTGTGTTTTACAATATTTTGCAAAGTGTTAATGACAATAGACCTTTAAATTGTAATATTCTATATATGTAGCTATTAAGTAATGAAATATAGTTGTTGAATTCAAGTTTTTCTAGCTATGTCCCTGTCAATATTTTAATGTTCTGCCCCTCTGCATTTTTGAGTTGATCCCTTTTAAAAACTGATGTTTGCTCACAATACTTACTATACAATAACCACCTCCTCAAAACATGATAAATGGTGTTTATGGGTGCAAAGATTTTGTTTCACTACAAGTGCATCTAAGTCAATGATGATTAGTTCACCTCTACTTACACATACAAGACATGTACTTGTATAAAGTATAAAAGAAATACATGTATACATATACATGTAAAAAGACATAAGAAAGGTAAGAAAACACATATAACACACAATCTTACTTATTGATTCCACACTCGACCAAACTGTTGAATGCATCAAGAGCCATCTGGTTGGGAAGTAGGTTACTAAAGTCTCCCATTATACTAATACCTACAGAAATGAATATATCAGCCTTATTATACACATCATCAGTAACTTGATTAATGCGATGGTTACACTTATGGTTTATTTAGAGGAGGGAAAACCCCAGAGCTTAGAGATGACAGACATAATTGTGTATCTTGCTTACCACCTTCGTGGGCTAGTTTCCGAATACCACCCATAATCGTTATGTTTTAATCTATGTTAACATATTCCTTACATCTTTCTTTATCTTGATGTGAAATAACAAGCTATGATATTGGTTCAACTCGCCAGAAATTAGCATGAAATTATTCCAAGCGTTTTTTGAAAGTTTTGAACCCACCATTGAAATACGTCATTTGTCTATCAATTTGACCAATTTGACCATTCAGCGATGATGTCTTCTCAGTAGAGATTTATATCATAGACATATGTCATGTTTTAACCCTGAGGTTATTCCCCCTCTTAGTTTTATTTATTAATGTTAGAATATGAAAGGGTAACAATAGTTGCAATTAACGTTCTTCATTTTGAAACGAATGTGTTGTTGACCACTTAAATTAGGATTTATAAATGATTTATGATATATCGTCAAATAGGTGGTTGTTCATGTTTAACTCTTGTGTCATTCTAACTTTTTGTACTTTGTGTAGAACTTTATTGTTTATATACAATTCACATTTAAGAGTTCTCAGTTATACCTTTTAATACAGTGTGGATATAATGCACTACACAGTGTCCTATTTATGGTGATGGCTTACACAAATTGATTTCTGAAATAACTCAACTCTTCAATGTGGACTATTTCACCAGATTTGAATCTGTTGTTTGCTATGTTTCAATCACATATGACTATACTATATATGTATTGGCAGACACCATCGATATGCCAATTTTGCAAGTACGGCAGAACCTGTCTAATCTGAACAAACATCACACCAAAAGTGTTCTGATTAGCTAGTGTTCACATTTCAAAGTTTTTGAATGTTTCAGTTATTGGAAGATAATAAATTTGAGACCTAGAAAAGTGTTGCCTTTAAGAGGTGTTCATATCAGAGAGGTGTTCAGATATACAGGTTTCACTGTATACCAAATTGTAGATTCATGAGTTGGGCAGTCAAGAAAAAATTCTTCATAACATCTCCACTTTTCCTGTGGTGTCTGGTCTTACCATATGCTAATGTATTGAAGGGGGCTCCAGCGTGTGCTCCTTTGGTAAGCCAGCCCCTCCCCTCATAAGCCCTTCCATCTTCCCCTATGAGAAAGTTGTACCCAATGTCCCACCATTTTCTCTCTGGTCCTTGATGAAAATCCTAGATAAAGAAATAGATATTTGCAGTCTGCAGTCTATATATAAGGATTGAAAAATGAATTTATTACTATTTTAAGATCAGTATTATTATTCTAATATAATAGTCATAGGGTGGGAATTGATAGGGAAAATGTATAGAAGGTTAAAGTTATAGTTTTATATCTGTTACTTAAGTTTAATAAATAAGTTAATGTAAAATTGACAAATAACTCTATTTTGAATTGAAAAAAGGTCCACTTGTTTTTCTGAATAAGTTTGTACAATCCAAATACAGTACAGTAAATTATCCTCAATTTTGCAATGCCAAAATGCTGTAGTTGAACCATATTGTACTGCACTGAAATTGTCTTATTGATCCTAACTCAATATTATCATTAAAGGCATGGCTTTATCTTTACCTTATATGGTAAGGATAACTTTCACTGACGTGTCATATTGAACTTTTTAAATGCTACATTTTTATTTTGCTCTATTATGAAAATAACAACTTTTACTCTGAATCATTTCTGTATTCAAACAGGCGTGTCGACCTGTTGTGAAATAAATAAGTTGTTCTCTATCTTATAAACATTAACAAATACCCTATTGAAATTAAACTATTTAAAAACAAACCTAAAATTAAGCATGTCTCATCCCTGTACCAAAAGTTTTTCAGGCCGCATCTTCTATATCGCAGTTGAGAAAAATCAAAAGAGGATGTCATTGTGATAGAAGATCTGTGTTGCTTTAGTGTTATAAGTACAACATTATTCTGTATTGAAGTTACTCATACAATATGTTACCTTACACCATGGTCAGAGCAATATCAGGTGTATAATAGCAAGTGATATATCACCTATTTGGGACAGGGATGATATCGGGTTTAGAGGGATGATATCAGGATTGATATTGATATTTTAAAAAATTTATTTAAAAAAAACAATTTTTCAAAATGTTTCATTTTACCAAAATTTTTCATTTTACAAAAAAATAATTTATGCGCTTGACCATGGTATAAGGTCGTTATTCACCTGTCAGGATGATATGGGTAATATCCCTCGGATGATATTGATATTGATATCATCCTTGTGATATTCCCCATATCAAATCCCTCCTGGTGAAAAACTACTTTATATATGGCTTCTTTAAACTTTGATGTAGAAAACATTTGCTTGTACTTACTTGTATTCTTTTCACTTCTTTTTTACAAGAAGAAAGATTAAAGCAATGTGGACCAGCAGTATGATGTATTGTGACGTAAGGTCGATTGTCCATCATATTTTCTCTACCTCCAGGTGCAGATGCATTCCATTCTGCCCTACTAACAACTTGTACATTGTTGCATTGAAATGCTGAAAAAGCATTACTTCATTTGAAAACTTCATTTGAAATGACAGGAAAAAATTATTTACATTCAAAAAATTGAAAATATATCATCACATTGAAATGCTAAAAAATGTCACATTGTCAAACAAGACAATTTTTCAGATTCAGAAACCACTGTTTTGCCACGAAAAAATTAGAAAAACATTGTCAAATTCAAAAATATGGAAAATATCATATTGAGAACATATAAAAGAAAAAGTAGACAATAGTTAACTGTAGAAATGTACATTGTAACAAAGAGACACATTTTCTCTTTGTAAATCTAATTTGTATTAATTGTACAAAAAAGTTAATTGTTGCTGCTCTTAATCATCAAAACAGTGAAATCACTTGTATTATCCAAATCAACTTTTACTGCTTTTATGTGAAGTTCAGTAATGTTACCAATTTCTATCATGACAATCCTTTTTAAAAATACTTATTTCAGACTTTGACTTACAGTATACAATTGTAGACCTCTCTTGAATTCAGCTGGCAAAATTGTATACCAATACTGTAAACCTTGAAAGTACTGTTGATATTATAACAACTTCACAGATTCATATGAAAATGATGAAAAAATAAAATAAAGTAATATGATAAAAATTGACTTACCTGAAGCCAAAGAAGTTGAAATCAACACAACAATGTAAATGTCCAAAATGAGGTGTTCTCTTAAGATTCCCATATTGCTAGTGTTATGTACAGATAGTCCGGCTTTATAATGTTTGATTTATTAAATTCCTTTATGATGGCTTCTTTTATCAGTGCCTTTGAATGTACGGTTTTATATATTGATTCCTTTATACAATGGTTCTTATATATCAGAACCTTTGATTTTAAACCAATTGTGATGAAACTAATATGTAGTAAATAAGTAAATATCTGTCAACAGTATACTTCTATAAGTTTTAGAGTTGTACTTATTTTCATATTTTGATATTATAACTTCCTTGTTGCTCTTAATGGTTGATCATCGTATGAATGTATGTGTCAGATATTGAATGCAGTATTTCTAATGTGTTTTATACTGAGCCATCCCATTAAAGATGCTGTTTGGTCATATGACTTTGACACTTATCTCTCATACACAATGAATATCTGAAAGAAAAAAGTTTTTAAAAGAATTTTTTGTAAGAAGTTTTTATTCCTTTTAGTTATTTTCGTAGATAGAAAAATGAGATCAACTCAAATTTTTAGCTAATTTATCAATTTCAGAAGCATAATTTTCATTTTTAGCTCACATGATGAGCTTTTGCTATCACTCACTTCTTAATGGTTCAACTTATCATTACGTTTCAAATATACTTTTCGAATATGTGATTTTATTTTATTTGTTAAGGACATCCTCCTTTAATATACTCTTGAACTTGAAAGTGTTTGCTTTATAATTGATAACGACAAAAACTATTTAAAATTTAACTTCCCTTTCATTTTAAGTACATGTGTGTTCAAGGGTTTTGTTAAATTCAGACCGCCACGAATAATTGATGACGTAAATGAGTTGGCGTAAAAAAAGCACATCTATTTATTTAAAAAAAACATGAATATGTAAAAATTGGTTTGTTTGTAGTTTGTAGTACATTTTTGATAGCATTATGTCCTTGGATTTTCTCAACTCCTATACCCGTTAGTCATTTACCCTATTATAAAATGAAAGTTATCAATGGAACATCTTATCTCTAAATTGTGGAAAATCATTTGCTGTATCGGGTACAAAGGTTTTTCTGTAGTGCCATATGCTAACCATGTATGAGAACTCAGACGTGTCCCTTTAATTCTAATGGAAAAATGTTTTCAATACATGTATACTCGTATATATCTGTTTACAAACAGCTAAACATACCATTAGGGTTTATAGTATATATGCTCTCTGATATTCTTTTTTGATTTTTTAGAATTTGCAAGGTCTATGTATTAAACCATTTTAAATCTGAATTGCTTCATTTGGGGTGAATAAGATTTTATATTTTATATTAAATAATTTTAATCAATACCACTGTTTCTTTCTCTTTTCATCATTTACAGATAATATTTTAAATATAAAACAAGTTTTAAATATTGAATTTCAAAACTAATTTGATTCATAAATAATACTATGCTGAGTACAAGTATATACAGAGATATACAAATAATTAATTAAATAAAATTATTAAATGCAGTCAAGAAATTAATCAATTTATCAGCAGTAGCTCTCTGTCTGATGTTCCCTGATTGATCATAAACTTCTTAAACTTATAACGTTTGAAGATCACAGAAATGTGCTATGTAACGAATATGCTCTAAATTTCATAAGAAATCTGTCAAAGTAGTTTGAAGAATGTGAGCGAAGAGTCCAGATAATAATAAATATATTGAGTATGTTTTGTGATTTGCACTTCCTGTAGGAATGTTGGCACATGTGGCATTGTCAAATGTCCCGTCTTGTTGGTACCTTTCCTGGAATTAAAAAATAATAAAATTAGCTCAAATGACATATGAGGTAGTTAAAGGTACATGTATGTTGATTGTTTAAATTGGTAGTGAAATGTTAGTTGTGATTGCTATAAGAGAATAAGCTTTCATTGTTTCTACTTTTTAACTAACTAAGGTTTTGTCTCCGATATTGCATTAATCAACAGCTTTCCAACGTTGTATGCAAATTACTCATTTAATTAGATCAACCTTATTAAAGCCTTCTACCCTACTGTTATGTACATTTGTAAATTAGAAGACCAAAATATTCTTTAGCCTTTATATAAGACATCCTCTGAACACAGGCCCCTAGAACTCGTACCTCCTTGTTCCATGCTGTCTGGAGCCCTGCGTTCAGAGAATGCCTGTAAGAACACTGCCAAATAATTATGCATTATGAGTAAAGAAATTCTTAATGAATGAAATTCTAGAATTTGTGCTTACAAAATGCTCCCAAGTTTGCACATGGCAGTACAGTGCTGTTCCTGGGCATACAGTATACCCTGGTTCGTTTGCTTGTCTGTGGCCAATGAGGCTGTAGTTGCTTTGTATACGACCACTATAATAACAAAGAGTAGCATAAATAATGCAAAGCAATAAAAATCATTTTGATATCTCGATTATTAAATTCTCCACATTTTTTTTCAGCTGCATGACACATGGTTCAAATTACTATGTAGCTTAATGTTATTGTTGAATATGGAACTGAGGTACATTATAGTTATCTATTTGGACTAACATTAATGTAATAATGATTTAAGAATAGATCAGTTGTTGAATACCAGTTCAATTGAATAATGTTTATTTCAAAGAAAAAATCATTTGTTTCATTTTATTGTGATAAGTTCAAGCTTTTTCTGCAGAATCCATATTTGTTCAAATTGGTAGTAATTATGATGCATACTTGTCGATTCCGCATTGGACAAGGTTTTTGAAGGCATCTAGCGCTTTCTTGTCAGGTAGAAACGTCATGAAATTACCCATAATGCTTATTCCTACAAAAATATATGTGTATGCATAATTAAGATATTTCCTTTTATAATATATCTGAGCAAATTGCCATTTAACACTCTGTTTTTGGCATCTTTTATTGGTTTAATTATATTCAGATATATTGATCAGTAAAAGTGAGGTTCTTATATAACGTCCTGGACAATGTTAAGGAATGCTCTATATAATTATGTTTTGGTGGAAATGTGTAGAAGTCAATTGAAATCACACTAGCATAGATTGAGTCTTAAAAGGAAAAGAAAGTGACATTTACAGTAATAAAACAATCAGTGAACATCCAAGTATATGTTCAGGGAATGGTGTCAATGTTTAGCACATATTGTTGACAATATGAGAATATCATCATGTTCCTTCAGGCTGAAGAGTGGAGGATGAATAGATGATGGGAATGTTTCACTTTTCAGACTCACCATAAGCCAAATTATTGAATGGTAAACCAGCATGTGCTCCCTTTGAATACCAGCCCCTTCCCTCGTAGACCCTACCATCCTCACCAATCAGGAAGTTATACCCAATGTCCCACCAACTACGGTTGTTTTGGTGAAAATCCTACAAAAGATCAACAAAAAAATTAATGCATCCCTTTTGCTTAGGGACTTCTTCAGGACACAGTGCAATGTGTTTTATAGGCTACTAGTATCATATATCACATTTGCCAAATATATAAACAAATTTTTCAATTAGGAGAAAATATTTTTGAGTGCTGTAAACTAATCCATTACAGTAGAACCTGTTTAATCTCAATGCTCCTGGATCTTGGGACTGTCAGCCAAAATTGTTCAGATTAGCAGGTGCTTACATATTAAGGTTTTTGATATATAAGGTAATGTAAAATAACAAACAGTAACGGAGAAAAGGTGTTCATGTGAAGAGGTATTTGGATTATAAAGGTGTTCTGATATACAGGTTTTACTGTATTTCACATGACAGTGACATCTTTCTAATACAAGTCTTATCTTTTTCAAAACAACGTCAATGCAAAATCTTACTTGTATGACTTTTATTTGTCGTTTACAAGCAGCTAGATCGAAACAACGAGCCATGGCTGTATGATGTATTGTTGCATATGGTTTGTTCCCAGTAAAGTTGGTCGTACCTTTTGGTTCTGAGGCATTCCATTCTGCCCTGCTGACAATTTCAACATTGTTACATTGAAATGCTGAAATATATAATACACATGTATTTGATAATATATAATGCACACCTATTTGATAATATATAATACACACATACTTGATAATATATAATACACATGTATTTGATTGTCACATTTTTACATTGGAGGGTTGACCCAATGGGAGAATGAATGTCATAACATGTATGTGGAATAAGAGTGAATACTAAAACAAATATTTCATTCTAAAACATTTACCTTGCTACATTATTGATTTATCAAAAGGTATACAATTCAATAGAATAAAATATTTATAGCATACAGTATATCATAATCAGTCATCATCAGTATGTTGCTCTTAGGAGTACATGAATAATATACTTATCAGGCAAAGGGTATTTGAGTTTGAATCATTGTAAGATACAGTAAAATCAATAACCCGTGTGCATACTACATTATTAATCAAACTGTAACAGCAGTTTTGGTCTGACTTGTATATTGTTTAATTTTGCATTTAATAGACATGTTTTTATTTCCCATGCTTCAACTCAGTACCTAGATTAACTAGGGTCCAAGTTAACTAGGATCTGAGTTAATTGAGTTATCTAGGATCTGAGTTACCCAGGGTCCTATTTGACAGGATAACTTAATTTAAGGTTTTATTTTTCTGTCACGATTACTTGGCAATTTTAGTAAATTAGTAATTGCCATTTGGCATTGAGTGGAATCATATATTGACCTTTCAATAAAGGTAGAGACAATAATAAAAGAAGTTATCAGAACAACTTGTTTAGATTATGAAAATTGACAAAATTTACTAACCTCCTATAAAGCATGGCACTGTAGCTATCATTATCCAAATATAGCATATCCAGGTTAATTTCATATCCATGTTAGTTATATACATTGTACAGAAAGTTTTGGAACTTATAATTTTCTAAAATAAGTTCAAAAGTCTTCAGGCTTGTTATGGTTCTACAGTTAGTACCTATATAAGTTCATGTGTACAGTTTAAATAAGCACTGTATATATATGCACCACATTAACTTGTTCAAAGTAAAGTTATTCATTAAGTTGTTGACTTATTCAATTATTTATCTATTTTTATCGCTATTGAATCAAGTGTTTACTTTTAATATCTCTGATTTCTGAAGACCAAATACCAGTTGTTATACTGAATAAAGAAGTGTTATATTTCTGAAATATTTCTTGAATTGTAATTTGCTTGTTTCTGTCCCATATCCCAGGCACCATTGACATTCATATATATGAAATATGTTTTATGTTTTATGCATTATATGGGTATGTACTTTTATTACTTCCTTGTTTGTTCCTACTTACCCCCCTGTAATGTATCCGCTCATTCTGATTGGTCGTCTTATTTTAAATTAGACTGTCATGAATTGTGAGTTTCAATAGGATTAAGGAGGAAAGAGAGGTCATTTATTGGAAGGAAATATGTTATTCATCAAAGCATGACTGTAAGATTAATATTGACCTTGTGACACATTATCCTTCCTTTTATACATGCATATTATTGGTTGACAATTTTAATCCTTTAATGAATTGAGAGTTATTTCAGATTTTTTGCCAGTCATATGAAATCTATTTAGTACAACAATTTATCATGTGTGGGCATTCAACATTGGAATAATGATATGACTTGAACAGCTGTTCACACATATCATTTTACCATTCTGCATGCTAAATGTATACCTTATTTCCCCCTTGGAAATGTGGTATTCATTTATTCTGAATAATTAATGCTACAAGTTATAATACAAATATATTTTGTCAACCATGATATACATTTTTCCCATTTGAATGATATTTATAGATTAGTTGAAAATTCATGATTTTATTCTCAGTATTTGCTGCAATGCATCCTGATAGATAAATTAAACTTTCTGTAAACTTAAAGGAAAATATAGAATGGAAAAAAGGGTAAAATGTTAAGAGATCTTTTTAAAAATTGACAAAAAATTAGGAAGAAGATTAAAGATGCAGAAATTAACTTTTTGCTAGATAATCCTATTTAGAATAGAAGGATTATCTTGAAATTAAAGAGAGAATCAGATATAGCGAGCAGGCTAAACAAAAAATTGTTTCAATTTTAGAATATTTTTGGCTCATGTCATTCCTTGTCGTGTCTATTTTCTAAAAATCACAAAAGTGCATACTTTATTCCAGGAAAACTAAAGATTTTTACAATTTTGTATTATTTTTCTATAAGAATGGTTACCATTCTTATTATTTGGGAGAATTTAAACATTTTCACCCATTTTTGCACTTTGAATCATTAATAACTTCACCAATTTATAACATATTGTGAATCTTTTGGGAGATATTGTATTTGAGATTGGAAGGAATAGATTGGAAGGTCAATTATACATGTTGGTTGTAATTTTGTCACCCCTATAGATCAGATTCTGCCTTTAAGTCAGAACTGTTAAAAATTAAGTATGATGAGAGCAAAAAATATTTAAATTTTTTTTTTAAAGCTTACTCTCAACTTGTATTTAACACTACTAGTTTTTTTAAAAGTGTGGCTACTTATGGGAGGCACCTTATGGGACAACCTTTGGACCCATTTGTTTGTATGAGTCATCCATTTGCTGACTCATATTACCATATAGGAGATACCAGATTCTTAATTCAATGGAGTCAGTCAGTGCATACCATGGAAATCTTAACCTAATATAATGATTATGTACATGACTAAGATTTACATTATTTGAACTGAATCATTGTTACACATGCAATCATTGAAAGCACTCAGCTTATCTTAAGTTTTTGTTGGTTATGTCATCATTTCGGTGCGTCAAATAAAAATGTCCATACTTTTTAGTAACTGGCTTATTCTAACTTAACCAACCTTTATTTACTTGACAGTATCTTAGATTTCAAGAAAGCAATCTTATCTTAGAGTGTAAGACTATTGCATGGTCTTGTAAATGTGATCATGACACCAGTATATAAGCCCAACCAAAGTGAAAATGCATCAAGTTTTAAAAACGTACAATAGTCCACCTTTTTGGTCTCAAATTGCTAATTTAAACCCTAGACCCATCAACTTTCCAGGAATTAACAAATAAATACTGGTTTCTGAAATGCACTCTTTTATAGCAATATTTCTACAGAACTATAAGATACCTTGAAAGAATGCTTATACAATGTAAATTAAAAATGAGACATTGGATATCAACTATGTATCTTCAGATGGACCATGTTGCCAGGACTTGCACTATTACTGCGATCAGTGGAAAGCATGTCGTAAAACTCATCATGTCTTTTCCTGCTGCCTACCCCAACAATGCAGCGCCATCTTTTCAGTTTGGAACTCCCAATAACCTTGAGAAGACTGTCCAAGCCAAGGTCATCAAGGTCAGTAATAAGATGAATTAAGTTCCATGTTTTCATTTTGATTAATTGTAAGTTTACTTCAAAAATCATAAATTCAGCTAATATTTATTTTATTATTTTCATGCTGGGATACTCATTCTCTCATAGGTCAATCACATTGCTTGTGGCTAAAAATAAATGGCAGTATTCCATCCATATGCTCTTTGATGTATGTCACAACTCAAATCTCCTGGAAAATATGTAATATAAACTCATAGGAATACACCCTCAGAATTTCAAATGGATATCCAAATCTGCATTATTTATTTCTTTTTTTAGTCTTTACTTCATGTACATATTATTATATGTTGTACTTCATTCTGATTTTCTACCTCATATACTACTATATATATATATGTTGATTCTAGGTCCTCCAAGATACATCTCTCCTACACATCAAGCACAATAGGTCATGTTTGGAACCCTGTCTAAGACAACTGGTCTCCTTCTTGGATAATTTAACAGTAAGTGTACTAAAGATAACAAGACTGGGGGGTTTCAGGAATCTTGGATGTTTTAGAATACAAGAGATATGAGTCTCAACACAGGAAAACCAGTGTTATCACAAAAATTTAAATTGTGCTACAGAGCCAAAAATATACTTAAAATTAAGAGGAAAATGTGCAAAATTCTAATCTGTCTTTTTGGTCTTTGTCTGCAAGTGTTAAGACTTAAGCCATGACCCATTTGAATTGTCTTTTTGTGCTTTTCAAGATAAAAAAAATATTGAAAAAATCTATGATAAGACCCCTTTTCCTCTGCCCTGGTTCATATATAATATACAGTTACTTTAGATTTAACATTTAGTAGATCATACCGCAATTCTAGCTTGCTACACAAAGTCCCTTGCCTAAGTTTCGTTTTAGGTGAGAAAACTCATGAATGTGCAATTTTTTGAAGAGAACATTGTTAATGTTCAAAAAAGGTAAAAAGGTATTTCACTGAGGGTATCAGTGCACATAAAATAACATAGGCCTTTTAAGGGGTGGGATTCTTGGTATATGTCCTCCTGCTAGTGTTTCCAAATTAAACCGCAGGCTACCAGCTGAGGATTTGATTGTTATTTTATGGCCAATTAATTAAAATATGGATAGTACGTGCTTTTATCCAACCATATTCATATTTAAAGGAGTTGGCCATAAAATAGCAATCAAATCGTCAACTGACAGCCGCTGTTGAATCCTTTTCCCGAAAAAAAGAATTGACAAATCTGATCAAATGTTGAAGGATTAACAACATAAAAAAACAGTTACTGAAATCAAAATCTGAACATTTCATATTTCTGTCATTGCAGATGGAAGAGCGTAAAACTCCAGACTCTGACACACCATATAACCTCCAACAGGCCCCAGTGGCCTCAGCTATACAGACACCATCTTTCATGCCCCTCTATAACTACAGTCCCTACAGCAGCTTCACAGATTCTGGCATCCCTTTTCCAAGAACTTCTGGTGCTAGATTTTGTGGATCAGGTATTTGGTTTAAAAAATCAGAATCATTGTTATATTGTTATTTAATTTACATTGGAAGAATCAATGTATTCAAAATCATTATTATAATAGCAAAAAAATAGTGACTGCCACATCTTCGGAAATATTGCAAAAAGAATTCCCTTGCCAATTTTTCCATTTTGTGCTATTTATATTCTGTAATGGGACTCATGTTTTATCTTAAATTGATTCACCAGGCAAAGGTTGTCATATTAAACAGGGGTTTCACTAGAATTTCTTACAACAGGCTAAATATATGAAAACAACAGGCAAAATTAATGGAAATCATGAATTTAACATGGAAAAGTTGAAAAGTCCCTAAAAACAACAGGCGGTTTGTGAAAACAACCAGTAAAAATCACCTGTTTCGTGCTGCTAATGAAACCCCTGTTAATCCTGGTTATTCTGCAAATTGACTAAAATGAATTTGATATGCAAGTGGTAAATACCTATCTTATATTTCTAGGTTATTTAGTGATGTTCACCAGACACACTCACAAGCTTTTAGTCAGGAAGATATCAAGCAATGAGAAGATTACACCCAGGTTTGTTAGACTATACCCAATACGTACATATGTTCATATGCTCAGGTTGTAAAAGATTTTGGAGTTTCTTGAATTTCCATTTTTATGATACCATCAAAAAGTGGTGACATATTGTTATGGTCTCCGTTTTTTTTTTTGACGGCGGTTTGTGGTTGGTGATCGGCGTCTGTAACAAATTCTTATAGACTGACTTCAATTTTTTTCAAAATCATCTATATGTATTCAGAAGTTCAAATCTGACTTTATATATAAGATTTGACCTTCAATTACTTTTTCAAGGTAAAAAAAGGTCTTTTTCAACTTGCTTCAAATTGACCAATTTTTTTTTCAAAATCATCTACAATTAATCAGAAGCACAAATCTGACTTGAGATTTGACCTTCAATGACCTTCTCAAGGTAAAAAAAGGTCAATTTTTCAACTTGGTTCAAAATCATCTACAAGTTCTCAACAGTTCAAATCTGACTATAGATTTGACCTTCAATGACATTCTCAAGGTCAAAAAAGATTTGACCTTCAATGACCTTCTCAAAATCAAAAATGTCTCTTCATCTTGCTTCAAATTGACCAATTTCTTTTTCAAAATCCTCTCCAAGTTCTCAGATGTTCAAATCTGACTTTAGATTTGATATTTCACCTTCAATGACCTTCTCATGGTCAAACAAATCTTATTTTCAACTTGCTTCAAATTGACCAATTTTTTTTCAAAATCATCTACAAGTTCTCAGAAGTTCAAATCTGACTTTAGATTTGATATTTCACCTTCAATGACCTTATCAGGGTCAAACAAATCTTTTTTCAACTTGCTTCAAATTGACCAATTTCTTTTTCAAAATCATCTTAAGTTCTCAGAAGTTCAAATATAAGGTTAGATTTGAGATTTGAACTGTTAATATTGTGAGCAACTAGGTATTGTGTTTTGTCATGTTAATGCCTTGTTATCAATTCCATCATACCTGTAGTTTCATGTTTGAGGCAATGTAATCAAAGGCAATTGAATTTCATGAGTCTAAAATTTACCTTATAATTAGAAGTAAAATTACAACAACTTGGGTTTATAATGCTTTTAGGCCTTCATTTGCTGTATGTAAGTTAAGTTGGTATGTGAATAAAAATGTATAAATGATACAACATACACTGTGTTTATGTGTTTTATTCATTTTCTATATAGGGCAATGTCAGCACTCTCGCAGTTTGCACAACCACCTCAACAAGCTATGCCCAACATCAACCTCAACATTGGGTGGGGGTTATACGGACGGAGCCCCCCTACTAGTGATGTGTCTATTAGCAACTACTACCATTTTAAAGATAAGGTACATTGTATAATGTATAGAATATAGAATATAGAAAGTTAAGAAGCTTTAACAGTGTGTGAATATTTCCTAAGTTCTTGGAGTCATCAATGAAGTTAACGACCAACCAATGGATGGCAACCTTGCACTCATTTAGCAACATTTTCTGAAAAATGTCTCAGTGATACTGTCCATTGGTTGAAAAAATAGCTGGGTATTGAATCTTCAGTCTACTTGAAAATGACATAAAAACAAAAATGACCAAGGTATCGAATCTTCTTGAAAATGACATTATATTTGATAACATTTTTTGAAAAAAAATCTCATATTAATACTGAATATAACATTGTAGAATAGACTATATGTTGAGTCATACTGGGACTGACATTATTTTTTTCTTATTTTTTATATAAGAAACAAAGAAGCAGTCAGAGGACCAGAGGTAAACTAAAGCTAAAAGATGGCACTGACTTCCGAACTGGGCGTGGTGACAACGCAACATCACCAAAGAAGCACCAGAAGCCTGCACGTAAAGCTGGTCCTGTTGTGATATACAATACTGGCTGTTTGCTTCCAATACAAAGGCAGTTGGGAGAAAAATATGTGTAAGTAGATGGGAATTTTTACAATCCTTTCAAAAAGTTTGGAAACTCTCACTCCTGATTGAATAGCCTGTAAAGCCTGCATTTGTTTGAAATTGATTTTGTCCTCATTTTCATTAAGTGGCAATAATATATGACTTTGATTAATTTTTGAAAATTGATAAACATAAACAGGCCTTGATGTGGTGAAATTGCCAAACTATTTTGGGGAGTGTACAAACATTTAATGTATTCCAAATAAGTGAAATTCTAACAAATCAAGATCATATTCAAATAGATTTTTATTTTTGATATGCTTATTAAGATGTTTACTATTCGTTGTTGTACAACTAGAATATCCCACCAATGATACATGTATTCATATATTGTTAACAATAATCACAAATAAATATAATGCATAAAATACAAAAGCACTTGACATTATTGATTTGGCTCAGATTTTAATACTATAAGTTATTCAATGATTCGAGTGAAATACAGAAAATATTCTTCCCGAGAAGGTCGTATTTCACGATGCGCTAGCAGAGTGAAATACAGACGTTCAAGGGAAGAATATTTTCTGTATTTCACGAGAAATCATTGAATAACGTTTTTATTCCATGATTACTCAGATAAAACTCCCCTAAATCAAGTCCAAAAATATTTTACATCGATATTCCTTCAAAATCTTTTTGGCTTTGTTGTTTTGCTTTTATTGTATTATACGATACGTTTGATTTTCTTCAACATTTTTCTTCAATTTCATCAGCTGGAACAGTGTAACGAAACGTTTTTTTCGACTTTCGAATATTAGCATGCGTTGGTGTAAACAGATCGCCATTGATTTTTTTAGTAATAGTCATATCCTGGATGGAAATCTGGGGCGTTGGGATACTGGACCGTATCCCAACGCTGACGTCATTTTCACTCTGTATTCAATGCTAAGTGGAAAGTGCGTGTAAATACAGGATATATTTAAGTCACATGGACCAATCAGATTGCAGGGAATTTCACCATCATGGAATAATATAAGTTATTGTATTATTTGAAGTGCAATACAGCATATATTCTGCATTAGAATTATTAGCATGCAAAAATACCAGGAGTTCACTATGATAAATTTTACTATTTAAACTTCTTTTCAGAGCCTACATGTTGATAACTCAATGGCGATCCAATATTTAAAATTGTGATTTCTAGTTTAATGGACATAACAGTGTTCCCTTACATATTACATCATGTGATTAGATATGGTTACATGTAACCTATATATACAGTCAAATCTCTCAAGTGGAACACCCTTTGTGAGAAAACACTCTCAAAACCAGTATTGTTGATTGACCTAAGATGAAGAACAGAAGTTTTTCCAGTTTTCTTCATCCTAGATTGAACCTACATAAACTGGAAACCCTCTTGATGGGAGCACTTCTAAGTGCATATTTGAACCAATTCCAAGGGTTTTACTGTGTTTTATATACAAATCCGTTCTACATTCTACATGCAGGTTCTGGTTGCCACACACTACCTCCATCAGATTTAGTTACATACCAATATTACCAGTGATGATATGAAGAGGATGATTCACAAATGTGTAGAAAGATTATCAGAAATACAAAGGGCAATAATTGTAGAATTTTAATATGTACAAAGAAAACAATAAACCTGATATCAATAGAATAGATACAAAATGACATCCAAGTCTATCAGTCCCTTTAATATTGCTAGTTGGAAAACTGAAAGATGTGATGAGTTTCAGATGGCTGATATATGATGGTATCTTTTGAATTCCCTTATGCTCTAACTCTAAGAATGATTATGCTGGAAAATCATCATAAATTAGGAATGTGGGGTGTGGAGAAACCATAAAGGCAATCTTTATGTGGGGAGAGAAATATAAATAGATCAATGTTTCATATGGTTACTGGGAAATGTGATGTATCGTTAGTGTTCATGTTAAGTATGATCACATAGAATGACTGGTGAATTATGTATTCACTTTGAAGACATAAAGAATATTCTTCCTACCATCTTTAGCATCATGATTTTCCCCTACCAGGATGTTCCCAGTGCTGTCTACTAGTATCTCAGCAGGAGCATGCAAGCCATGCTGCTGCTTTGTTAATAGAACCTTGATGAAGTCACCCTTGTGATTGAGCAGCAATACTCTATGGTTGTCAGTATCGATCAGCAGAATATGCTTCTCAGTCACAAAGACACCCTTGGGATCCTTCAACTTGTCATCCCCCTGTCCCTTATATTTGAATACTGGAGTGCCATCCCTGTTGAGACAATGCACAATGTTGGCCCTTCTATCAGACACCAATAATTCAAGATTATAAGGATTGATGAAAACTCTATACAAGTTTTTGAATTCATCATTGGTGATAGTGTGTGTCACCTGACCTGAAGATGTGAACAGATTTATACTACAAGGATTATACCCAGTCACCACCAGCCCCAGTTGGTGATTGTAGGCTAGGCCAAATGGACAATTCACCTGTTGACATATATCTTCCTTATACTGACCATTACTGTCAAACAGTTTTACACAGTTGTTCCTCCATGATGTAACTATGAATTCCCCAGTTTGGAGACATACACCATTTTCAGGTTTATCAACTGTGAACTTCAGTTTGATAGTAAAGTCTTTATTGTATACCTCAATACCCTGCTCATATATGATAACAGCTACCTCTCCATAAGGAGTGAAACACATACCATAGCAGGCTTTTGGTAACTCAATCGTTTGTTTTAGAGTAAGACTACATTGAGATAAGTCTAGGCTGTTGATGATTGGATTTACTTGATTATCTCTGAAACCAAGATCTGATCTTAACTGAGCACATAAAGCTTCGACTTTTGTGATAGATGAATGTGCAATTGATTGCTCTTCTGCCTTTAAGCTCTTCAAATTAGCTGTTTTCATACTAGCTATTTGCAAGTTATTTGTTGCTATGGTAATAGATTGAAAAGGTAGCATAGTTTCAAGTTGAGAAGCCAAATGTTCATAATTTTCTTCTTTTAGTGCAGTCACAAAAACATCAAATGCCTTAACATTACATGTCTCAAGAGTGTCTAGAAATTCCCTACACTTTTTGGTAGGTGTAGTTTTTGCCAGTATTTTGTCTTGTACAGCTTTATTTATGACCCCCTCCTGTCTACATTTTCCCATTATGTGCTCCACATCAAGGCACTTCTCAAGTTCCACCCGGCAAGCCTTAAGGGTTGCTATATGGGCCTCAGACAGCGATGTGGAATGTTGTTGGGCCATATTGACACTTTCCCTGTGATGGTAGATTAAATAATATATTAACTAGATTGATATATATTTTTACTGTCTTTGATAATTCAAATACTAGTAGACTGATTTGATACAAAGGACGATTCTCGGTTTGGAGAACGAAGTTCATCAATCTAAATGAGCATTATCCCTGCTTCGGACAAATTTGATTTTTTTACATAATATAGATTTGAATGTCTTCTTTTGAATAGTCATAATTTAATTTGGGTAATATTTCTAGATTTTTCGAAAAAAAATATTAGCGCAGTACACTGATGAACTTCTTTCCCCCAAATCGAGACTTGTATTTTATTGAATCCGTCTTATTGAGCATTATCCCTGCTTCAGACCAATTTGTTATTTTTACATCTTGTAGATTTAAAGGTCCTCTTTTGAATATTCATAGTTTAATTTGGGTAATATTTCTATATTTTTCATGAAAAAAATTATTAGCCCAGGAGACTGTTCTCCAAACCGAGAATCGTCCTTTAATATGCTAGAGACAAAGGAGCTTTGCTGGAGAAGAGATTTTCAAGATGGCTGCTGAATTTCAAAATGGCGGCCATGCGGCCATTTTTCATAAAAAATGTAATCTTAACTCAAGTATCTGTGAATGGATTTGGCTCAAATTGTATATGCTGATACCTAGGGACATAGGAACTCTGTTCAAGAAGGAATTTTCGAGATGTCGGCTGAATTTCAAAATGGCCACCATTCTTCATTTCAGAATGTAGTCTTGATAACTCAAATACCAGTGAATGGATTTGGTTCAGATTTTATATACTGATGCCTAGAAATTAGCTTTATGGGAGAAGATGGTGAAGATTTTTCAAAATGGTAGCTATATATTTAAATGGCTGTCATTTGTAGTTAAAAATGTAATATTCGATAACTCGAATACCAGCTGAAGGATTTGTTTCAATTTTTTTCATGCTGATTCCTAGGGACAAAGGACCTCCCCACAAAATATTTTTTCAAGATGGCACCTGAATTTCAAAATGGCCACCATTTTTCCTAAAAACACATAATCTTTGATAACTCTAATACCAGTGGACGGATTGGGTTCACATTTTATATGCTGATACCTAGGGACAAGGAAGCTTTGTTTCAAGAAGAGATTTTTAAGATGGCCGCTATTTATCAAAACATGTTTTGTTCAATGGGATTAGCTACTCCGCGGAGTTGCTGTTTTCTAGTTGGAGTTTGTGACATTTTATTGTGTTAATTCTTATTTTAATGTATTCCCTTCTCATGAAATGAAAATGAAAAGACAGCAACTTACTGTTTGCTAAACTTTATCTTTTCACAGACACTGCATTCTAGAGTGTTGGGAGGGGGTTTTGTTTACTTGAATGTAACTTACAACTGTACTTGTAATCTATCTACAATAATACAATTAATTGTGAACTCTTGGTTGATTGAATAAAATATCATGTTGTAGGCGTGAATGCCCCAGTAGCTGTATCACAAACAGTCAAAAATTTTGAAATGCATTTAAAATTCATTTCTTAAATGTATCAAAATGTACATTTCTATAACAGAATTTAGCATTCTCTTTCATTTTACATTGGACATTAGTTGTGTGTAACCAAGGTAACAATCTGGAATTTTATGATTTGATATGAAATGGCATATATACTTACGGCAAGTTATCTTATCTCTGGTTGAGAGGTTAGTCTGAGAATTTTTGGTCTTGGATGCAAACTTATTGAATGCTCTTGTGAGATATTCTGTCACCTATAATCATATATCTTGCATTACAATTGACACTATAAATTATGATGAAAACATACAGAGAAAGTCTGTACATACATGTATATAAATATTTGTTAATTAAGTTTAAGAATTTTTTACTTACAGTGAGTTGTATTATTGTGGAGGTAAAGATGGTTTTGGTTTTCATAAAGGTCTGTGTCCTTTGCCGTTGTTTCATGTTTTTGTTATCTTGCCCTAGGTGCTCTCTCAACATGTATGCTGCAGTTGAAGTAGAAATTCTCCTCATAATATTTTTAATGCATATTTACCTATTTTCCATGATAACTCAGCAAAGTGAAACCCTTGAAATCCTCCAAATCAGGATCCAGGAATTTCAGTTGTTGCAGATTCTTTGTCAGCAGGAAAGGAGAGTGTTATCTTTGCACGTCAGTTTGCCACAATTATCTTAAAAAAGTTGGACTATGTCTCTTGTGTGTTGCATACTACCCAATCTGAATTTAGAATAATTGATAATATATTTCAAGTGGTATTCAATTTTTACAAAGAGCGTGTCTTTGACAATGGTAATCTAGGGAACTTTGTAAAGTAGATGAAATCATGTGATCTACACCTGTTGTTCAGTCTTTGGAATCCCCTTGACATTTTAGGTGCACTATCATGCCCCTTCTTCCCCACCTCCCTTGTTTAAGAAAAGGCTATTTTTCATACTCATCAAAACTCTCAAAACAAAACACATAGGTGATGTCATTTTTGGCTCATTTTTTATAGTGCTCAGGATCAAAATGTGTTTTTTACATATTTTCTGAAGCTCTAATGAAAATATATGTATTTGTGAAAAACTTTTTGAACAACCCTTGTACAAGTTTTGAACAACCCTTGTACAAGTCATAATATTATGAGCAACTAGATGGTGACATTTTGTCATGTTAATGCCTTGTATGTTTACTAGATCTAATAGGCATTTCACTTTAAAATGTCATAGTATATATCTTTAAGAGTAGATGATGGACACGAAAGTAAATGTTTACTAGATCAAATAAGGATTTCACTTCAAATGTAATAGTGTATATCTTTAAAGGAATATTCCTTGCCAAACCATCTCTCTCCTCATATGGTAGCTATAACCATATATATGCTTGCCATGTTGAGCAAAACACGCAAAAATGTTTTGATATGGTCAAATTTGATCACTTAGAAATGTGATGCTCAATTCCAGTAAGCTGCCATCTTTTAAAATTTCACACAGGAAGTGATGTCATCGACTCTCAACTTTGCATATAGCATTAGGTGAGGAGCTATTAAGAATTACAAAACCAGCTAAATATTCTTTTTCAACTTTGAATCTTATTTAATCCTTCTGAAAATCTCTTCTTTTATTCTAAGTTGACAAGCCCTGAAAATATTTTTGCACAGAAAGCAATGATCACTTGTCTAGAAGTGATTTTGTGCTACTTTCCTATACTGTTATGGGCAAGGTTATAGAAGTTGAGAGTTGATGACATCACTTCCTGCAAGAAATCTTAAAAGATGGCAGCTCACTGGAAATAAGCACTAGATTTTTAAATGGTCAATATTGACCATATTAAAACATTTTCCCATGTTTTGCTAAATATGGAAACTATATATATGATTATAGCTACCATATCAAGAGAGAAAGGGTCTAGCAAGGAATATTCCTTTAAGAGTAGATGATGGACAAGAAAGTAAAGTTGTGGTTTCTAGATCGGCCAGAATTCCGACAAGATTATTCAAATTTATCATTAATAAGATTAGCATACATGTCAGTTTGTAATAAAGCAGTTCTTAATAGATTGTCTTATTATAACACAGAATGTTTAAATTAAGAAATATTATACCCATGGCCTTCTCCACCGATGTGCTACTGCAATATGTTTTTTATCGAAGCCTGTGTTGACCCAGACGAATTTTTATCAACATAAGAGTTAAGTAAATATGAATGAAGTCTTACTTTAAAAACTTCCCATGCAACAGAAAGCCCATGCAACTAAGAAAGCCCATGAACCCAAACTAATTTCCTTTCTGTATCTCATTTGTTGGGTATATGGAGCAGTGAAATAAACCACAGTGTCCAAAAACAATAACAATGCTGTATTGGTAATTGGAAGGATTCCACTTACCACTATTTCAAAAAAATTGTAAATCGATATTAGTATTCTTGAATTTGAATCATTTGTTTTAAGGAAGGGATGTTAATGGCTCTGGAACTTGATCTTTGGGTAAAACAGTGGGTTGATGAGTCTTTTGCTCTGAATTCACTTGATTCTTGTACCTGATTTCAATATTTTACGTGACATGGGCCCATTTTTCAAGTTCACAGTATGAGGGATGAAACCATGGTTTTTCTCTTCTGTAATTGCATTTTCCGCTTGATGGATTTATATCTAGTCTATCAATTCTTCATAAGGGTGTCTTGGAATGGTGTGATCAATTGCTTCACTGAATGAGGAATGTTTATCCAAGCAATGGATACCCAGGAAATCTGGCTAGTTGTTCTTCTGTAAATAAATCATCATGATAAAAGTATAATTTATGATCCATCCATTTAGCATCCATTTGTTACCGTTCTGAATCCAAATGATACATGTTGGCATCCGTTTTATACATATACGTTTAGTAATTGTTTACGTTTACGAAATGTTGTTTAGATATCTTCTCTATTACAGGAATGTAGTTGCTGAAACTTTCCTATATTGTCATACTATATAAATTGTATATGTATGCAATATTTCAAGACTCAATGTTAAGTACATGTAGGAACTCTGAAATCACTAACCTCGATTTGCTGTTATATTTTTGCAATGACCCCATTCCCTATAATGTATGCTAGTGCCTACGATACATTACATGTATATGACCGCATCAACATATTCCGACTAGCCACAGTGTAGAAAACATGTGGTGTTGATATCATGTGCGCATGGTGTGGATATCAACGATCTATTTTGAATTTGAATTTGTGATATTTCATAAACTAAGGCATGCTGGGTACAAATTTTGTCTATAGTTGTGTACTTCATTCTTTAACGACCCACCAGGCATTCATTCTTTCTCCAAATTTGAAATTGCCTCATTAATACACTGTTTACAGCCTTCATTCAGTTTTGGTGATCGAGATGACCAATCAATATAAATTATTTTTGCAATTGGAAAGTAAGAAACTTGTGAATTTTTACCAGTGTGTATATCTGAATCTTTAAGGATATCTGCACCGCTTGTTAGAGGCAGCACAATTAATGTTTCCTATTTTGTTTAAATCACACAGAAACCTTTCAACTTCCAAAATGCAAATATAGTTTGTATTGATAGGTCATCTCAAACACCAAAATTGAATGAATGCTTTTTACACTGTGTAACAGCTGCAATTTCAAATTATTGCTTTGGTGGAGTATTATTACTTGATGTCTCTCTATAGATGAAGTACAGACCTTTTGACAAAATTTCCTTTTTATATTAGGGATCCTGTACACATGTATGAATATAATTGAGTACCTGGGCTTAGTTTACTCAAATTCAAAAATGACTATTAATGCACGCACATGATATCCGCACTGAATGTTTTCATATAGCAGTCTGTATAGGTTGATTCTTTTTAATGATTATTGGCGCTCAAAGGAGCTTGTAAAAGGGATATAGATATTTATCCCATACTTGGACGTGTTACAGGTACATAAAGCCGGTTTGTAAAAACTTATATTTTCATCAGCGGGCAGATATAGCTTTACGTCCCGCTCCGAGCGGGCAGATATAGTATATCTGCCCGCTACGTCATAATCGCCGCTCGTATATTTGTTCATAATTTGTAACGTTCGCGTAATGACTGTAAACGACAATGGAGAAAACACAGACAATTGGGATCTGTTTGATGGTTAAAAAAGGGAAGGAGCATCCACTTAAAAAATTCGAGAAAATAGATGTGGGAATATTTGAGAGAACAGAAAAATCCGCCCACGGCCAAGAAAACAAAACTGGACATGAATATTCTAAAATATTTCCACGATTGAACAATGTGAACCAGATGACCAAGATTGGTATGGGATAAACATATTATCCAATAGTCGGTTCAGGATATTGGGATTATCCCTTGGTCAATATAATATATTTTCCCTCGGGACCTGCGGCCCTCAGGCAAATATATTATATTGGCCTCGGGATAATCCCAATATCCTGAACCTCATATAGGATAATCTCTATATATCTGTTTGTGTGGCCATGTAATAACTCCTATACCTGTAGTCAGATCCTTTAAGTAAAATTCCTTTTGGTGGCTTTGGTATGGAGGAGGAAAGGATACAGAATATACAGGAGATGAACTTTGCAATGCTGTTATACAGAACGTTACATCACTGATTGAGCTCAGGTTCTAGAATAGCTATACAGTACTGTTATCAATCAACACTAATTGACAACTCTGAACTGTGCTGTTTCATGATGATACAAATTAAGGCTCTATGCCTTTTAAAATATGAGTGTGTGTCAATGTTAGACTGTATATTTGGTTGGGTGTATTGGGTGTATTCAGTGGTCTTATTCAGGAGAATGAATGAATAATAAATTAAAATACATTTCATTTATTTTTAGTGAATTACATATTCATCTTTCCTTTGTTTTACTTTCAGAATTGATTCCGACAATATTGAGGAAGCATGTACCAAAAATGCCAACCTAGCTGCTAGTCTAGGTCGTAAAGACCTTGCCCAGATGTGGTCAATGGTTGCCATAGCTAACAATAAAATGTTAAAACCTGGTGAAGATCCTGATAAAGGAGCACCATGGGCAATGTCACCATTCGGTCGGAATCTCATAGAATCATTGTAAGTGTTCCATTAATTAATACGATTATGTGAATCGTTTTTAAATGTATGCCATACTTTAATGGATATCCTTTTCATTTGGGACAATATTGTCGAGCAATAAATTTACTTTATTATAGCCTGTAATGAAAATCATGGAATATGAAGTAAGCGTAGCGAAGGGAAATGAATACCATTCCTAAAAACAGCAACAAAAAATTCCCATGCAACCTAAAGCACTGCATGCAAAGTTTAAGTGTATCCCAGAAACAAATTTATACTGAACTTCTACTTAATTTGGTGGATCTGTCCACCGAATTAAGTAGCCGCCAAATTCCCCAGTGATTTTAGTACCATGTGAATTAGTACCATTTGTGCATTGTAATATGCCAAATGTTCAAAACAGCAAATCCACCAAATTAAGTAGCGCCAAATTAAGTAGAAGTACGGTAATCAAATATGGTCAATAGAAATTCTCAAGTATGGCATAAGAACTCTTCAATCCTGAGAAACAAAAGTTTTATAAATATCCTTGAATGATACATTTCTATTATACTGAACCCTTTCTTTCAGAATTGAGTATTATTCTAGTCTATATGATGTGCAAACATTAGCCATGTTGTGTGCCGTGTTCAGCGAGAAATGTGACCCTCGCAACCCTCCAGTTCTCCCACCCACACAAATGAATCGATCAACATCACAGGTTCATTTTATATCTTAAAGATGGTCTTTACCAGTGGTTTACTTTTACTTATTCTGCCATTTACCTGCTACACCCCAAATATTATCCAAATTTTACTTATCCTTAGCAATGATATCCATCAAAATCCAGGCCCTAGAAAAAATTTAGATCTTACCAATTTCCTTTTTTCAAATATAAATAGTATTAAAGCAAATGATAATAGCAGATTTAGTGCTTTAAAAGATCATATACATATTAACAATAGTAAAATTATTGGTTTGTGTGAAGTTGGAAACCTTTCAAATGAAGAAATTTCACATAACTATTCTATTGATGGATTCCATGCACCAGTCTATTTAAATAAAAATCGTGGGTTATTAGTTTATATCCATGAAGATATTCCTTTCAAAATTAGGCATGACTGCATGAATGACTTTGGTGATTCTATCTGGGTGGAAGTTAAAATCAATTTTAAATCAATTCTTTTTGGCACATACTATCGTTCACCATCTCAAAACCAAGCTGAGACTCAGGATTTTTTTAGTAGATTTTCCATTACATGTAGTAAATTGCTTCACTCTAAAATAGACTTAATGTTGATAAAAGGTGATTTTAATGCCAGGTGTAAAAGCTGGTGGGCATTAGATAATGAAAACTCAGCAGGTAAAATATTATATGATTATTCAGAGTCGTTAGGTCTTTTTCAACTTATAGATGAGCCGACACGAGTTACAAATTTAAGTAGGTCATGTATTGATCTTTTATTTACAAACAACCCCGATCAAATAAGCAATACAACAGTTAAACCTCCAATTGGATACACAGATCATAGTACTTTATCTACTGACTGTTGTTTTACTACTTTGAAAGAGGCGCCATACTCAAGACGGGTTTGGTACTATTCCAAAACAGATATTACATTACTTAACAGAACAATACGCGAAGCAAATTTGGAACAGTTAATAGAATCGGTAAACGATATTGATAACCTTGTGGAACAGCTTAGCGATAACCTTTTGAAAATATTCTCTGACCTGATCCCAAACTCAGTAATTAAATTCAAATCCACTGACAAACCTTGGTTTAATGACAAAATTAAAACCCTGATAAATAAAAGAAATAAGTTACATTATAAATTTAGAAAAACCCATAACTTGACCTACCTTCAAAAATACAATGAACAATGCACAATAGTTGACAATGCCATAGAGGAAGCTAAGCAAATTCATGATTCAAATTTGCGCCACAAGCTCAATTCGTATAAACATGGAAGCATGTCTTATTGGTCCATCATATCAAAACTTTTGGGAAGATCTAAAAATTCAAAAATACCGTTTTTGTTTGACCACAATGGAAATTGTATTTCCAGAGGCAATGAGAAGGCAAATTTATTTTTGGAACACTTCATAAAAAACTTTCATTTAGATGGAGAAGCTGGAAATATTTCTTTGAATCTCAGAACTCCAAATCAAATTGACATACTTTCGACCCATGAATCCGAGATTTTTGAAATACTACTTTCATTAAACATAAATAAAGCAACCGGCCCTGACATGATAAGTAATAGAATGTTAAAAATGGCAGCACCAGCCCTCTCTCCCATTTTATCTAAACTGTTCAACAAAATGTTTATTCTTCAAGCCTTTCCTCAAAAATGGAAAATTGGGCATATTTTACCTGTTCATAAAAAGGGTGATAAATCTAATATTCAAAATTTCCGTCCAATCACGCTCCTTTGTTGTATTTCAAAAATAGCTGAACGTATCATTTTCAAACGATTATTTGACCATCTACTATCAAATGACCTTTTTTACAATCTTCAAAGTGGGTTTCTGCCAGGGCACAGCACTCAGGCTCAATTATTAAGCATTATTGATTTTATAACAAATGAAATAGAATCTGGGGGAAATGTAAGGGGGGTTTATTTAGACATTTCAGCTGCGTTTGACACCTTACCTCATTCTTTGCTACTAAAAAAACTTGAATCTTATGGAATTGGCCCAAGTATTCTATCACTTTTAACATCATATCTTTTTAAGAGACAAGCAAAAGTTATCCTTGATGGTCAAGAGTCTGTTTTGAGCGATGAGGATTATATAAATGCTGGCGTTCCACAAGGATCTATTCTTGGACCCCTACTCTTCCTGATTTATATAAATGATCTCCCTGAAACCTTATCAAGCAAATGCTATATTTATGCAGATGACACATCTCTATACCAACCATATTCCAAATCAAATCTCATTGAAAGTAACACAATTTTACAATCTGATCTTAATTCAATTTTCCAATGGTCCAAGACATGGAAAATGAACTTTAAGGCCTCTAAAAGCAAAGACATAATTTTCTCAAACCCAAGGAAATGTGAATATAACGTTCCTGACCTCAAAATTGGTAATGATGTTCTACCTCGAGTTGATCATCATAAACATTTAGGTCTCATACTAGACAAACACCTAACTTTTGACCAACACATCACAGAGCTCACCAAGAGGATTGATAAACTATTAAACCCACTTAAATCTCTAAGCAACAAATTAAATGGAAAACACCTGGAATTAATCTTCAAATCTTTCATACTTCCAATTTTCGACTATTGCGATATTCTTTATGGTTGTGCAAATATGAATAAATTAAAATCCATTGATCAATTATACTACAAAGCAGCCTGCATTTGCTCAGGTGTACTACATGGAACATCTTCAACAAAAGTCTTTAACTGCTTAAATTGGCCAAAGCTATCTGATAGAAGACAAATGCATAGACTTTTCCTGATGTACCGAGCTTACAACAATAAACTTCCATCCTACGTTTTGAGCATTTTTAATCAATATCGTAGAAATCTTCCATCAATAACACGAAGAAGTCGTGACTACCAAATTCCAATCAAAACCTCAACATTTTCAAATAGATCATGCGTATTTAAATCCATCATTGACTGGGAGTCTCTCCCACCCGAAATTAAAGAATCACCAAATCTAAATATTTTTAAATCAAATGTAAAGAAAAAATTAATGACTACTTATATCATTAATTCCTCTGAGATCTCCTTGACAAGGAGCCAAGAAATTTCTCTGAACAAGGTGCGCTGTGATCTGATCTTCCAGTCCCATTTTTACGCCCACAATTTTACTAATGTACCATCCCCTACATGCAAATGTGGGTATAGCAATGAAACATCCATTCATGTTATGTTCTCTTGTAACCTTAGATCACAATATCTTAAAGATTTAGAGGATGCACTTACTCTTCTAAATTTTAATTACCCAGCATTTAAAAACCAGCAAGACAAATTATCATTGTTTTTGTATGGAGACAGAAGTCTGCCAAAAGAAGTTAATATTGAAATTTTAAGGCTCACCTCAGCTTTTATTCAAAGGTGTGCAAGCGTGTAAGTATTTCTTCCACCACCAACTGTATAATTTTGTACACAATAATTCTTTTGCTTATTGCAAATTCATTGTCATACTTTCTTTTTAAATCTTGTTATTATTTAATTGTGGCTTATAATGCTTCATTGCAAAGCCGCAACATGTGTATGTAATAATTCTATTTTACTATGAAATAAATCAAATATAAAAAAAAAAAAAAAAAAAAAAAAAAACATCACAGGATCCTGCAGCTGTGCAAGTTGACGTGAGTGACCATTTTTAATTGATCATCGCAATAACTTCATAATTTTAAAATACATAAATTATACAATTTTTTAGTTAAAAATAATTTTTCAATATTAAATACAAAATGTACATATTTGCCTTATATGATATATGCATGTTCTGTAGTATTAGAAATAATTATCAATAGATAAATATAATGTTAAAACTAGTATAGTATTATTATAGAATATAACTATTTACCAACTTAGCGACTTTAATGTATTGGCTAATTGAAAATTCTATGTCAGATACATCATTGAGTGTAATAGGGAGAGAGTACCAAATGCCAAGTTAACATCATCAAGTTTTGTTTTTAGTGTGTTTTTATTATTGTTTGATTGTGGTTTTATGATTCAATAAATTTAGAGTGATTTCATATCGTCTTTGGATTCATAAATCTTAAACATCTAATTATGTCAATGTTATTTTTCCATGTACTCTGACTGTACTAAATTAACATTGGCATACTGTGTCTAAAAAACAGAATCAAAAATCATTCTATTATTTTTGTTTGCTTAATATTCATGCACCAAGCTTATATCAGGTTTGCCAGTCATGGAGATAGTCTTGGAACTGGCTAAAATGGGAAGGGAATTAAAGAATTTTAAGATTTGTCAGGGAAAAATTAGGGATTTTCGGTTTGATTTTGTTGTAGCAAACTCTGCTATGTGTATCCCCCTAACATTTAAAGGGAAGTTTAAAGTTTTAGGGGAGACCTGAATAGGCTTGGAGCAAGACTTATTTTTAGGGCAGGTTTTAGTTTATCCTCTACCTACCTTATTGCTTTTGCAATATTTATGATTTTTGTTGGGTTTTAGACCATTCTGAGTTTCACCATATTTACTGGAGTGTTGCCATGGTTACATTATGCAGCTTAGCTATAGTTAAGTGAATGTGTGAAACCGGCACAGCTTGTGTTTATTTTATCATATATATATATGACATATGACATTATGTGGGGGTATGGTGCAAATAAATGGTAATAAGCATGCCTTAGTAATGTTTTTTAAGTGGAAAGCATACGAGTCTTAATTTTTTTTATTGCTGTGGAAATATTGTAAATAAAGCACTGGATCCACTGATGTTGGTTTGTACATGGGATGGGAGATGTATGTTTTACAAAAATCAAAATCATATAGGCATGTGTGTCTGGCAACAGTTGCCTAGCGACAATAAGTATGTTGCCATGGTTACCCTAAGCTTTGCATACCAGCGTGTGTGGCTTTTGTTTTAGACTGATTCTCACTACCTCACAATTCACTCCTCTGGTGTTAACTCCACCTGGAATATCAGTAAGTTGCTTTTCATTTTGCACGAAGGGGAGCCTTCAACAAGAAGGACTATGGTATAAGATGAACAGATCTCATTTGTTTCACTATTAAAACATGTTTAAATACACTGGCTGGCCCTTATGATGTTTACAATGGATTATAACAATGATTCAGGATAGTGTCACGCATACATGTTATCAGGGATATGTCCATTTTACCTCATGTTCCATCTTCTGCCCGAAGATTCCTTATTGTAGTGCACTGAATTCACTTTCATTACCTTGCACATCCCAATGATCTTCCTTGCACATAATAACATTTGTGATACCACCTTGATAGTCAAAGACTGTTATATCTATCCATTGCCTCTGAAACACTTCAAAAAACATTTTTGATCTAATTCCAATCAGTGTTCTCCAGTTTTTTCTCATGTTTGAATGGCTATAATGTATGGATATTGCAGCTGGTGATAGGAAAATTGCACTGTTATTAAATGGTCGGATCACAAAATTTGTTGGCTATGGGGATCATGCTATTTTACATAAAAATACTCAAAATCTCACTATGTATTTTAACTCAGATGTTTTAATATATAAAAGAAAACAGCATACTCCATGGTTCTTAGAATGTATATCATTTGCTGGTAACCTTCACTTTATTTTGAAGTCCAATAATGCAGGGAGTAAAAAATGGTGTCAGCCTACCATATGCAGCGCACGTTTCCGGTTTTAATGGCACAATATGGTGACTTGATAGTATTTGACAATGTTTACATTTGTAATCTTCAAAGCTCAGGAAGTAGTGAATAACAAAAATATATTGTAAACTCAAATGTTTTCTAGAAAGGTGCTTGTCTCTGGCCTTTATAATACTTTAAGTCATTTGAATAGTTTGAATATATTCATGTACATGTACTTGTTTTGACTGCTCACCATATTACTAGGACCAAGTGCTTCTGTGATGGATATCCCAGTGTTAATGACCAGTTTAACATCATTAGGTAAGGTGACATCCCCATCCCTTCAAACATCTCTCTTTAAACCATGTGGTATTCATTTGAGACTATTGACATTAAAGGCATTCACTGATCACATTTAATGAGACCAGTCAACGTGAATGTGTATGAAGGGATAGAGAGATGATCCTTTGAATGACACTAACCTGGCAGTCGTTGTTGGTTGTATCTGTCAATGATTGCTTAATTGGTTTCAAGTTCATATGCTTATAATCTTCTTATCCTTGGTATTGATGCTACTCGGGTTGTAATCTCCATGCTTGGATCTTACCTCTGATATTTGGTTCTGATTATTTGTTCTATCTCCTAATGCAGTTTTGTACTTTTTATGCTTGGCTGGATGAAACTTCTAATGCTTGATTTGTATTTTCTGGGATGTGTTTATTGCATGAATGTAACTTTTGTTCTTTCATTTCTGATACTTGGCTTAAGGCATAGCAAGTTTAAGAAACAAGTCATTTACATTTGTGACACAACACAAAGGTAATCATCAGGTCAACATCATCAACATTCTTTTGGTTCTGAAGTCATTTTGGTACTCAATTCATTTAAGACGACCTTAATGTCCTCAGTGCGTTCAATATAATAATTCACTTTATTACTTTTTGTGGGTGGTGCATTAACAAACATAATTCAGTGACTTAATTTTACCTAGTTTATTGACCAGAGTGCAACCACATGACAAAAATATGTATTCCCGGGAAGTACATAACGTGACATGTGAAACTGTTCATTATGCCTGCATGTGGCTATGAGACTACACTACATTACACTACACTACACTGCACACTACACTCAAGATGAACATGCTTCTAATACATGTAGGTTTATAAATGGACCATATTAAATCAGAAGATTTTATATCAAAGGGTATAATCTTTTTCCCAGGTAAAAAATGCAAAAGAAATATACAAAATACTTGCCACTGAAATAACTAAAAAATCAAAAACAATGTGGGTGTTTTTATATCCAATCAGGTAGGTATCTATAGGTAGGCTAATTGTAGAGAGCATGCAGTTTATTACCCTGAGATGTTGCTTCTGAAAACACTTGTGTCTAGAAAAATCTAAGAGGAGTTTAGACATGAATCCATATTTTGATCAACAAAGCTGAATTATAATATACAATAATTTAGAATTTTCAGACAAAAATGTTGAAAATGCCATTTACCAATTTACCAAATTTCACGTTCAAACTCATATTAGATCCTTCATGAGGCACTTAAAACACAGTTTCCAGAAATAACATGGAAGTGGTAGTTTGGGTGATGTTATACTTGGTAAACATGGTAAAGTATGGGGTTGTCTACAGGGTGACCCAAAAACAAAACTGCCCAAAGTGTATTGTTTGGATCATCCTATATGTTTCTATCTCTCTGGCCTCTACTGCATTCTACATCTGTGGTTGCAATTTATATTATGTAAGTCTTGTTTCAAGCCATGCACCCCCATCCCTACACTCAAGCATGCCGTCATTGAATGAGGGATTATCTAGTGTGTGGGAGGGGGGCTTGTGCAAGTCTGGAAGCATTTTCTAATGTGAATATACAGGTGTATTTTAATGTGTGTGTTATTGTGTATTCTTATACAGCAGCCATACAACCCCTACCACACAATACACCCTTCTGATACATCACTGAAGGGGTGGGACTATAGTAAGTCAAACTACCATTCTCCAAGAGCATAGTTTTGTCTTATAGTCTTAACTCTGCAGTAGGCAAATAAAAATGTTTGATTTTGATGAAAAGAGTGCTATAATACTAAACATCAATTTATTGTTAAAAATATTCCTTGGTGATATTGAGTAAGAAATGTCATAAAACAGTTATATATTGGAACTCATAAGATATTATGCCTTCATCCTACTTGATATACATTCTATATTATCACATTGAAAATAGTGCAGTTTATTTGCAATCTGCAGAGAAGTGAGGCATTTAGAGAAATCAATGCATTTTGGAGAATGACAAACTCTCCTCACTGGTGGTATACAGGGTGTCTCAAAAAAATGTACCCAAAAGTATATCAAGAGCACAGATAAACCAATCAATATTTTCAGACATTTTTTGCATGGTCATGTAGCCAAAACATGAAAGTTTTCTCCCCAATACACCATTTGTATTTCAGTCTTTTCTTTTTGATGCTTTAACCCTTTACCTTTTACAGCACATAATCGATGTAACCTCATATTTCGATGGCAGCCTGTATCCTTACTGCTACATTGTTCATCACATTTGATAATAATTCTGGTGGAATGTTTTGTAATTCTCTTTGGATGTTGCCCTTAAGTTGTTCTCAATCTTTTTGCTTGGAATGAGCATTAAAACACTCCTTCAAATAGCCACAGAGAAAGATGTTTGAGGATGACGACGGCAGAAAAAACACAGACAATCAGGTCAATTATCGGCAAATGATTCAGGACCTACATTCCAGGGTTAGGCAGGCTTGCCTGGAGACCAAATGATATCCAAATGAAAGCACAGTGATCTCAAATTGATACACACAACAAAAGCAACACTAGAATCTCAACCAATGCAGTTTCTTGAACCTCTGACCTCTCTGTATAAGGGGGCTATAAGACATTGTGAGGGCCTCCCTATTCACCATATTTGACGGCCCATACTTTTTTCTGTGAGGCTATTTGCTAAACCCAAGCTAAGAGACCTAGAACAACTTAAGACCAGCATCCGAACAGAAATCAAAACATTCCACCGGAAATATCAAATGTGATGAACAATGTAGTAGTAAGGATGCAGACTGTCATTGAAATATGAGGTTACATTGAATATGTGGTGTAAAAGGTAACGGGTTAAAGTATCTAAAAGGCAAAACTGAATTAAAAACTGTATATAGGGGGAAAAACTTTCATCTTTTATCTACAAGACCATGCAAAAAATGTCTGAAAATATTGATTGGTTTGTCTATGGTGTTGATATACTTTTGGGTACATTTTTTTGAGACACCCTATATATACGTTCTGTTGTACCATGTCCAACCACACAGTACCATACCTACAACAAGGGGCTTTTCTGAATCATACAGTTCTACTTGGGTTGCACAAATATGGTAAAGTCCTTCATTGGAGCTATGAGACTATGTAATTGCACATGATTTGACAGGGCATTGATACCACCTTCCTCCTGGAGTATAGATGTTTGGGCTAAGCTTGTAAATTGTTTCTCTTATCGTAGTACTTTGGGATTAATATTATGATCTCAGTTTCCTAAAAAAATCAAATGATCTCCAAAATTCAAAAATGCCAACATAACAACCCAAACATCAATATGATTGTCCCTTGTGTGGCAATTAGTAGATGTTTAAATCAAATCAAAATATGTTCTTATGTGAATTTATGTTCTTTGTGTTCTGTTTGTTTTTACAGCTAGAAGTTATTCTCAACTTACTGTTTTTCAATTGTTGCTTTCATTTGTGTGTAGTATGCTAAACAACTTGTTTGTTGACCTCCTGAGAACTCAATAGTAGTATGTTGCTAGCTGTAAATTATTTTTTATTTTAATATGCATGCAAATATAGAGCAGTGTTCTGAATTCTTGAATTTTATTTTGATGAGTTAGAGTGGAGATTTGAATTTTTTAAATTTTATTTTTTTGAAATACTATTATACTAGAAATAGCACAAATATTAATTTGCACTAAAAAGTCCTATTAACTACATTTAGAAGTGAATAATTGGTCTGCTGACAGAACTATTATCTTTTTAGTATTGTGTTCTTTCCAAGGTTAATTTACTGTATGTTAAAGCTGGACTGCGCTCCGAAACGCAATCTTGGGTTGTTTCGGGGGTGAACTTTATCATTTTGAGCCTAATGAAAGATTATAGAATGATGAACAAATGGGGCAAATCTTGTGTAGAAATACTTACGATAAATGTGTCATTTCAAAGATTATTCATTGAATTGCTTCGAGTCGGCGCCGACGATATGATTTTGGAAAAGTTTGTAAATGAAGAACGTGACGTCACTTCCGAATCATAGCATTCAAAATAAGTAGCGTTTAATTACTTCCAACATTCATTAGAAGACGGTGGTTTAGGGGTACAATTCTCGCTTAGAACGCGGGAGGCCCGGGTTCGAATCCCGCATTCGCCTTTTTATTTTTTTTAACTAAATGATTGTTCTTTGATATAACGCAGAAAAAAACAATTTTTATTTACATAAACTTTATATTAGAGCTTAAAAATGTAAAAACAATATATGTCAACATATTGCGTTTTGGAGCGATGTCCAGCTTTAAACTTCTGTGCAGCAAATGAACTGATTAATCTGAATATTTTATTGTAGTCATTTGCAGGGTGTCTAAAAATTCTTCTAATATTGACCATCTTATAATTTATTTGATTTGGTCTAAATGCATTTAAAATTTTACTCATGGTATTTAAGGTGCAGTGAAGTTAAAACGATCAAGTAGTTGGACAGAAGCATTTGAAGATTATAACTACAACCAGGAACTTGGCTTTGGGGTGGACAGTAAACAGCTTGAATTGGAACAACATGAAGCAAATATGCTGTAAGTCTCTTAGCTAAATTTAAATTTATTAAAAAATTGCAACTTATAATGACACTAAATGTTTCCTTTGCTGACATTACTACACACTATATCAGCAGTGTACATGAATTCACATCTACTGAAAAAAACTCAATCTACTAGTGTCAACTGACTATAAATACTCTACATACTTCATGTATTTCAGTATACTTGATCCTGCAAAGAGACATCAATATGACGCCTTTAAAAAAGCCTACGCCAACATTCTCTATCAGTGGGGTTTGATGGAACAGCGAAATGAGATATTGAAGTTTGTTTCTACACCCCCTGAACCACACAAAGGAATAGGTAAGATTCCAGGATTTGCTGAGGTGACATTGTTTGAATATAGATGGGGTAAAATGCAGACCATAAAACACTTCTAAAAATAAATGTTATGATGTTATATCACCATGCATTTGTTCTAATCGCAGAACCCAGCCAAAAAGTTTCAAAGCAATTATACGTACAGTTATTTTTATATCATCTTAAATAAGTGTGAAACTAAGCAAGTATATATATATTTAAAGCTGCTGTTTGCCTCGAAACGCAATCTAGGGTTGTTCCGAGGGTGAACTTAAGGATTTTGAGCTTAATGAAAGATTATACAATGATGAGCAAATGGGGCAAATCTTTTGTTAAAATACTCAAGATAAATGTGTCATTATAAAGATTGTTCTTTGAATTGCTTCGATTGTCAGCATCGATATGATATTTGGAAGGTTTCTAAATTTAGAACATGACGTCACTACCAAATTAAGTAGTGTTTAATAACACGACTTGTACGTACTAAACTGGTAGCTCAGCAGTGGAATGCTTCCTGAGTATGCAGGCGGCTCGGGTTCGAATCCTGCGCAAACATTTTTATTTTTTAAATAAATCATTGTGCTTTGATATTACGCAGAAATAAACAATTTTTATTTACACCAACTTTATACTAGAGCTTGAAAATGTAAAAATAATATACATTCAACATATAAGTCAACATAGTCAACATATTGCGTTTTGGAGCGATGTGCAGGTTTAATATGGTATTAAAATATTCCTAAAAATGCATTCATAGAAGTAGACTTTCTTAAATTATGATAATAAATAAAAATCATCACTCATGGATAGAATATTGTTCTTGTTTTAATTCATTTTAAATTGTATATATTATTGGCAGTTGTCGGCAAACTGTAATAAAATGCTTTATGTTTAATTTTCCAGAGTTTGTGACTGTATGTCATCATTGTAGAAAGGAAGTGCGTGGGGCCCAATGTGGCAGTTGTAAATATGCTGGTCTGCAATGTTCTATATGCCATATAGCGGTCAAAGGTAATGAGATACATGTATAGTACATGTAGGAATTTCTTTAATAGAATAGACTGCTGAGACATCGTCCTTTTGCTGTCATGAGGTATTTGCACTACTTTTGGCTCTAGTTAAAAGTGGGCGAAAAAGGTCATTTATAATGATTCATTATAACACATCTTTGATGAGAATTTAAATCTAAATCCGGGTAAAGTTTAAATCATCAAGATCTCTATTTTTTAGTTAAAGTCCCCGTCTAAAGTTTGAAAATATTTTTTTATCATTCATTTACTATTTGTCATGACTTAAAAAGTTATTCTAGAGATTTTTGAAAGAAAAAAAAATTTGGGAAAAAAAGTTGTGAGCATTTCATTTCTCAAATATTCAAATTTCCCGCCATTTTTCAAAAAAAGTTGAAATTTTTTAATCATCAAATATTTCTTAATGCATTTCGAAAAAGATTATCTTTTTAACACCAATGCAAAGATTGATCAAAGGACACACCATTTCAATAATAAAATGCCATATTTAATGGGCCACTTCAATGTTTTAGCATATCAAAAATATTTTGCACCAGTAGTGATGTCACTAAGGTACCCATCATTTTTTAAAAAAAATTGAAATTTTTTTTCTGATGTCAATCTTTTCTAAATATGCTAGACTTCAATAATATACCAATGTTGTTTGTCTAACCAGGTTAAAAGGAAGAATATATTATGTTTTAGATATCATTGTACCATTGGTTTCTATGAGAACTAGAATTTTTAAATGCATTTTTCTTGGAACCATTTTCATGCACTGATAAGTTCATTTCTCGCTTATTTATGAACCAATTTTCTTAATTTTTTCGGCAAAAAACATGCGAGGATGAATGCTATGCATTGGTATGAGTTGTGGCTAATTAAAAGATATGTGTGACCTCTAAAAGTTAGTTTTAAATAAATTCACAAATTTTGGAACAAAAAGTCCATCAAAAACCACTTTTTGAAATTTAAAAAAAAAGTTTCACATATCACACTTTAATAACATTGGGTAAGACTACAATATAAGCCAAAGTGGTTTAAACTTTAGATGGGGACTTTAAAAATAAGCCAAAACAAAATTAGTGGACCTTATCAAGTCAATGAACATGTTCAAAGCTCAAGGTCAAAATCTAGGTCAAAACTAGTCACCAAGTATTAATCTTACACTAACTGTCTTAATATTTTTCAGGATCGTCTAACTTCTGCCTGTCCTGTGGCCATGGTGGACATACTGGGCATATACTAGACTGGTTTCAAACACATGATGTATGCCCAACAGGGTGTGGCTGCTCTTGTATTGACACATATTCTGGACACTTTAGAGATAAATATGAATAGATAGTACTGTGTATTTGTATGGAAGGATCAAAGTTACAAATTGCTCAAAATACTACATTGCTCCACATGTGATGACTTTAAAATTGTCAGTGGGATTTATCAAATTGTTTGATATTTGAGATTAAGGTTGGACTTGTGATATGACAATTGGACCTATGTGGCATGATGTCAGTATGCAGGACATTATTTATTATTATCTGCCCACCTTAAGGATTAGCCACTCAGTGTTGGCTCTAATTAGGGAGCATATAAGTATCACCATTTCACCTGTACATTTTTCTAAACAATATGGTGATCACTGTTACTGAAAAGTAACTTTTCACAAGAGATCCAAGTGAACTAGCAATTATTTATTAACTTTGTACTGAATGAATTAATGCAACAATTGCAATAAAGAATAAATATTTTGTAAAAAATGGTTTGGTGTAATATGTTTGAATGACACAAATAGAAAAATTGCAATGAGCAAGTCACTATTTTTACCCATGGTTAATCACGCCCGGTGATCGTGAAAATGGGACGGAGGGGGGAGCAGGCAATTTCCGCAAGAAAATTCAACAAATCTGGTAAAATTACTTTTTCGAGACAGAGTTTACGATTGAATTGCAAATTGAATAAGCACACGGTATGATAAAATATGTTAGGTATTCTAGGATTATTTTTGTACCGATACTCTTTTAAGATATAAGATCTATTAAACAAGAACACAAATGTGTACAAAATGTCCCCACCAAGTGGTGATCCCGTGAAATGGTTATCCTGAAAATGAGTAGACAAGACTTTACCAACACAATTTGAGGACGGAAAATCCAAAGTGGCCACCTTAAAATTTACCCAGAATGCCAAAAAGAAAACATGTAAACAAGACTTTACAGACAAGATTTCAGGATGGAAAATCCAAAATGGCTGCCTTGACATTTACCAAGAATGTCAAAAAACTAATCTGTTTGTAGATTTTCATACTAAGAATCATCCCTGAAAATATGAAATTGATCTACCAAACGGTTCAACTGAAAACGGGTAGACAAGACTTTACAGACAAGATTTTAGGACAGAAAATCCAAAATGGCTGCCTGTACATTTACGCAGAATGCAAAAAAAGTAATCAGATGTAGATTTTCATACAAAGAATCATCCCTGAAAATTTGAAATTGATCTATCAAACCGTTCACCTTAAAACGCGTAGACAAGACTTTACAGGCAAGATTTTAAGACGGAAAATCCAAAATGGCTGCCTTGACATTTACCCAGAATGCAAAAAAACTAATCAGTTCTAGATTTTCATACTAAGAATCATTCCTGAAAATTTGAAATTGATCTACCAAACAGTTCACCTGAAAACGAGTAGACAAGACTTTACAGACAAGATTTTAGGATGGAAAATCCAAAATGGCTGCCTTGACATTTACCCAGAATGCCAAAAAACTAATGAGATCTAGATTTTTATACTAAGAATCATCCCTGAAAATTTGAAATTGATCCACCAAACAGTTCACCTGAAAACGCACAGACAAGACTTCACAGACAAGATTTTAGGACCGAAAAATCCAAAATGGCCGACAATAAAAAAGTCCTTATGAGTTTTTGCTGATTTCTTTTTACAAAATTATCACATATAACTACTGTTAACAATAAAGTAGGCTTTTACAGCAAAGTACATCTGAAATTATCTATAAAGCTACTAAATAGTTAAAGTATGAAAACTCAAAAACACCATTCAATATGATACAAAGTATTATCGCGCGCTAACTTTTCTTAAGACATTCAAAATGGCTGACATGACTGAGCTAGCAGGTCCAAAACCTAATCAGATCTAGAATGAAGTGAGCTGAACAAGATGTTAAAGTTTTAAAAGCAACTGTGAAGCAGTTTTTCTTAAAGTTTGCAGACAAGGATTTTAGCATTTGACTTCAAAATGGCCGACAGGAAGTAGGTATTAAGTTAAAATTTTTTCGTCCACATCTGTATGCACTCATAAGTTATCCCTGAAAATTTGAAGGTGATATCTGTAGCGGTTTTCGAGAAAACTGCCGGACGTACGGACGGACAGACGGACGGACGGACAGACGGACGGACGGACGCGCCTAGGCCGACAATATGGCCCCACACTATGTGGTGTGGGGACATAAAAAGGCGCAACGCAACCAACGTGCAAAGGTCAACGTTTTTGCTATAAATCAAGCAACAATGGCCTACACGACCTGTAATAAATACTTATCATAACTAAATTAATGTCATTGCTGAATTTATAAAATAAGTTTCCATACGTAAAATAAAAAATAATCGAAAATAATTAAAATGGGACGGAGGGGGGAGGGGACGGAGGGGGGGGAGTAATAATTCTATAAAGTGAAACAACTTCACATGAATTCTTGTATTTGAAAAATGAACTCATTAACTTAGTAAGAAACTGGATGATATACCCCTGGAGACTGAAAAATGGGGACATTTGGAGTAAAAGGACTTAAAGTCGCGAAACATCTCTAATCATGTCTTATATACATATTGCTCCCCCCCTCCGTCCCCTCCCCCCTCCGTCCCAAATTCATTATTTTCGATTATTTTTTATTTCACATATGGAAACTTATTTTATAAATTCAGCAATGACATTAATTTAGTTATGATAACATCACTTACAAGTATTTATTACAGGTCGTCCAGACCATTGTTGCTTGATTTATAGCAAAAACGTTGATTTGTGCCTGTTGATGGCCTTGCGCCTTTTTTAATAGATCTCATACCTTAGATGCGTATCGTTTCAGAAAAAATCCCAGAAAACCTAACATATTCTACCATACCGTGCGCCTATCCATTTAGCAATTCAATAGTAAACTTTTTCTTGAAAAAATAAATCTTCCAGATTTGTTGAATTTCCTAGCAGAAATTGCCTGCTCCCCCTCTGTCCCATATTCACGATCACCGGGCGTGTTAATAAGCCTTCTAAAGTCACAAACCAAGCTTGCGACTACAACAAAAAAAATAGAAAAAACAAAATATTTAAAATAAATATTGATTTATGTCATCTCATAATTACAAATTTACAACCTTTATATCATTAATGATTCTCAAAATGACAGACTGATTATACAGAAAAGTAGAAATAATTGGGCCTATATGCATGCAAAGTGGTGTCATGAGAATTGTAACAAATAAAATTGATTATTGCAATGAAATCAAAACTTCACAAGCTGGTTATACCAGACTGGGATTGAAATTATACTGATACAGTAATGATATTTTATTCCCTGGAAGTGTGTTTACATATTCACAGATACATTGTAACTTGTGATATTTGAATATAATTGGATTGGAATTCAATATGAATATTGAATATAATTTTGGATAGGGCCAATAGTTGCTGTCCATTACTCAAGTAGCTATCCAGTTAATACAATATGATACATGTTAAATAGGTATTACTCTAAAACATGGTGTGTTGTATGTACTAAAAACACCATACATATAAAAGTTTAAATATCAGACAATACATGAACATAAATAAATTAAATAAGCTACAAATCATCGTCATTTGATGACAAAAATAAAGCCTTGATATGCACATTAAAACATCAAAAGCATCACGTTGAAATTCTTCAACCATTATCACTGGTACTCACCTAGTTACGCTGACGATATGTCAGCGTAACAAGATGGAAGAACTTCCGGGCTTCAGTTTCGGTAAGATATTTTTATTTCTCGATTAAGGAAGATAGTCTAGTTTGAGAATATGCAGGCGGTTCTATGTTTGGTATATTAACGAAGACGCAATTCACATATTTAGTCCCTCGCTTTTGTTATGTTGACGATCTTCATGGATATTGCCAATGTGACAATATTCATGTCTGACCCTAATTTTGAACAAAATTATTGTCCACAACTTGACTTATAAGTGGTGTAGAATCGAGAAATAAAAATATCTTACCGAAACTGAAGCCCGGAAGTTCTTCCATCTTGTTACACTGACATATCGTCAGCATAACTAGGTGAGTACAAGTGATAACGTTCAAACATATACAGGAACTCAATTTCAATCTATTATTTAATACACTTATTCGATTCTATCTTGCATGGATTTCACCCAAACATCAATACATTTTAGTATTCTCCAAAAAATTAATTTGATTTTAATTAATTTTGTTTCATGAAATATGATGTTAACAACAAAACTGCAAAAATGTTCGTTGGAGAACATTGATATTGAAGTATAAATGAGACACAGTTTCAAACATCAAGTAGACATTTTGAAGCATTGTTCATGAAATGGTAAAGAAGTCATGGGCATAGCGCTATTTTTATGAGTAGTACCACTGAACACAGGAACCACAGGAACATGAGTTGAACAAAGCAAAAAATGAGCAAAACCTCCCCCCAGAAAATTTTGAAATTTGTTTGTGTTTTAAGTATGTTTGCAACCATCTGGTAGGCCCGTGTGAACTAGGCGTACTGGGCACTACGCCCATGAAAGTTTCATCACTTGAGCAAAATACAAAGTAACCAGAATTTTTTTTTATCACATCATCAGTACAGAGAAAATGGAATGATCATCTTTGACTTCTAAAGTGATCCACACTTTCTGAGTGGAAGAGTTCATGATGTGTCTACTGTCTTATTACTATGCTGTTTGAACCATCATTGATGGCCTGGTTTGATGAAGATGTGCTGTGTCACCTGGTTTGTTTGAGTTCATGATGTGTCTACTGCCTTAGTACCATGCTGTTTGATCCTTCACCCATGGATTGATGAAGATGTGCCTGGTCACCTGGTTTGTTTGAGTTCATGATGTGTATGCTGTTTGATCCTTCATTGATGGCCTGGTTTGATGAAGATGTGCTGTGTCACCTGGTTTGTTTGAGTTCATGATGTGTCTACTGCCTTAGTACCATGCTGTTTGATCCTTAACCCATGGATTGACGAAGATGTGCCTGGTCACCTGTTTTGTTTGAGTTCATGATGGGTCTACTGCTATTATGCTGTTTGATCCTTCACCCATGGCCTGGTTTGATGAGGTTGTGCTGTGTCACCTGGTTTGTTGGAATCTGTTGCGTATCTCCTGGCTCCCTGGAGGGTAAACTGGAGCTCTATGATCCTCGACTACATGTTGAGCAAATATTGGTTCATCGGAACTGAAATACATGACATATACAAAATATCAATGACCATCTTACAACAATGTATATTATCCCCAACATCTTATCCCAATGTGACTACAATTAAAACACAAGAATGGGCCAAAATGTGCAACTGGAGTACACAGTCAACACCTTTCTATCTCATCTCCCCGTCATTCTGATACTCAGACCATCCCTGCAATGCACAAGAATGTTTTAGAAAGGAAACTGAGAGAAGGCTGTGATATCTCACGATGTCTCCCCGTGACCTTGGTATAAAACATAAACATTTTCAAAATCGCGAAACTTAAGTCCAACTTTCTTAAAACATAATTTAGTTAAATATATTTTTACCGCATCATATGGTCTATATCATACCGACTTGGCAATATTGTCCAGATCTTAATTCCATTTTTCTGAATTTGATTGAGAACTGACACTAAGAATCAGGTGTAAGATGTTTTTCAATGCATAGTTATTTGCCTTTTTCAATGCATTATTTTGTCTAAATAATTAGTATTATAAATTGAAAAATTATCAAATGCATCTTGTCTTGTGAAACATTGCAGACTCTTTATTATGTAATATTAACCAAAGGTGGAGAAATTTTGGTATAACTTACTAAAAATGTGAATATGCCACAAAATAATAAATGATGAGAGCTAGAACCAGGATGAAACCAGCTAGAATGTACAGGAAGAGACCAATTCCACCTTCCTGGAAGTAGAGAATACAAACAAGTCATAAGCAACATTTTTTTTTAGATATTCAGGATGTAGAAAATGTACAATTGAGATTGAAGATTAGTTGAAGGCAATTTAAACAACAATATTATTTCTCACTATTCTCAACTTATTCCAATATAATGATAGAAATAACACTTATTTGAGGGGGTGTATCCCACATGAATATAAAAGAAAATCACACTTACTTCAGGGGGTGTATCCCAATATTTATCACAGTCTAACTTGGAGCATATTGCATCTGTTAATTTATCTGAAAACATTTATATGTATCAGCTCAATGTCACGAGAAAGCATGGTTCATGACAATAACTGCTATGGATACTGGTTATTGAATTTTGATATTGGTTTGTACATTTAAGGAATGACGATTCTATAATTTATGGCGCAATATTACCAGAAATTTCAATCTGTTCATTGTCAAAAGATCGAAATTGTGTAGCGGTTTTTGACAATGGCCAGAACAAAATATGGCCATATATTTGCCATAAATCATAGAATCTAGGTCTTTTTACGATTCGATTCTAATATGATAAACAAACCAGAAAAACCAACTTTTAGCATTGTTATGTCACATATCATATTAGAATTGGAGATACATCATTAGAAATATATGCTGTGTCCCAAAATAAGCTCTCATATCAAGAGGCTTGTTCTATATTGCCTCAAAGATCTCAAAGTAAATGATCATTTCAACCAAATAACTAAATTATGACTACTTACTATAAAATTCTCTGTTCTGTATGCTGCTCAAATCTGGTGGCACACATTTTTTTAAAGATTCCTAAAATGTAAAAGGTTTTGCATCATGGACAATACCAGAACAACGGCAACGCCAAAGCGTAGCGAATCCCATCGAACAGAAATGGCTGGCATTTTTACAAACGAAGCGCAAATATCATAAAACAACACACCAGAAAGGCCACCATTTTCAAAATGGTTGCTCACTTAAGCCAAGTTGTCATCAGAAGAAATAATATGCTTTTAAGAAGCCACCTCTAAAATTTTTTGAAAAATCGCACACATACTTGTAAAATAACACACGTAAAAATGGTGGCCATTTTTCAAAATGGCCGACTACTCCCCAAAGTTTTATTAGACAATGTGCTATGCTTAAAGTATTCACATATCAAATATGAACAAAATCGCTCCACTACTTTTCGAGTTATAGTAAAATACGTTAAAATGGCGGCCATTTTTCAAAATGGCCACCTTCTACCAAAAGCGTCATTAGAAATAGAAGGTGTTCCATGCTTATATAGTATTCACATACCAAATATGAACAAAATCGCTCCACTACTTTTTGAGTATTAGTAAAATACGTTAAAATGGCGGCCATTTTTCAAAATCATTTTCAAAATGGCCGCCTTCTACCAAAAGTGTCATAGGACAGTGTGCCATGCTTATAGTATTCACATACCAAATATGAACAAAATCGCTCCACTACTTTTCGAGTTATAGTAAAATACATTAAAATGGCGGCCATTTTTCAAAATTGTTTTCAAAATGGCCGCCTTCTACCAAAAGTGTCATAGGACAGTGTGCCATGCTTATAGTATTCACATACCAAATATGAACAAAATCGCTCCACTACTTTTCGAGTTATAGTAAAATACGTTAAAATGGCGGCCATTTTTTAAAAATGGCCGCCTTCTACCAAAAGTGTCTTTAGACAGTGTGCAATACTTATAGTATTCACACACCAAATATGAACAAAATCGCTCCACTATTTTTAGAGTTACAGCAAAAATCGTAAAATGACGAGTAAAGGCCGCCATTTTTCAAGATGGCTGCCATGTGCTTTTTAATATCTACATTTGTAGCATTATTAATGTCCTTTATAATTTTTTTTACATTTAAAACATATTGCTATTACAGTTTTACATATTGCACCTAAATTACTGTAAAATCGTCACTAAAATGGCCGCCATTTTGAAATGAGCGGCCATTTTGAAAATCGGCTTTCGAGCAGAACTTCTATCCTCATAGGGTATATGTGTACGAAATATGAACAAAATCGGGCCAACGGTATTTGAGTTATTGCCCGGACGGACGGACAGACGGACGGACGGACGTACGGACGGACGTACGGACGGACGGACGGAGGCGTTCCCTATATCCCTCCGAACTTCGTTCGATGGGATAATAAAAACACTCCTGTTTAAATGAATAAAAGTCCATTCTCTTTGATTTATTTTAAAAATTAAAAAAAATGGGCTCAATGTGGCATTAGAGAGGATATAGACAACAGTTTTGAAAAAATCATCACATTTTTAAAATATCTTTTGCTTTCATCCTTCCATGTCAATTCTAATGGATTTGGGCATCTCTTTGATAACTTGATCAGATATCTCAGTTTTTTTAGATTATGAAAAAAAGATTGCTTCCAACATTTCATGCTCTACAGTTTGAGCAATAAATAATTAGTCTAATTATTAGTCACAGATTTGCTGAAGTGACTACTCATTTATTTATTGCTCAAACTGTATGTCCCTTCTAATTCCTTAAGATATTCAAAATCAAGCAGGAAATCAGTTGGTGAATAAATATCATGAAATTAACTACGACACCAACCTTGCACTTAGTATGTTTATTTTTCATTTCTTCGTGTTTACACATGACCATCGACCAATAATCAGGTTTCTTGATCCCCATTATGATGTCACAACGGAATATATCACAGTAGTCGGCCAAACATACTGAAGTTGGGCCCTGCAATAAGAAATAAAATATGACTTATTACATGATAGCATTTTTAATCAATCAATGCTACATTGACGCAAGGTAAAGTAAATCAGAAAATAAACACATTTTAATCAACTATTTTAACAGTAAAAAATATTTAATCTGAATGCCACTGGAACCAGCCAAAAGTACTTGGATTAGCAGGTGTGTACATTTCAAGGTTTTTAAAGATGAGAGTCAATGGGCAATAAACTTGGGATAATGAAAGTGTTCAGATTGAGGGGTGTTCAGATTAGAAAGGCGTTTGGATAAACAAGTTATCACAGGACAGTGGACACTGAATATATATCAATTACGATCACTTATATTACTGAAGACTGATACTAACTATGAGACAACTTATATTTGAACACTTATTTTCTTCATTATTTCATTAGGCAGAGAATACTATATTACTTAATTAACATATGTTTGTGAAAAAGTGAAAGCTCCCCACTGATAAAATCCCCTTCGAATATCTCAGGATCAGCCTGAAAAGCTTTCCGCTGGTACATACCTTTTTTATCTGCTCTGGATGCCTGTTATCAAAATGTTGATCCAGAGTTTTCTCAGTGTAAAAAGCTTTTCCGCAGATATTACACATCCAATGAGATGGTCCATCCATCTGTTTGAGATTTTCCTGTTCTCCATATATATCATGGTCAGGGTTAAAAGGACATTGAGGTGGAAACTTGAGATTTGCTTTTTGATATAATGGAACCATAAGCTGAAAACAAAAGTATTGATTTCATTATATTTGAGGGAATTGTAGTGTTTATTTTAAAGTTCTACAAAAATACTCTTGAAATGGAATATCTTAAATAAATATAGACTTAGAATTTTGAACATGTTTAAATACCTATACATGTACATACTTTTAAATTTATATATTATTGTTCTCTTTTTGTACTATGAAATCCCTGTTTCCAAGTTATCATCAAGATCTCGGGTCAATTATAAATTACAAAATATTGATCAATTAAAATTCTTTGAACTCTAGGGGAAAAACCCACATCGCGATAACTGTACCCCTTTTGTCTTTATCCTTCCAAAGTGCTTGCAAACAGCAGATAAGAGGGGCTCTGGCATACCAGAATGGGAAAACACACACAATTTTCATGTTTTAAAACAAGTCAAAAAAGTAAAGTATATTTTAATAGAGACAAACAAGGCAAGGGGTGAATTAGTGAGATGGCGCCAAAAATGCTTAGTGAGCCCCTTGCTTATATCCGATATGTAAAATTCTTACATCAAACACAGTGTTCCTCACAACCCTACATCTATCCCTGGGACAAGAAGTGCCATATGTAGGGCGTAATGTACTGGCCAAGGTTGTCTGAAAATACATGGGAACATAAGTTGAGTCCAAGTGTCAAACATGCATTTCAAAATCATGCGAATTCATAGTACTGTCATATTCATATCAGTCAAAAGTTGCACCTTGTCTTCTCCTGAGTTATTACTGCAATTGAACATCAATATTTTCATTAAAATATTCACAAAAACTAAGACAGTCTCTAGCCTTCAATTCATACTGAGGAGGTGAATAATATTAGTGATTTAAAAAGCAATTCATCAACAGTGTAGGCTACATCAAATTAAATTGTAGTTTTAATTCCCGACAATAGGTGTCAACACGTATTATGGTGCTGGCCTATGTATTAATCTGAACATAGTAAAAATTCTTACAATAAGCAATTTATACGTGTTCTTTTAGTAAGTCAAAAGATTCTGTTCAGTGACCTTTCCTGAGCACCTACTCTTAGCTATTTTTAAGTCAGATTGAATCGGCAAAATTCGGTGGTATGGCTTACCTTCGGTTGTATGGCTTACCTTCGGCTGCATGGCCCAACCTCGATTGATTGGAACACAATGAAAATGGTCAGAATGACAATAAACATAATGAAATAAACTTTTCAGCCCTCTGTATTTATTGAGCTACTGATATTACTACAAAAGAATCTGGCCGTTATTTATGTAGACATAGAGATCTATACCGGGATCTAAATTTGAAATTTTCAAAAAAAAAATTAAAAATAATTTCAGAAATAATTTTTAATCGACAAGAATCGAATATTCTGAGAGGAAAATCAAAATATTTACTTACCAAAAGAGCGAATGTATATATTTCGTTCATATTTACACGTCTATTTAATTAAATCGTCTGTCATTTTAGTACAATAATCTAAAACATTAAATTATTTTTCAAAATAAATTTTCAAGGGGGCTGCCATTGCAATCCCACAATTCTTAACAAGAATCAATATTTTAATTTACTGCCAAATATACCAATACTCGGTTCAATTTAAATTGTGTTGGCTGCTTTTGTAAGGGTTTTATATAAAAAAAACAAAGTTGTTTAAAATCATTACGGTGAATTCATCGATAGTTTGTTGAAATAATAAAGAGTTTACCTGGTAAATATTTTCTGTCATGTTTTCGTCTGCTCGCCATCTTGTTTGAGAAACGCGTTTGGCCACTGTTCATGCATTTTACAAGCTGCGGTACATTGTAAGCCATTTGATATGGAGAAACAACCACAAGAACCTCTTGGCAGAAAAAGAAAACGTGCTGGTACACTTTCAGCTAGACTCCATCAACATTTTATTGATTATTTGACAAAAAATATCATACCTTCAAAAGAACAAATTTTGAAAGCTGGGTTCAGGTTTTGCAATGAAGCTACTCCAAATACAGCTTGGGTTCCCAAATTTAGGGCTTGGGCGAATAATCTTGCATATGATGATGCCAAGCAAAAGCTTATTTTCATCAAAACGGGAAAGGAGGTCATCCCTCGTGAGGAGTTCTACAACGCAGTCATGACTGCGCACTTTGAAAGATCAGGGAAACACCACAATGGACTGCACAAGACAGATATTAAGGTAGTTGAACTAAACTCAGGTTCTTTTTCATAAAACGGTTAACCTTTTATTTTCCCAGTTTCAGAAATGACTCTTGAAAGACCATGTGTCTATAATTCTAGTAGTACCCTACATGTATTAACCTCAACCAGAGCATGTGGTTTCTGGAAGAGGTCGTCCCTGAGTTACATGTACCTTCTTCGAATACAATCAATTTGGCTAGATGACTAGAGTAATCCCTGATTAGTACTTGGTACTTAGTATTTGGAAAGTCAATGTAGGAATTATATTGATATCATTTTTATGTGCTACTTGTATTGTCTTATAGTGATCATACTGTAGCATAAATATTCCATTTACAATGATTATGATGTACCCCACATTTTCATTTTAGGTTCAAGAAAAATACACAGTTGGAAGACGTACATTTGGAATGGCTAAACAGTTCATCCGTGAAGTTGTAGAAAACTGTCCAGACCCATATTGCCAGAGGAAGAAACTACGAATGAAAAGGAATGGTTCAGACAAAGTACCTGTTAAGCAGGAATCCCAAGAAGATGACTCTAATGATGATGTGGATGATATCATTGATCATAATGAAGCAGAGAATTTAGAGACTCCAAGTCAGATTCCATCGTCTCCATTACCCCCTGTGAATTACGCTTGTAAACAGGAACAACAAACAGAGTTTAGCCCAGTGCCAAACTTTCCTCCAGAAGACAAAGATGAAGTCCTGGTCCAAGCTGGTGATCAAACTCTGGTTATGAGGACGTCAGCGACTCGTGAATCAGATGGTTCCAAAAAGAAACGAAAGAAAAGAAAGAGAAAACATAAAGATCAACAAGGTAAGTGTAAGTACATGTTCATGTATGAGGATTGAATATGCTTCCCACCAAATCAATCACAATAGGAATCAATCACAATACAAGGTGGCACAAAGAATGTCACCAACACACAATGTTTAGTAATAGTAATGTTTGTTGCATATAACTTTTTTGTCTTTAGGGACTCTGACTTGTTCTTTAGCTGCTGTATATTGATATTGTCATTTTGGTATCCTCACAAAAATGTTATCAATTAATAAGTTGTTATATTTCCAGATGTTGACCACAAGAAACCAAGAACAACACCAGTCCAGATGAAGAGTGTGAAAAATGTTCATACATTTGGGGCCAACAGGCAACATTCTCAAGCTCCAGTGATGCCTCAAGTACCCTACATGAGACTTCCAGATGGTAGCATGATGTACAATATAGACTTCAAAAGTGCCACTGGAACATCCATAAGATCAATCAAGATTCTACCCAAGCCTAGGCTGACCAACAGTGGCCCTGGTTGTAGTAATCGACCATCACAGCAAGCCAAATCTAAAGATAAACGCTTGGAATTTTTCAAATACTTTCAGCTCCAGCCAAAGGATAAAGAAAAACTTGAATCAGGCCAGCATGAACAGTCTGATAGTGATAATGACAAAAATGATGCATGTGATGATAAGGTGGATGATACCAATGAGTATGGTGAAGATTACAATCCTGATGAGAATAATAACGTCATTGTAGAGACCAAAGAACCAGTGCCACCTAATGGTCCAGATCAGAAACATCCTCTTCTAAAATTGGGTACAACTGACCCAAATAATCCTGGTAAGAACTCTGCCACTGCCACACATTTCCTTACTTTCATTGAAACAAGAATTTAATATAAATTTGACATGATGGATGAAGTTTACACAACCATTCATCTGACCTTTATTTATTTAAAATCTCCACAATCAAAATCATTTGTACATTTCAGCATTTGCACTACCAGAATAGAGGGAAAACCCTCCATGTTCATCTGGACTTAAAGATAGTTCATGTAGTAGTTGCATCAATGAATTTTTGAGTATTTCCTTCTCTTCATCACCTGGATCTATGTTCATAATTTTCAATTACAGTTAATATTCAAGGGCAATTATTAAAATCCTTCAAAACTTATTTGTCCTGTTCTGTAATTTTCTAACATGGTAGCCTAAAATGTTCCCATTGTTATTACTGCAGGCAAGCCAGCATTCATAGCTATTCGAGGAGGTCATGGTGCAATCATCTTGAGGCCTGTAGGACATCTTGGTCCAGCAGCATCAAGGAGGTCGAGTTTACCAGCAGAACCAGCTTCTGTTGCACCAGGTAGGCTCCATCTTCATGCAGTTTTTGTGAATTTCATTTTCACCATCAAGTAGTTGTGACATAATTTTTATGGGCTCCACTTTTTGTGACTGACCTTTAACGTCTGTAACAATTAAGAAACTTAAAAAGTAATGTTCAGGTTGATTATCAACTTTTTCTGTGAACACACTGATTTTACAGGTCAGGTTTGATTTAAACAAATTGCTAGTTATCATGGCTACAAATTAGGTGACATAGATTTAGGACATATGGAGAAGTATTTGTTGTATTTGCAATAAAGTGATAAATAATGATGATATAGTAAAATTGCCTTATATGGTGAATACATATGGACCCATTTTAATATCTTCTGATTTTTGACAATATTTGTTGCCATAGCAATCATGAAAAAGTGAAGATTTGAGAAATAATTTTAGGCAAAATTTGTTACCAAAGTAATAATTAATAGGACTGTTGCAGAGGAATTGAATAGTCTAGAAACATCTGAAACAAACTAGAATAACTTATAACAATATGTCTGATTGTTTACTATATGTAGTTGAATGTTGAAGGTCATTTTGTAGATTCTCCGGCACTGGGTGACAGATATGAGAAGATTGTGACACTCATACAAGACATGAAACGTGACATCCTACCAGCCTCAGTGGGCAACAGGGGGTCAACAGAACGTCTTAAACGCAGTAAGTAGCAATGCAAGGTGTTTCATGAATACATGTGTATATTATTATATAAGTGCAGAAGTAATTTATGGAATGGAACCACAATACGATTCAATTTATTTCAGATTTAGAAATTAAAGCATGATTGTTCCTGACATAAAATCATGGAAATGCAAGCATTAAGCCAGATATTAATGATTAACCAAACTACATTTACATATTTAAATAATTTAATGGCAATATTTACTCTTGAAAGCTCAGCTAAAATGTCAATTTTTTCATCAATGAATGAAGGATCTAGGCCTACTTTATTTTTCCCTGTAGATTAAATCTTATTGACATTCAGTGTTCTGCCGAATCAGGGGCCCATTAACAGAACCTTCTTAAAGTTCAGAATTCGTAAAGTCCATTGTTCTCTATCTATGAGGTCATCATATCCATGGTTACAACAATTGATATACGATTTCGTAACTTTACCACTCCCCCCAGTTTTCTGCAAGTTAAAATGCTCAATTCTGCAAGTGAAATTAGTGAATTCTGCAAGAAGAAAGGGCTAATTCTGCAGAAATTCCGCGGATATTCGCGGCATTTTTTCGATCAATAACTTAATAATATAAATAACTGTTATTAATTTATGTCTTTGTTTAACTTTCTGACGAGAACCGAAAGAAAAACTAATGGTTTTCGAACCAGTAAACGGGAAAATATCGTGATAGTCAGGTAGTCAGTCACTACATACATGCTGCCATCTAACGGCAGAAATCAAACGATGGCGTTTAGAATTTTCACTTCGCATAATTTGGGTTATTTCTGCAAGGGATTTGACTGAAAACGTGTCAAATTGTTACAGGTAAGACTGACTTTTTAAACTTTTGGAAAATATATGGATTCTGCGGAAAATTCCGCGGAAATTGACCAAAATAGTTGATTCTGCAATTCCGCGGGCAGAGGCAAATTCCGTCCGCGCTCTGCAAACACGGAAACCTGGGGGCAGTGCTTTACGAAGTTTCTGTTAATGACCCCCTGATTGTTACTTCCACACTTTATTTCAGAGATTACACTTGCTGAAGATCTGATCAAAAACAAATTGGGAGAAGCTGGAACTGATCATCATGAAACATCCAGCAATAAGAACAACTCTAATGATGTTCAACACAATCCAGCCATCCTGGATGTAAATACAAATGTTGTTGATGAGGCACATGCTTCTGGGCCACCTCTATTTCAATCAAATGATCTACAATATGAGAATATCCTGACAAGGTGTTACGATGAAGCTGATAATACTGCTATCTTTCCTTCAAATGATGTCTTGTCTATTTCAAAGAATGAGAGCATGGGAGGGCTCAATGAGCAAGCTTGTGAAGTTGTTGAGAAGAATATGACATGGAGCCCAAATGAGGAGGCGATTGATCTAAGCATACGGACTGTGAGGGGCCTGAATGCAAGAGCTCATGAAGCTGCAATAAATCTAAGTTATATTGCTGAAAAAGGGACCAACACTAAACAAGATACTTGCAGATCCAAGGCATTTGTTAGCTCTCCACATGTGTACACAAAGAAACTATGTACCAGTACACAAAATGATGAAAAGGAACCTAATGGTGGTGAATGTGATGGAGAGATCATCAAGGCTGCCCAGAATGAACTTACAGATGATAGCGACATTCCAACATCATTTGATGAGGTGTCCAGTTCTACAGGAGATACCCCACTGGTGAATGAGGCAAGGGTGAGTTTATGTTTTGCAAAAATGTTTTCTTCGCAAATACTGTTCATAAGCTGTTCAGGTTTCTGAAATCATCAAATTTAAGTTTCAAATTATGAACCCTATCTGCCTGATCCACTTTTTGAAATTTTATTTTATTTTTTTCTTTTGAAAATTGCACTTTCTACAAAATAGTTTCTCCAAAAGAGGGTTGTAAGAAAATTTTTTTCACTCTTTAAATGCTCATGGGAATTCTTTTTGAGGGTCTCTTTATGAACCCCTCGTGAGCGAAAAGATTCTGATGCATCGAAATTGCTAACAAGGCATTAACATGACACAGTGTCATGTTAATGTTGCTCACAATATTATTAGTTCAATCCTAAGTCAGATTTGAATTTCTGAGAACTTGTAGATGATTTTTGAAAAAATGCTCAATTTGAAGCAAGTTGAAAAAAGACCTTTTTGACCCTGAGGCGAGGAGGTCATTGAAGGTGACATCTCATATCTAATATCAGATTTGAACTTTTGAGAACTTGTAGATGATTTTGGTCAATTTGAAGCAAATTGAAAAAACACCTTTTTTCACCTTGAGAAGATCATTGAAAGTCAAATCTAAAGTCAGATTTAAACTTCTGATAACTTGTACATGATTTTGAAAAAATTCGGAGCAAGTTGAAAAAATACCTTTTTGACCTTTTTAACCTTTCTTGACCTTGAAAAGGTCATTGGAGGTCAAATCTTGATTATAAAGCCAGATTTGAACTTCTGAAAACTTGTAGATTATTTTGAAAAAATTGAAGTCAGTTTAAACAGTATTTTTTAAGTTATTGGAAGTTGTAAGAATCTGTTACAGAAGCCAACAGCCGATCACCAACCACCAACCGCCGCCACAAAAAACAGAGACCAAAACAATATGTCACCACCTTTCAATTGTTTGTGAGTATCTCCTTTTCGTAAGGAGCAGCCATAAATGATAAAGGAAGAGTATAAAGAAAACAGAAGGAAAACAATTTTCCTCTTTATAAAAGCCCATGGGGCGCTCATTTTGAGAGCTTTCAAATCACATTTTCAAGAATCTCTGCAATAATATACCATAACATGCAATATACCATAATGATATACCTCCTTGAGCAACGGATCTTTAGTAACATTGTTGACTTTCACTTGACCATTCAGTTGACATCTTGTTATACCTGTCTTATATACATTAAAACCTTTGTATATTGAACATTTTTTGCAGAGAAAAAATGTATATACAAGTATGCAGGGAGGGTGTCCACAAGGGACAGGTGTTCATTAGAGAGAGTCGTTCACTAAGACAGGTTTTACTAACAGCATTGATGAACTTGAGCACCTAATCTCAATCACCTATTTAGCACAATGTACAGATGTAACATTAACTTGTTAAACTGGAAAAGGAGTTTGGGTTAGAATTTGCCAGGACACCATTTTTTGTTTAAAATAAAACTGAAATGAAGTGCAAGTAGAGTAGGTATATAACACAAATAGCACCGTTACTTGATATTTAATATTTAGCATTCCCAAAATACCTATTGCATGTACAGTAATTGGAAGAGACAGGAAGGCTTCAACAGAATATCAAGATAATGTTCACCTTGTCCTCTTTATTATCTTCTTGAATACAAATACTACACATATATAAATACATAGGCGTAGCCTGCCAGGGGGGTGCGATAACCAATAACACCAATAATAGTAGAATCATAAGATAGAAGAAGAAAAGAGATTTGAAATGCTTTTTATTTGAAGCGTCTAGCTCAATTTTGAAGAAAGTTGCATCAATTTTTGTAAAATTCAAAATAAAATCTTATTTTTATTGGCTTGTTTATGCCACAAACGCACCCCCCCCCCCTGACTGGAAACTGAAATATTTTTGGCAATCGCACCCCCCTTACTGAAAGCTAGCTACGCCCCTGAAATACATGTATGTATGTGCAGTCACTCTCATGATCCAATATGAATTTCATTTATCGTCACTTTCAAACCAGCTGTTCACTTATTTTTGATATATTTTATTTAAAAGATAGCATATATAATGTATTACATACAAATTACAGAACCACCTATATTATGAAAAAGTTTGAGATCCTAATCCATCATATACAATTGCAAGTTGCAATATAAACTTGGCATTTGCTACAGTATTGCACAGTGTTATATAGTCTACACAGTCTGACAGTACAAATATATAATGTTTGGCATTGATGGTGTTCAGAATGCCAATTTGATAAGCAATGCCATTACCTGTCATAACGTCTTCAGTGATGCCATGATCCAACTAGATTGCCAATCACAAGCCACAGCTCAGGACAGATACTGTATTTGTCTTTAATTTGGTGAATCAAAAAAAAATCGCCAATTTAAATAGTCACCAAAATCCACAGTATTTTTGTTTTGTTTTTCTATATTTCATTCGGAACACTTCCATTAATAAGCATGCAAAGGCACTTTAATTTTGAATTATCTCAACAACATTCTTTTCAAACACATCGTTCATTTAATAATTGAATCAAAAGTGATTTAATCTCTTGATTAAAAAATGAAATAGACACCAATATGTATATATCCCACTTGGTCAAATGAAGTAAGCCTAGCGCCAAATTATAGACAAATACAGTCATGAATGATATGTGTCAAAACTGTGATTCTGCAGTAATCCCACATTTAATTATGTGAATACAATGAGGTCTGAATGCTATGATCGTTTCAATACAAATACTGCATCATGTAGAACATAAAACGATTGCTCCATATCTCCCTCACATAAATATGGAAGTCTAGTGAATTTTAACAACTGAAATCCAGCTGGCAGAAATATGTCATTTATGAGACTGGTTATTTGTTCCTCAAATGTCCTTCCTGAGATTGAAACTGTTTCTATTTGTCTGTTGTCTTCTGATCCTGAAAAACAGTATTTGAAGAAATTGTCAATAGCTCTAATTTTAATTTTTCATTCATGAGTCACTCCTAGCTTTAACTACTAAGCCTAGCCCAGTTAACTGACTCTGTCAGTACATGCAGTATATGTGACCAGATGTAGTACATGAATGCATGTACAGATCATCTATATTTTCAGGATCACAACATGGATGACCCTGATGCAACATTGGAGTTCCCCCAGGAATTCACACCACTCAACACTGATGATGAGTCTCAAGCACCTATACAAGAGGATACTCCTGAACCACATGTTCTTGATGAGAGTGAACATAAACCCAAAATAACAGGAAAGGGACATATAAACGTTCATCAGAAAAGTGGCAAACAGCTCAATAAGTTGACAAAACAACAGCACCAATGCGAACAAAGGCGACTGAAAGAAGCTACAAAACAACATGAATTGACCCAGAAGAGATTGAAACTGCAACTGGAGTACTTGAAACTAAAGCATGAATCAATGAGATTGAACAAAATCTGTATGCAGAAGAAAACTGAGATCCTAAAAAAGTCAATGGAGATAGAGAAACATGCCCTGAAATATGGAATGTCCACCAGTAAAGGTAACCCAGGGCTTAGCATGCTGAATGATTTCAGAAATGTTTACAAAGGATTGAATGATTCAGATTCTGAAGGTGGAATGTAAAGTAAAAGGGCTTATACAAGTACAGTATGTAACATAAATATTACCACTACATATACATAAACTTTTGATTCTTGTGTACAGCCATGGGCTATGGTATACTATAGAAAACCTTTGGTAATGTCACATGTGGTGTAACCATTTAATGTACAGGACTGAAGGCAGGCCAGTAACCAGATGTATGAAATACAGAAGAGTATGAATTCAGCCTTGTACGGCAATATTAATTTGTAAGTTTAGAATTGAAAATGTTATTACTAAATGTAATGTATATGCAGCTTAAAGGGTGGCAAAAGCCTTCATTTTGAAATTCTGTTTTATGTCTTATATCACCAATGTACATTATAATTGAAATAGGATGCATGATATGAAAAAGGAGGAAATGCTCCATAATTCATAGATGAAGCTATCACCATGTGCCATGTGGAGATGAAACTGTTGAGGTTCAATTCTTAAAAAGGAGATAGGACCACCTGTGGATTCTGGGATATTCCCTCCTCAGATATAAGAGGTTAAGCTATCAAAATCTTCTGATTTGAATTTTTTCAATGGCTGATATAGTCTTAACCAAAAACACTCACCAAACTCTACATAAGGTTTAAAAGAACCAAAAACACTCACCAAACTCTACATAAGGTTTAAAAGGTAGGACAACTGCAACAACAAGTCTCCCTGTATCAGGTGCCAACACACGGTGCATCTCTTGTAGCAATGTGATTGGTTGAGCAATACGATCTAACAGATTAAGGCATGTGATGACATCATATGTATGTTTCCCATCAGCCCATTCATCAATCTCTAATATCCTGTAATAGATACAAGGGCTGATCAAAAAATTTTGCATAACACATAACCCAATATAGAATTATTCAATTAGTGAATATATAATAAGTTAGCTAAATGTATGATGCCACTTTTGCTCACATTGTATAGAAAAATAGGCATTAAGTTCATGGCTGTCTGGTGTATTTGAAACAATGCAAATGTATTTGTACATTTAATGGTTTTTGATGGGCAATATTTTATTTTGAAAGCATTGTTATAAGTAAGAAACAACTAAGACTTAATGTTTGTTAGTACAGTTAAACCTGCGTATAGTGAACAATTTTTTGCCAAGAAAAAATGTTCACTGTTGGTAGGTGTCCACTACAGCAATGATTTGATTTCGCACCATTTTGCCATATTATATCAAGAGACCAGCTATTAAAAGGGAGGAGGGAATAATCAATTTAAATTGTATTTTCTACCCATATTAACCCATGACACTCAAGCGTTAAGTATTTGATCTGTTGTAATGTTATATACAAACTGACTTATTTTAGACTGACTGTCATCTGAATGGTTCATCCTTTTATTGTCAAATTTTTATCTCTATATAATTCTTTTTATCTCATCAAAATGGTCCTTTAAATAGTGGAATCTTTGAGACATTTGAGTCAGGTAGAAGACTTTATTGAATTAGTTAAAGGACATGATAGATGCAGTTAATAGTGAAATGATCATGAATTATAATTTTGATCCAATCTGTTTTTTAAATTGACGGGATGAGAAAAAGATTAAGTTGGGACTTAGCAGATAGAGGTAATAATAGTTAATAACCAGATTATCTCCAAGCAATCAATCCCAGACGCATATCCTTTGTAACAAAAACAAAGCTTATTAAGAATTATAATTAGTCACACCTGTTTCAATAGAAGGGATCAAGATCTCAAATTGACCTTTTAATTACTGTACTCCGGGTATTGTTCGCGTGCGATTTAATTTCGCTTTGTTCGCGAATGTATTAAAATCGCGAACATTTATCGCCGCGAAATTTGTCTTTCAAATCCCCGGGCATTTGACCCGGGACTTTTGATATGTTTCGTTCGGTGTAAAACTTTCTCCAGTGTTGTTGGGCGATAATTAACATGCGGTATTGTTCAATTTTATATCAACAATTGATGTACTTGCTAAGCTCATGCATTTGTAAAAAGGCATGTAATTATATTAATATTATCAAGAGCTGGAGGAAAAAATTCAACTTGTGTAATCCGCGAGATGTCATCAACTCAAATCCGCAAAATTAAATAGTCGCGAAATTGCAATTTTGAAAAATCGCGAAATTTTATAGCGTCAAAATTTACCAGGAGTACAGTATTTTTGGCAGGAAATATAAACATAAACTGCTTAACTCTGATAAGGCAGTTGCAGAAAATCCGCGAGAAATCTTATATCTGATTCAATGTTCACTAGAGGCAGGATAATTCAATTGATTTTGCCAGGGTTTAGTGTTCACTGTTCATAGTTGGTAGGTGTTCACTATAGGATTGCACTTTAACATGGGAGTCAATGGGAGAAAAAGGTTTTGCCGAATAAAAACGTTCACTGTTAATAGGTGTTCACTAGAGAGATGTGTTCACTAACTCAGGTTTTACTGTATGTTAGTATGCTTAATGATATTTTTTGTAAGCATATTATGTTCAAGTTGTACAGTATATGTAGTTGTTTTGTTAAACATAAAAATATAAAATGATATTGTGTGATACTACAATTTGGTCAAGTTGTTTTGTTAAACATAAAAATATAAAATGATATTGTGTGATACTACAATTTGGTGGCTGTTTCACATGAGAATTTGACATAGCAAAATAGTTCCAAATGAAGCGGGTATTTGGGGGATATTCAAGAAAAAAAATTTATGGCAAAACAAAAGTCCCTAAAATATTAACAAAAAAAACAATAGCCAAATTAAAAGTTCCAAATAAATAAAGTGTGTACATAAGTCTGTGTATAAACAATTAACATGTGTATATTTGCATATACAAGAAGTTTGAGTATGTAATGCAATGCATGCCCCTGATTCTGCATGTAACTTCATTTTTTATTATTTGTAACGCTTTTTGTAAACAATTATTGTAAGTCCTGCAGATTTATATTTGCATTCTTATTAAGATTATAACTATCTGCAATTTTGTTATATATATGTATTTTTTTATTTTATTAATTTATTAATAGAGATAAAATAAAATATTGTGATTTGAACTTTTACAACATATAACAGTACTGTTTAAAATTCAATATACTAGTCACAAGATAAAACAGTAGTGTAGTCTGGAAACAATAAGCAAAAATGGGAGTTGGAGACGGGAATTAGTTAACAAAAAGGAATTATCAGAGACTATTTCAAATCTAAGAGGAGTATGGCATTTTGATTTTTTAAGGAAATCTTCTCACATATATTTCTTTTCAAAGAATCTTACTTATATCCTTTCTCTTTGAGCCGCCAAGTCATTGGCTTAGAAGCCTCCGTTGCAAATGTTTCATTGAAGTGGTGAGCAATTCGTTCTGTAACTTTCCCATCACCAGCGCCTGAAAATATGAACATAGGTTTCAAAATGCGATCAAAAGTAATTATGTCTAGAATTAAGATTGAAACATAAAAATCATGCGATTGTATCCCATGGGCCAGAAACAAGAGAGAATTACTGACTTTTAGATTGGTAACCAGAATATAAAATTAGATGAGGCAAGGTTAAATAGGTGAGGCAAATTATAATGGTTCATTAATTTTGAATTAATGTCAGAAAAAATATTATTTCTGTAAATTTTTACATCAAACCTGTCCTTGCCCAAGACACTTTGACTAGGATAAACGATTTTACAATTTTAATGCCAATAATATATCATATATTCATGGCCCCAAAACTAGCTATTATGGTCTTTCATAGGCGTTTGAATGGGCCTAAATATCAAATTCCAGCTACTTATTAATCAAGGCATGCAATCATATGACTGCAATCCTGATTAGGTCGTTTTTGATAGGCCTAATCCGATTGCTACCGCGGGGCCAGACCAAATAATTATCTTTATTCAAAAAGTGCAGATGAAGTTCTCTTTCAAAGATCCAAAATCAAATTCTTCAAAAATGTAAATAAGATAAGTGCCAAAATTACCTAAATCCAGTAGTTTGTAAGACTTCCACAATGGGTCTAAACCCAAGAGATTGTCAAACTGCGAAGTTGAAAATACAAACATGGAACCTCGCTCAAGGAACCTGAAAGATTGTAAATATTTTATGATACAAGCTTCAATCCTCAAAACATCTTTCATATAAAAAGGGTAAAACAATAAACAGCAGGGAATCAATTCAATATGTAAATGTACAATATCCAAAAATGTCATTGATTGATATTGACAATTTAAAAAAAATCAATGAATATAAAGTTACATTTTGGGAGGGGGGGGTTCAATATGAATACATCAATTAATTGAATTCAAGAAATACAAGAAATCAATACCATTAAGATGTCATATGATCTCCATTAATAAAGATCAAGTCTCATGCTTACCCATTTATAGAAGTTTGAGTCATGAACCAGCCAAGGATGGACTTCATGAGAGAATGATAAAATTGGGTAAAGATCCATTCAGATTTATCAAAGCAGTGCTCTAAGAAGTTTGATGTTTCCTCATCTTGGTGAGATTGAATGAAGCTACTGCATAATTCTTCAGGGATCTTCTTCAAGTTAACATGGTACCACTGAAAGAGATAAAACTTAATAGAAATATTGTACATTCCATTCCAAAACAAAGGAAAATGTTTTGATATGGTCAATATTGATCATTGTAGTGTATTTCCAGTTGGCTGCCATCTTTTTAAAGGAGCTAGTGCACTCTCCATTATGATTTCCCCACGAACAAAATTAGTCATTTTTAGGTGGAACATAAAGAATACAATGTCACATAAAATTTGGACCCACATGGGCTGACATTGAGGTCATTAAGTTCAGAGAGGGTGTATTGACTTGACATTGGGTGTGCTCCATTGACTTAACATGCGGATGTCATTAGATGCCAATGGAGCCCATTGGTTTCTATTGATTTTCACAAAAATCCTTCAATACACTATGACCCAAATCGATTGCAAATGAAATAATTTTACACCAATGGTATATCATATCAGATGTGCAAATATGAAGTTTGCCATCGATCCAGGTCATTCAACAAATTAAAAAATTAAACATTTTTCATCATTTTTTTTCGTATAAAATGGCTGTAGAAAAATGCTTCAAAAGCAACTTTTACACCTATGAAATGCCATACAACTTTGTAAATCCAAAGATTATACTGTTATATTTCATTAATTAATATATTTGCATAAGATGTAGGGATGTGTAGGATGCAAATGGATTTTGACAGACACAAACATACTTCCTGGTTTGGAATCTATGCCTCTCGTGGCCCATACATCAATACAGTGCTCAATATAGGTACTCAACAAGATACTATTGTGCTTATAAATGTAATAAAAGCAGTATACTCATTTTGAAAAATCAAATGAACAAATTTATTTTCATGGGGAGTTCATAATGAAGAGCGCACTACTTCCTTTCACAGAAGAAGTGATGTCATCTTATCTTCTTTGGTCTTGTACCAGATAAATGTCATGAATTTCAAAAAATACTTCCAGGGCTTAAAGAAGAGAGAGAATTAAAGAAGAGATTGTCTGAAGAATTAGATCATAAACAAAACTAATAAGAATATTTAGCTTGTATTGTCCTTCTAATACCTCCTTGTCTCATGCTAGATGTAAATTAAAGAGTTGTTGACAGCCCTTCCTTTGTGAAATACAAAACAAAAAGCATACAAAGTCAAAATGTGCGAGCTGCAGAAATAGTTAATGATTATTTTCAGATTTCCCGAGGCACAATATCAAAATAACCTCTAACTAGAGTTAGAAGCTAAAATACTCCAAAATTAAAAATCAAATAATTGTGGCTGGCTATCTATAATTCCCAGCCTCTAACTTCATGAACACTGGAGAATGCAAAAAACTATTGATTTACAAGTTTCTGCACTCTATGTTTTCAGGAATTATTTAGAATTTAAAGATAAGGTTTCTTTAATTAAAATGATGAATGAAGGCAAGGCTGATGATATTCAGATATTCTTCAACATGACATGTGTGATCAAAGATTAAAGGGATATTTCTCATAGCAATATGTGATGAGGTACATAAACAACCTGGTTCTTGTAGTTGAACAAAGATTAATTATTTGAATGAAATGATTTTAAAAATTGAGACCCAAAGTTCATATGACAACATAAAGATAAATTATTTGAAAGGGAGGATTTCTGGGAGATTCTCTTTGACGGGCGAAACAAATTTAAAAACACTGTGACCCTTTCAAAAAATTTCACCATGGAGTTGAGTTTTGACAAGATTCAGGTGTGAAAATTCAGCATGATGCAAGAAAATGTGGAAAAAGGAGTAATGTGAAGTTATAACTGTTCATAAACACAATTGCAAAAACATTAGCACTTTTTTAAATGTCTGATATATGATATTTATTCACTGGGTAAATATACCTGTCCTAGAGAACTTTTAAATTAACTGCTACGTATAAACATATTGGCTTTTTAAGCTAACTTCCCTTATTGCAGGTTTTATTTAAAATCGAAACAACCTCTGAATACATAAATATATGAAGGGACTGAGGATGAAAAATCTAGAAACTTTATGTAGGCCTAAATAGGGATCAACAAAAAAATTCCAATTAAGATTTTTTATTGAGTTTTTGGGATATCAAAGTAACTTTTAGGAGACCTCCAGGAAAGTATTCTTACTCCATAAAAGGTAATATTTTTACATTGATTCAATAAGAAATCACAAAAAAATATTTATTAGTTATGCATAAGATTAAAGAGAATTTTTATGTTTTAAAGAGAGCCTACCATAAAACAATATTCGGACTCATTTTTCAGTTATGGAGCGCAGGCATATATTTATGATTGGACTCCTGCTCCCTTTAGGCTTCCTTTACTATCTGACCAACAATGATCAGTTATCTTTCAAATCCAATATAAGAGAATCCAATAGAAAGGAATACTCAATACTGGGTAGGTAGTGGTATATTACATTTTTTGACATAATTATTTAATTAAAAAAATAAGTGGAGAAATGAAAAATTTTGCATCTACATTTAGAGACATACAGGGTGTCCATAAGTCTCTTTACAATTATAATACAAAGTCTGAGGAAGGTGTACTTTATGGTGACTTTAGACACCCTGTACTTGAGATGAGGCCAAGTACATTAGCATTGTAATTAAATACAAATGAATTGAAATATTAATATTGCTCTATTTTGTAGATAAGGGTCAGGGAAAGATAGAACCACTGAAGAATTCACCTAATTTCGAACACAATTTCACCCTTGGAGGAGCTATATTCACGGAGAAGGGACAAGAACGATTAATAAACCACAATATATCAACATCATGCCTGTATACATTCTCACCAGACATAGAAAATGTTGCTCGAAGGATGTACCTGATTAATGGACGAGGAAATCAATTCTACGCAAACAGTCCAGCAATAATATGGCATGATGGGAAGATATATGTAGTTTTGAAAATATGGCTGAAAAATGAAGCGTATTACAACAGTGAAGGGCCACTTAATTTCTTTCAAGATAATTACCTTCTTACTCAACAGTTTAATAGACACATGGAACCATTGACAAATGCATCATTAATCGGGATCGCAACCCCAAAGTGGCAGGTAGGAGATGGGCCGATTGAGCCTCGACTATTCCGATTCAAAAATCGATTACTGATGACATTTAATGCAGGGTATACATCTCGTATGAAAAAAATGCGAGATTTCACATTTATATGGGACATGGATAGAAATATTTTATATCGCCCAAGAATTATTGGCCCTAGACCAATTGGCAGTAGTCGGGACAAACACTGGATACCTTATGTGACCATTGAAAAACTTTACTTCGTGAAGAACTTTGACCCACTGCGTGTACTACATTGTACAATAGATGGAGTAAACTGTACATGTGTTTATATATTGTGCAGCGGGAATATAACAAAGAAGTTTGTCGATAAAGATGAACCATTAAGAGGTGGTACCCCGATGGTACCATACCTGGAGCCATATTTCATCTCAGTAAATCATGTCACATTATTCCAAGACAATGAACTGTCGTCTAGGTATTACAGCATTGTTCTCACAATATTCTGCAGTAAACCATTTCCAAGAATTGTCTATGTTAGTAACCCAATTGAAGTGAGTAAGGAACTACTACACGCCTATCCAATTGTACGAGATAAATGGATAAAAGAACCATTTGTTTTTCCTGTGGGGCTCATCCTTGAGGATCCTGACAGCTTTATACTTGGAGCACATGTTAATGACTTTAGCGCAGTACTGTTGAGGTTTACGGGACTGCGTGCCATTGTTGAAGAAGTGATCAAACAAGACCAAAGACAGAATATACCAAAGCGAGGGGCACCCGATTATTCCATACAGAACTTTGTCAGGAGTACAACTAGTAAATATACTGGCATAACATTTCAGCATATATTATGATATCCTAAGACAAACTGGTACAGGTATGTTGATGATGATACCATCTAGACTTGAGTAACTTCATCATGCATTTTATATACATGGAATTTATTTTGTTGAGTAAAAATGCCATAATGTTTGATTTACATAAAATACATACAAGCCTATCTGTATCTTGTCTGCGAATAAGCAGCTTCTGAGTCAAAAAATAAATTTTGTGAAAATCTTGAAATTTTTCTTGTGAAAATGACCTGCTCCTAGACCAATTCAATAAATACTGTACGCCCGGTATTATTCGCGAGATTTAATTTCGCGAATTTTGCGAAAACACGATTTCGCGGCTATTAAATTTCGCGAATTTCACAAGTTTGAAATTCATTACTATTCCAGGAATTCTCGAGCTACTCGTGTGTAAATTAAGTTAAATGTACAGTAATTGCACTTACCTGATGTCATATTTGGATGAGATTTACAATAACTGGGATCTTTATCATCGGCAAGCTGCATATCAACCTCTATTGCATCGTCATTTTTAATATTAAAGCAAAAGTGCGTGGCTCCCATAATAACTTTACCGTACTTCATACTGTATTTTATCGTATGCGGGGATTCCCCAGTACATGATGTCCAATCAAATTGCAGGCTACGATCACGTGAACAATCGTGCGCACGTGCTCTTTCCTACGAAATGCATCAGAGCCCCGGGTAAAAACAAATTCCCGGGGATTTAATTGGCAATTTCGCGACGATAATTTTTCGCGATTTTAACACCCTCACGAAAAGCGCGAAACTAAATCGCACGCGAATAATACCGGGCGTACAGTAGGCCTAAAACATTGACCTTTTCTCTTCCCACTCCTAAGATTTAGCCCTTCATTAATTGCATGTTTTACATGCAATTAACTTTGAATGGCCTTCTAGTCAAATTTAAAACAGGGGAAAGGAGAAAGTACAAAAGGATACAACTCGATGCATAGAAAAGGCGATATATGCAAGGTTACAACTTACAATCTTAGTGAAGCCTATTATATAATAATTATATCAGTCAGAATGTTAATTTGATTGACATCTTTCAATGTAAAAAAAACAAATCAAAGAACCACATTGCAACAGTATATGAAAAATTTGAATCATATATTCACAGCCTAACTTTTGGGTAGAACTTTTTGCTTTGTAGTTTAACTATCATACATGACGCATGATAGCGGCAGCCTAAATAACCATCAATCCAGCTTATTTTGAACTCCAAGATTTCAATACACTTGTAGGATTTGAAAAGCCAACCCCACTACTTGCAGGGCCGTCAGATGGGGGGGTGCGATGGGTGCGACCGCATCCCCCTTTGTTACCCCCCAAAATAAATTTTAAAAAAAATTTGAAAAATATTTTTTTATAATTTTTTTCATTGACTCATACACTTTGAAAGTACCCAGAAAGCACCAAATAGCATCTTAAAATTGTAAAATTATTTAGGGGTATTGGCCACCCCTCACACCCCCCACAAAACAATAGAAAAGTTTTAAATTTATTTTAGTGTTTTGTCTCAGACACTTTTAAAGTGCCCAGACACAGGCCTGTCAACTGTCCCGCAATTTGCGTATTTGTCACGCATTTGCTGAAGAATTTGAAGTCACGCCATTTTTTTTTGCGTGACAGAAAATGTCACGCAAAATACGCATTTTACCTGGCAATTGTCAAGCAAAAATATTTCTGTAGAAATTTTTTCGAAATATGTTTACGATACGGTAAAAATACGAACGTCGGACAAAACCGAACGCAATTTGTTCGGATTTGTCACGCGAATCCCGTATGTGTCACGCATGTTCATTGGAAATTTTTCGTACCTACCCCCCCCCCCCCCCCCCCCATTTGACGACATCGCGAGCGTAGCGAGCGCGAAAAATTTGAGGTGTTCAAAGTTTGGCAAAGGTGCTCAAACTTTGGCCAAAGGTGTTTAAAAGTTGGCCAAAGGTGTTCAAAATTTGGACAAAAGTGTTCAGATTTTGACTTAGATGTCCAACATTTTGAAGTCACTCATATTAGGTGGTCCCAAGTTGACAGCCCTGCAGACATCATCAAATAGCTCCTTGATATAGTTAGTGTTTCTGGGGGACTTGCTCCCCCTCTTGCATCTTGCACTTGAATAACCCCCCCCCCCTCCCCTCTGGCGCCCCCCCCCCCTTGACCCCCCCCCCAAAAAAAATTGTGATTTTCTCAAATTCTTTAATTGACTCATACAATTTGAAAATGCCCAGAAAGCACCAAATAGCAACGTAAAATTGTAAAATTTTCTAGGGGGAGTGGGCCACCCCTCACACCCCAAACAAAACAATGGAAAAGTTCTGAATTTGTTTTATGTATTTTCTCAGACACTTTTAAATTGCCCAGACATCATCAAATAGCTCCTTGATATAGTTAGTGTTTCTGGGGGACTTGCTCCCCCTCTTGCATCTTGCACTTGCATACCCCCCCCCCCCCCCTCTCTCTGGCGCCCCCCCCCCCCCCCCCCGCCCTTGACCCCCCCCCCCAAAAAAAAATTGTGATTTTCTCAAATTCTTTAATTGACTCATACAATTTGAAAATGCCCAGAAAGCACAAAATAGCGTCGTCAAATTGTAAAATTTTCTAGGGGGAGTGGGCCACCCCTCACACCCCAAACAAAACAATGGAAAAGTTCTGAATTTGTTTTATGTATTGTCTCAGACACTTTTAAATTGCCCAGACATCATCAAATAGCTTCTTGATAAAGTTAATGATTCTGGAAGACTAACACTTACTCACCCTCTGGCATCCCCACTCCACCTCCCCCTCTGGCAGCCCCCCCCCCTTAACACCCCCCCCCCCTCAAAAAAAATTGAGACTTTTCAAATTTTTTTATTGACTCATACATTTTGAATGTGCCAGAAAGCACCAAATAGCATCTTAAAATTGTAAAATTTTCTTGGGAAAAAACACTTTTAAAGTGCCCAAACTTCATCGAATAGCACCTTGATATTGTAAATTTTGATATGGTGAACAAACACTTGTTCCCCCTCTGGCACCCCAACCCCACCTCCCCCTCTGGCACCCCTCCCCCCTTTGACAACCCCAAAATTTGAAAAAAAAATTGTGATTGTTTTTCAATGTTTTTATTGACTAATACCTTTAAAAGTGCCCAGAAGCACCAAATATCATCTTTAAATTGTAAAATTTTCTAGAAGAGTAAGCCACCCCTCACATCCCCTACAAAACAAAATAAATATTCTGAATTTCATGTATTGTCTCAGACATCATCAAATAGCACCTTGATATGGTCAATGTTTCTGGGGGACAACCCCTTGCTCCCCTAATGGCACCCCACCCCACTTAACCCTCTCATCCTCTTTGACACCCCCAAAATAATTTGAAAAAAAATTCACATTTTTCTTATTGACTCATAACGCACAGGCGTACCAGATGGTTGCAAATTCGCTCCAAATACAAGCAAATTTCAAAATTTTCCTGGGGGAGAAACCCCAGACCCCCCTGAATGCTTGGTTTTTTATTCACTCAACTCTTATTCTTGTGGTGGTGGCGTACTACTTAGAAACTTTCACTTTGAAAGTGCCCAGAAAGCACCAAATAGCATCTCAAAACTGTAAAATTTTCTGGGGGATCGGACCACTCCTCACAACCCCCACAAAACAATTGGAACGTTTGGAAGTTGCACTTGTTAATTCCAAACCAATATAGGGAGTAACTGACCACCCCCCCCCCTGTCTTACGCGATATGATTTGCGCGGCAAAAAAATTGACAATTTTATATTCTCTTTAGTAAGCCAAAAACCGCACCCCCCTTGGAAAAAAGTGTCTTACGGGCCTGACTTGTTACATGTAAACAAGGCAAGAACTTAACTTCAACATATGAGTGTTACCTGATGAATGAGACCCTCACATGCCTTCCAATTGGTAGTAAACGAACTTCAATGTAACTACATAAGCTTATGTTTCCGTCCAATCAACTTATCGCATCCTACGATGTACATTTATACAAGAAATGTAAACGAACTGTAAAAATGCCCCAAAATGTTCCTACTGGCTTGTCATTTCAGGAAATCATAATACGTTACATGTATATTACCGAAAATTTATGTAAATGGAATATTTGTTCGTTCATTTTACGAGAACTAAATAAAATGTGAACATCCGAGCATCGAACAAACATGTAGAAACAACTTGAAGGAATTTACCACATATTTTTGCCTTGAAAAACTGAACCACATAGAAACAAAAATAAAAGAACACTTACACTAGCATGGTCAGTATTTCTATGCACCTGGTCAGCTTCATATTTCTCCAGCAATTTTCTGGCGAGTCGACTTCCAGGTCGAAAACTACTGGTCATGCTTTGGGCCACAAAACAGTCAATTGAAATTAAGAAAGTTGCCAAAATTGGTATAGAGATGTCCCTTCGTATGATTTTCATAAGCAAAATCCAAATTTACACTATTTGATCACTGAAATTTGAGAAAAAATAGAAGAAAAGTTAAATCTCAGTTTTGTATTTCGTGGAATACCCTCATGAACCAAAACGAGGCAAGGGGAATTCCGAAAAGAATAGTTACAGATCTAGATTTTAATCAGCTATAGCGAAACTTGTGTTTACTAACCTGAAAGAATCATCCAACTTTAGACTTATTTTGAGGCATCACAACCTGAGATGACAAGTGTTTAAGATGTTATGACATTTGTATCACTGATAGAAGTGAAGTTAGGATAACAATGAAGCACGACATGAAAGCCAATGAGCACAATCAAACAGAGTTCTGAACTTCTGTAGAATCAGTATCTCAAGGTCAAAGTACAGAACTCCAATACATTTATCTTACTTCGGTCCAAAGCCTTCTCTATATTCCGGCTTTGAGGAGGAAGATTGAGCTGCCTTAGTATTATAAATATTGTAAATCATTGTGTCACACGCACAGTAAATATGGCATAATAATATGAAATATACCTTTATGTATAGATTTGAAGAACATCAGCTCACATCCCCGTCTGAATCTATTGTTATATTTGATTTCTTTAAGCGAGAATAATTTCAAATGTTATTCACGTCCAGAACCGGAAGCCATTTTTAGCTACAGCGAGAAAATTTCACCATGTGTCAAAACTCCGAAATGAAATTTTGAAATATCTAAATCCAGACAAGCAACGCTTCATCCTAAATATGATTAATATTCTTAAAAATATTTATAAAATTTATTAAAAATGAGTTCTAGGTGCGTGTAGGTGCGTGTAGCACAGTACATACGAAATCAATGAAGTTTCGTCTAGCTGTAAGCTAGAGACTCGAGTAACATTTATCAATACATGTACAGTATACAACTGGAGATTAGCTATGCAATACAAGAACTACGTAAATTCTTTATTCAAATGTTAATTCTAGAAGTTGGAATAACATTTACATTCAAGATAGGGGTAGTTGCACAATCCCTCCAATCACAATGGATAAGTTTGTTGTCTTGGTAGCTTTAGTATCAGTTATATCCTGGTTCCTCCAGGGAACTGAGAAGTCAGTTTTGGAATTACCATTTGCTGAGATAGACACCGATGATATGACTGTGTCTTTAATCCCGAAGAATGGACAAAATGAAAATTTTGCTGGCACATTCAAAATAGGAGCACAATTGCATGGACAACCCAAACTATTGGATAGTGCTTCAGATGAGTTAGTGTTAAACCTGGAATGGACCAATCAGGCTCTGCTCGAAATTGCTTATGGGGAAATCTTTGATAAAGGTGCTCGTTGCTACAATTTTAAATGGGAGATTCTTGATCCTCGACTTCAGATTCATGATTGCTATGATATCGGACAATCACATTGGTATGGAGGTGGGGAACTGTTTGACCAGCACTGGACCATTGAGGATCATGCTATGGATATGGACTTATATGTGTCATCTGATATAATCAGTCACCATAAATATGGATCAGTTATGGAACGATATTGGTTGTCTTCAAATGGATTCGCAATTAGCGTTGACCAAGATTCTCCCCTGAGATTTGGCATCAACAAGACAGAGATTTGTTTTAGTGCGCAATATGAGGAAACCAGATTTGTGAATCGAAACAATGAAAACGCTAAATTGTCATATTCTGTATGCACTGCTGGTAACATCAAACAAACTCACTTGTTCATGTCCAATATGCTATTCAAAAAACCAGATGGAATTCCCGATGAACGCATGTTTAAATCTCCCATCTGGTCAACCTGGGCACGGTACAAGATGTTCATCAATGAAACTTCCCTTTTGAAGTTTGCTCAAGAAATTATTGATCATGGATTTTCAAATAGTCAAATAGAAATTGATGACATTTATACTCCAACCTATGGTGACTTTACATTTGATACCAGAAAATTCCCTAATTATAAAAAGGTGATGGATAAACTACATGAAATGGGTTTTCGGATAACATCTTGGATTGTCCCATTTTCAAATATTGACAGCGATGCATTTCAAGAAGGTGTGAAAAATGATTATTTCCTCCTGGACGATACAGGAAATGCCCCTGGGTTGTCACACTGGTGGCAGGGAATAGGTGGCGCTTTAGATGTCACAAATCCGTCTGCTCAACAATGGTGGATGAACAACCTCATGAAGTTAAAATCCCAAGGGGTGGACTCCTTCAAGTTTGACGCTGGTGAGGTTGTGTGGTTACCCCCCAGGTTCAAATCCAACATTCCACTATCCAACCCAAACATGTATACTAAATACTATGCAGAATTATGTAGCAAATTTGGTGGTATGATTGAAGTAAGGGTTGGATATCAAAGCCAAAATTTGCCGATATTCATTCGAATAATGGATAAAGATTCTGTATGGGGATACAATAATGGACTGAAATCCCTCATTCCATCTTCACTTTTATTTGGTATACTAGGCTACCCATTTGTTCTGCCTGATATGATTGGTGGAAATGCATATGATGAGAATAATCAAGATTTTGCGACATTTTCTGATATTTTTGGCACAAAGCCAGATCGTGAATTATTCATCCGGTGGACACAAGCAAATACTTTCCTCCCATCCATGCAGTTCTCTATCGCTCCATGGGACTATGATGATGAAACCACTAAAATATGTCTAAATATGGTCAAAATCCATGAAGAAGTGGCAACACCTATTATTCTCAAATATGCAAATGAGGCAACTCAAAATGGGGCACCTATCATACGTCCTTTATGGTGGGTGGATCCAATGGATTTCAACACTCATGGTATCGACTCTCAATTTCTTGTTGGAAATGAAATTCTGGTAGCACCAATTCTGGAAAAGGGGAGTACAACAAGAGACATCTATATTCCAAGGGGAAAATGGAAAGACATTCTGAGAGGAGATATAATTACAGGTCCAACCAACATAAAGAACTATGAAGTCAAATTGGCTGAATTACCATATTTCATTGCAGCTTAAATTGAATAATTTTCAAGGTGAACATGCATTTTACTTATTCATCAAAATCACAAAGTGTAAGACTTTAATAATTAATTTAAGATACTTATATTTCAAATACAATACAAATACATTATAAAATGCCATAAAAAAAACATTGTAAAAACACTTGTAATTACAGGGTAAAATTACATTGTAAATTGAAATTACACATTTATATGGGTCTGATTAACACTTTCATATATTAATTGTTTTGTTGTAATATCTGAATAGTTTTCAGCCTTCAATCAACCATGTCAACACTACAGAATTCAACCAAAATCAATATCAACCCAAACATATTTTTCAGAATGTTTCATACTTGTCATTTACACTTTATAAAGAAATACAAACAGTGAAATCGATCATTACTAAAACATTATTATTCAAATAATATATTTTGCAACAACACACAGTAAATTACATGTTAATTACATGTTAATTACGACTAAAAATAACAAAGGCAATTTACATGAAAAAATGTTACCATCTGGTTGCATGTTGTATTAGAAAAGGAAAGCAAAGCCTAAGTCCATTCATTCGTTATCATGGTAACCAATATTGCCTATCTGAAGCTTTCTATATTCTTCAAAATGCCTAGTGATCAATGAATGAAATTCAACTCAATTTAATTACGACTTTTCAAGTTGCTGTATGTTAAACATTGCCTAATATAACATGTGTGACTGAGCACATCTCTCAAGATATTCATTATTATGAATTTCAAGTCCATCTTTTTAACTTCTTCAGTTATAGCTCCTTACTCCTTGAATTAATGCTATGCAACAAATGTTACATATTGTATATGTGGTAGTTAGCTACAGTATTGCTACTCTTATAAAATGCCTACATTACAATAAGCTGTAGAAATTTGAACATTACTTTGAACAAAGTTGTTACAGACCTGAACAATGGTGACTGAAAGCCATTTACAAAAATAGGCAATAACAATATACATTAGTTTTACTAACATGTGATGTTTCAATTCATGACATCATGAAAAATGAGTAGCCTATAGTTGAGAACTATGGGATGAGTCAATAATCATTACCCTTAATACAAGTGCAATTTTTATGTCCCTGAAAACATCAAACTTTGATTTGTATCCCCTCCCTAAGCAATGTTTTGACATCATTGATATTCTGACATGAACCCTTACTCAGAAATTTTCAGAAAAAAATCACATTTAATCTCAAAGATTAAAGTACTAATTACTACACTGTCTATGACAGTTTATCAGTCTGAGTATTTGAAGTTGTTTTTATAGGATATAATTTTTTATTAACAAAATAAAGTCAAAAAGATGTATATAAAATACATCATTTGCAGTGAGCCTAGGTCTAGAAAACACTAGTGGCTTCACTGACCTAAAAAATATCACAGTTTGAGTATTAATTATACATGAATTACTTGGATGTACAGGGTGTCTATCATTTAATTAATTCTTTTGTTGCCAACATGTATTAATAATAAATAAGATACAAAGATATATGACATCCCCTTGAAACACCCTGTAAATAAGCTTCATTGTTTGCAATATTTACATAAGTATCCAAATTTTTTCTAAAATCGAAAAATTATAAAATGTCCTGGATTTTTTAAGCAAATTCACTATTTATTGCAGAGAGTACTAGAACTTAACTTCTAGTTTGTGCATCTTATTTGTATTCCTTTTAGCTGGTATTCTATGCTATTATACTGTTTCTACAGCGTTCAACCAAAATGCTTATGTTTCACTTATCTGGTCTGGCCAATTTGATGGCCTCTTGTGAAATACTGACTTTCTCTTGCACGCTATATTCTGCATGTTACTCGAATCATTGAATAATCTACACAATTTCAAGATGAGGCAGTGTCAATTATTAAATAGAGACAGTCTAAGATCACTCCCTATTCTTATGAGTATGTATATGAGACGAAGAATTTTTGACCAGCATTAGCCATTAGTCAGTATAGTAGTCCCACTAATGTCTGCCTTTCCGATATACATTCTTTCTGACCAATGGTTGGTGAATAATTATTCTAACATAATTAGTCATCTATGATGGCTATAAGTGTTGCTGCCATCTTGAATCCTAATGATGGCAGGTAATCCATATAATGTTACAACACAAGGAGATCCACTTGAAATGGGGGGGGGGAGTTATTTTTGTATATATTGGAAAGAGTCTGAAATCCTTGTACACCCTGTTGAGCATATATTTATATTTTAGCTTTCTTCCTAGGTGAAGTGGCCTCCGTAGATTTACTAGGTGTTTTGCTAACAATTCTCTCTTTTACTTTATCAAGGATTCCCATTAGCTCCTTCTGGAAAACAAAATTGAGATTGTGATAATACTATGCTCAATCCATTATCCATTTTAGGAAGTGTATTTGTTTTTCAAAAGGACAAAAATATGTGTCAATAACCAAAAAATGATTTAAATATCTGGAGATTGATTGTTGAAGGTCGCATTCACTGAAAAATCTTATTTTGGACAATATATCAAAATTAATATTTTTTTTTTTTTTTAGAAAAATGGAGTTGTATTTTTTGAATATCATCTGTAGCCCTCTGTAGCCCTAAGAATCGAAGAATTCCATTCGTCCTTCCCACTTATCTTTTTACCCCATGATCAATAATACATGTAACGACTTACTTCTGTATACCTGTAGTAGAGCCTACAGTGTTTTAGGTTCTTGCGCTTCATGATATGTGGAACTGCGTGTTGTAAGGAGAATACACTGCTGTCATGTTCATTCTCAACCTAAAATATATTATAACTTCATGTTCATTCTCAACCTAAAATATATGATAACTTCATGATATGTGGAACTGCGTGTTGTAAGGAGAATACACTGCTGTCATGTTCATTCTCAACCTGAAATATATTATAACTTCATGTTCATTCTCAACCTAAAATATATTATAACTTCATGATATGTGGAACTGCGTGTTGTTAGGAGAATACACTGCTGTCATGTTCATTCTCAACCTGAAATATATTATAACTTCATGATATGTGGAACTGTGTGTTGTAAGGAGAATACACTGCTGTCATGTTCATTCTCAACCTAAAATATATGGTAACTTCATGATATGTGGAACTGTGTGTACTGCTGTCATGTTCATTCTCAACCTAAAATATATTATAACTTCATGATATGTGGAACTGTGTGTTGTAAGGAAAATACACTGCTGTCATGTTCATTCTCAACCTAAAATATATGATAACTTCATGATATGTGGAACTGCGTGTACTGCTGTCATGTTCATTCTCAACCTATAATATATGATAACTTCACGATATGTGGAACTGTGTGATGTAAGGAGAATACACTGCTGTCATGTTCATTCTCAACCTGAAATATATTATAACTTCATGATATGTGGAACTGCATGTTGTAAGGAGCATAACACTGCTATCATGTTCATTCTCAACCTAAAATATATGATAACTTCATGATATGCGGAACTGTATGTAGGACTTATTTGCATCTTGACACAAGACAGTTTACATTTCATACCATTCCAATATCAGTCAGTCAAACACCCAGAATTACATAATACACAAATTTGTCTGAACCATGAATCGAACCTGGGGCCAAGCGACAGCAGTAACCTTGGGTCTACCAATTAGCCATTGCAGGTGGACTATGAAAAGATATCATTAGAGTACTAGCTTGTCACACTTGTCATCCTGATTGATCAAGGGTGCTGATTAAGTATTCAAGATTCCTGGTGCCATCTTTACTTACCCTTGATGAATAACAGATCTGTTTAGATACTTCACACACATCATCCTCCTCTTGTACTCCACGTCGCCATTTTGCACTTGGGCTCGGGTTCTCATTTATTGTTCCCATGCGCTCCCTGTCTTTGAGACCATGAAATGCTAGCTCTTTTCTCAGCTTAACCTCTTCTTCACTGTAACAAAATTATTTTTAGGAAAAAGGCAGCATGAATGCAGTGGCATAGCCAACTACACAACCAAAATCTTATGGACACATGATATCCAGTGATTCATATTTAAATGGGTGCCATAAAATGGCTGCCTCTTAGGCAAACTGACAATAGAAAATCTTTCATACTTCCAAGTATTAACATATAAAACACCAACAAAGTTATTCAGTCACTTTTGGAGTGAGTTGCAAGAACTAGATGAACAGATAAATCCTTAATCTCCTGAACTTTTATTTCGATGGGGTACTAATTCTGGATACAAAGTATGTCTCACATGATGGACTGTAATAGAGGTAGAATCAGCTTCAGCAAGTCTGTGGATGTTTTCTCATTGCGTGCCAGGTTAAATAGTAATCTAGACATTGAGAACAATTCTCTTTCACAACTGTCCTTCAGCAACTGAAAATCCGAAACAGAATACATTTTGGATGTTGGGCATTCCATTAACACAGCAATTCCAAAAGTGTAACAACTGTCACATGTGCCAATCCTGAATGTCACATGGTGGCTGTAACAATATTTCATTAAACTATTATTACTCTATTAAGCAATGAAATTGGTTAAAACAACAAGAACATTATTTAATTGTTTAAAATATGTACCATTTATTAATCTATTACCAGTTGCACATATATTTAATTCAATATATCATCAATTGCTCATTCAAGTTTATATAATTTAGGCTGATATGAAGCTCTATTATTTGTCACCTAAAAGCCAAACCAGAACAACGGCAACGCCAAAGCGTAGCGAATCCCATCGAACAGCCATGGATGGCATTTTTACAAACAAAGTATATAGCAAAAATGGCCGCCTTCTACCAAAAGTGTCATTAGACAGTGTGCCATGCTAACAGTATTCACATACCAAATATGAACAAAATCGCTCCACTGCTTTTCGAATTATTGTAAAATACATTAAAATGGCGGCCATTTTTCAAATTTTTTTTCAAAATGGCCACCTTCTACTAAAAGTGTCATAGGATAGTGTGTCATGCTTTTAGTATTCACATACCAAATATGAACAAAATCGCTCCACTACTTTTCGAGTTATAGTAAAATACGTTAAAATGGCGGCCATTTTGAAAAATGGCCGCCTTCTACCAAAAGTGTCATTAGACAGTGTGCCATCCTTATAGTATTCACATACCAAATATGAACAAAATCGCTCCACTTCTTTTCGAGTTACAGCAAAAATTGTAAAATAACGAGTAAAGGCCGCCATTTTTCAAGATGGCTGCCATGTGCTTCTTTAATATCTACATTTCTAGCTTTATTTATGTCCTATATAATTTTTTTACATCTAAAACATATTGCTATTACAGTTTTACATATTGCACCTAAATTACTGTAAATTCGGCACTAAAATGGCCACCATTTTGAAATGAGCGACCATTTTGAAATTCGGCTTTTGAGCAGAACTTCTACTCCCATAGGGTATATGTGCACAAAATATGAACAAAATCGGGCCAACAGTATTTGAGTTATTGCCCGGACGGACGGACGGACGGACGTACGTACAGACGGACGGACGGAGGCGTTCCCTATATCCCTTCGAACGAACCTTTGCGGCTTTAGCTCCAGTAGGCAGCCAATCAGGGGTTGCATAGTGGACAGATTCAGATACAGAGTAACCACAACTGATGGTGGATGTATAAGACTCTGGGAACACAACGAGGAACTCCCTTGGTCTTTGTATACACTTTGTGATAGACACACCCTTAGATACAAGAGTATCAGGAGGTACCTGAAAAAAATACAGACTTTACGGGTTTCAGATTCACACACAAGGTACGCAACTGAGGACATTCAATACAATTTATAAATAAATCAAGGATCCAGGTTACTTTTCACCCATGCCATCTATCGGATAATGGGAGTAATACCCAGGGTGGCTCATGATCTTATTAATTTTCAATATGAAATATCTAAGAAAAATCTAGATAGTGACCTACATATTTGAGAGACATAACATGACATTCTATTACAGAGATAGAACAGCAATATGGCACTTTTTCAGTGTGATAAAAAATGTTGTTACCATGACAGTATCTTCTGGCAGCCATATTGGATCATCTGACAGAAGATTTGGAACGAGAGATTTCATAGCAACTTTGAACTTCTCAGTTTCTGGCTTAGGGATACAATTCCTGAAAATGAAAGGAATATTCAACTTAATCTAAAAATGCTATATAATCCAATTTAACACTCACTATCTGTTTGTAGAGCTCTCCTTATGGCACAGTCTCAAGACTAGAATTATTGGGGTCTATCAGAGTATTGTCCCATGAGTTTGGATTTTGACATTGCACTTCATCCGAGGAGTAGAGACTTGGTATACATTTTCTTGGTGTCAGGAATTTTTACTATATGTGCTATTATTGCTCCCATGTTGGGTAAAATGAATCGCTAGGTTACTACCTTGGTAAGGAATTTTTTTGTCAAAATTCCCACCCATTTATTTATGATAAATTTCTGAGACTTACCATATAACATCAGCACCAGAATGAGAATACACAACATAGGGCAGTAAGTGCGGATCTGTCGACCAACAGGAAGTACTGAACAACATGCCAACATGAATTGTGGGTACTGTGAGGCCACAGACAGGCCCCAGATGTCGTAAAACAGACCCAGAGTTCTGAGCAAGCTGAGTAAAGTTCCAACCATGCCTGAAGCCAAAACAAATAATGGATTTATTTAAAGTCTGCTTTTATATGAGAATACTTATATATGGGAGTAATTTCTAGAACATATGTGATCTGGCACCAGTTATTACTCCACTTTACATAATTATACATTTTCATATAGTTCTAATGAAATCTCTGATTCATATTCTGACTTAAGATAAGTGGAATGTTAGGGTGACATTGACAAACTTTGAAGATCAGAAAAATGCCAAATCTGCCTCTGCCTGTAGTCTGACTTATTAAGTGTATCATTTAAGTGGGTAAAGTGAAATTAAGTGTAACAGACATAATCCCAAAATCAGTGGCATAATACATTACTTACTTTGCAAATGGACTCTCCCGTTTTGAAGGAAACCCACTACCGCTTGTCGCTGTATCAATGTGTCCACATTGCACTACCAGATGGTTCAAGCGATCATGTGTTATCTTCCAGAATTCAGCCTCTACTACTTCAGGACTGGGGTCCTCTTTAAAATACATGGCCTGAATGTTCCTAGCTATCCGTTGGTATTCTTTCAATGACATTGATTTACCCTGAAAATTAAATGTTTTTTAAATACAATACATCCAGGGTAGATAAATATCTGTGACCATAGTATAAATATCATCAATTGTCAGGGTCTCATAGCTAAGGTTGATGACATTTTAACACAACAATTTAACATCCTGGCATTCAGTCCATTGCTCAATAGGCAACTCATTTTTCCAAGTTCATTGGCAAGAGTGAAAAAGGCATTAACATGACGAAAATGTCACCACCTAGTTTTCACAATATTTTAAGTCCAATCTTAAGTCAGATTTGAACTTCTGGGAACTTGTAGATGATTTTGAAAAAAAATTGGTCAATGTGAAGCAAGTTCAAAAATACCTTTTTTGACCTTGAAAAGGTCATTAAAGGTCAATCTTACAAACGCCAACTGCCAGACCCCAACCACTAACCGTCGTCACAAAAATGGAGAGCATAACAATATGTCACCACTTTTAGTAATTGACATTGGGAGCCTGGCAGCTGTGAGTTTTGAACCAGTATTAATTTTACCTTTAAACAACACTCATCTTCCTCATCCTTTATCTTCTTTCTCTTTTGTCTCTCTGCCAGGACCTGATGCTCTAACTTCAGCTTCTCATCCTTGGAAAGTGTGTCATATGATAGCAGATATTTACAGTAGGCGTCATAGAGTCTGGCTGGTCTGTCTTGGGACTGAAATATAAGGAGTTGAGGGCTCATCAGGGAGCATAACAGGAATTTCAATGCATATCAGTTAGCCGATTGCAGTATACTGTACATAAGCTCTTCTCAGTTTCAATTACAAGTTCACAATTCCGAAAGTAAATTAATTTTTCTTATTCATACAGACTATATTCATAGTTTATATTTCATAAGGCAGTGTGGGTCAAATTTTACATGTTTTAATTGTTATTTGCATAATTGTGGAAAAATATTACCAGTTTTTTCAATGGAATAATCTAAAAACATCCTAATTTTGGTAGTTTCAGAGAAGTTTTGATTTCATAAATATTACCAATTGTGATCATTGTGATTTTGTCTGTTCTAGATTGGTTTGATACTTCTGAATCTATAAATCTTACCAGTTTGGGTATTTTCAGAGCATCTGCGAGTTTATTGAATCCTTTCTTATTCTGAACATTCTGCAATCCTCCATGTTGTTGTAAAGTTTGAAGGAAATTCCACATGTCAAGTTCTATGCCACCAAACTAAACAAGATAAATCAAATTGAACAAAAAATTATTAATTTTGAAAAATATACCTAGTAAGTTTATACAAAATTGATGTATAGAATAAATAATTATTGAATATTAGAAGTATTTTTTTTAATTGTAATATGTTATAAGCTGTTTTCACTAAATGTGCAGACTAGTACCTTTTGAGATTTTGCAAATGTTTCCACATTTCATGTAACTTGGCCTATTTTCCTTGTTTTGCATGTTGTAAGAAATTCTACTAAAATGCCTGCATCATTTAGGTGAAACTTGGGAATGCAGTCTACCACAGAATATGAACACTTTAGATGGGTAATTCAACTATATTTAAAACAACTAAATTTGGACTAAAAATTAACACAATGAGTTGTTTCAGGTGAAACCTGTGCAAGTAAATACTTCAATATGTGAATACTACATGGGTTCAATTGTATTTCAAACAATTGAACTTAATCAAATAAGATACATAAAAGAACTTACCACAATGGGTTGCAGTTCTACACCTTGTGACTCCAAGTGCTTGCGAATACATTCTATCTTCTGTACATTTGGGCCCCATCTTTGATGAAGTTTGTGAACATGTTGGACTTGGCTAAAGAATCTCATATCTTCATTCAATTTAAACTCCGGCTAAAAATACAATACAAATTGCATATTCAGCATTTCATTAATAACTGCATTTACCATTACAATACAAAGTCTGAGTAAAGTTGAGACTTTATGGACACCTTGTACTTTAAACATGTACAAGTTGGAAGATTAGTTAGTACTGTAACTCTTTTGCATGTACAGTATTTGTTATATATTGTCGTCAATAAAATGTTCCAGAGATATTTTGCATGCATACAATAAGTATTTTCACTTTGCTCATTGTTCATTCAAGTTAACACAATAATCCTTGAATGTTGACAGACAGAGACAAGTGAGAGCTGAGCTGCATACAGACTGGGGAAAACTGCTCAAATTTCTCAGTTACAAGCTTGACCTATACAATGGGCTGAATGAACTGATATGGCAAAATTGTATACATTTTGTACAGATTTATCCAGTGAGGTTGGGAAATGTCATTAAATGCATCAAAGGAGAAGATGACCTACTCAATGACCTATTCTCATGAATTCAATGTAAGCAGGCTAATTTTCCATGTGATTTTTTCATTTGCTTTTTCAGTTATAAGATATTCTAAAGAAGCCCCTGGTTTCTAGACCTTTAGACCTAGAGATCCACCAGACCATGTTGACTGAAGGTGAAATCACAGAAATCGCAAGGTTAAATCAAGTACTAGGTCAATCAATAAGTTCATGAGTCACTTTCACTGGGCTAACAAACATACCTTCCAGCTAATAGGTGGCACTATTTTACACATGCCATATGGTTCCGCCTGGTGCTTAATTGCATTTATATACTCTATGGGATTCTGGAATTGCTCTTCACTGGGATAAAACTCTGGGACGTCAACAATCCGCGACGCTTCATTAGGTCCAGGAAATGGCCGACGTGGATAGGAAGGGGGGAGTTTCTGAGAGACAGGCTCCTTCTTTGCCTTGTTGAGACTACCTGATGGATAGAAAATTAATCTTTATTTATGATTTTAAGGTGACAATGGCACTAGTCCAAATACATTTTTTTCTCAAAAATTACTAGAGTATGAGCAAGTGGACACTTGCATCAGGTGCTCAATAAGATATACATATCTCAAATAATTCAGAACCCCGATTATATGTTTTTATTTGGTTAACAGTGCAAGCCACGAGAGTTAACAAAAAAAAACTTTTACCTGGGGGTCGGCCCCTCATTCTTCTGGAACTCTCCTCAGAACTACTCTGGGTTGCCGATGGTCTTGGTCTCAGGTGGGGTTCGTTTTTTATGTTTCCTCGTTGCACTTTTTTCTCTACTTTAGAATTATTTATCTGCTTGAGTTCCTTATCAGAATCAGATATCTCTTTTCCTGATTTCATTTGACGCTTTTTTAGCTTAAGTCTGTCCTTTTTTATTTTGAGATCATATTTTTCAGAAGATTTTGTGGTTTTTAGGGATTTTTTTCAGTTTTAGTTTTGACTTTGCTTTTACAATATCTAGTTGTAACAATTTCTTCTGTTTAGAAGGAGAATTCTCCCTCGATTGTAGGGATTTTGACTCATCAGTGTCACTACTAAGCGATTTTGACAATTTCTGAGATTTCATTAACCCTGATTTTGTAGGTGAACGTGATCGTTTATCTTTGCCTCTGGATTGTGACTCACTTATTCTATGTTTCTTTCTCTTTTTGAATATAATTTCCTGATCACTGTCACTTGCAAAACATTCTTCTATTAAATGTTTCCGCTTTTGACTGACTGTCTTTTCTTTCAGTTTTAACTTCTTCAGTTTTTCCCTTTCACGATGCATCTTTACTCTTTTTAGTTTTTCTTTTAATTTCTGCACAGTCTTCGCCATTCTCGGTGATTTTGGTGGCGACTTTGATGCTGAAGATGAGCTAGATTTTTCAACATCCATGGGGTAGACAGGTTGTAAATCAGGGGGATTCGAGCTCTTTCTAATGGTTTTTGGTGGGGTCACAGGAATAAGATCTGGCATTTTTGGTGAGCGCCCTCTTTTGGATTTTCTAGCAGGACTTGAGTGACCCGATCCACTTCTGACAGACTGAAAAAACAAAGAAATTTTGTCATCCCATCGAAATCATAATATGAAACTTAAAATGAGCAAGTTCATACTTTTAAATATTAAAAAAAACATATTGATTTCATATTTGTTCATGGTATCTTGGGCTAACTGGTTGTATGCAAAAATGCTTTTCACAGCTATATAATGTATTTTTACATGTTTTTATCCATAACAGTTATTTATAGATCACTATACATTCAGTAAACATCCAACAAATAACAATAAAATGTCACATTTAAGAACACATTACTAAAGAAACTGAATTATAACCACATTCCAACATATAATTACAAACAAATAGTCCAGAACATACAGAAATAGCACATCTTTTGGATAAGTGCATCAGCCATATGGTAATTAAAGTACAAAAGAGAAAATATGCATTTTAGTTATCATATATATCTCAAAGTCATAAAAGGATATGTCATTTTAATGTACGATGCAATAAATGGCAATGCCATGATCAAATGAGTGCATTTTTAATTGTAATTTTAAAAGTGTTACGGAATTTTTCAGAAAGGTTGAGTGCCAATTAGAAAAGCAGACACCTATCAATTATCTCAATGGCAGAGCATTATAATAATAAAAATCACTTTTATGCCATAAATCTGAATGTTTCAATACATTGGGAAACAGAAATTAAACATTAATAAATAACATAAGACCTGTGAGTTAAGATGAATTTAACATTACTTTTTTTGCCATGCATAAATTGAACATTTTTTTAAAATATGGTCATGCTCATATTTATCTACATTTCCCAAATGGAGATTGTAGTCTTACAGATATACTGGGGATACATGAACTATAAACAATATGTACACAGCTATATAGCATCCATTCACAGCTGGGTCCACATACATGTACAGCATACAGCAAGATGAATTTTGTTTGTTTTATCATGCCAAGGTCTAAATAAATATGAATATAGCCGATAAGTGAACAGAAATAATGAAAACATTTAACATCAAACAAAAGTAACAGCCTTTATCAATGAATTTAAGACACTGAAGAACATGCAGGGGGTATGAAAGAACCTTGTAAAAGCCTGGAGCCATAACAGAGGGAGGAAGAGGGAACAGCTCCGAAGCAGATAGAGGAAGACATGGGGCCTTTGCACGTGAGAAGTATGGGACAACTCGGGCACAGTCTGTGTTACAGGCACCAGATGTCATGTCAGTAGGAGAGCCGACACTGGTTGTCGTAGCAACGCTTGTTGTCAGGTTCTACAAAACAATGGAAAGTGAAAATAACCAACAAATGTTGTTTTGTTCTAATATTCCTACTCATGCAGAAATTGCAGTAAATGTAGAGGCTTGGACACTTTCTACTAATAAGAGTAATAAGAATTGTTCACTAATTCAAACCTAGATGACCTGCAGTGACAAAATCAGCACTTAAATATTAGTAAACAAGGCATTAACATGCAAAATGTCACCACCTGCCATTTGTTACAGATACTGAATGCCAGATGCTGGACGGCAACCGCCATCACAAAAAATGAAGAGATAACAATATGTCACAACTTTTGGTGGTGACATAATAATTAAATTAGAGAGACAGAGAAGATGGTGAATTATTTAAAATAATCCAATTGCTCAAAAGTTAGTATGGGGTAAGGATATATCTTATGGCTAAAGATTGAATAAAGTACAAAATAGTTTATAAATTTCAGAAAGGCTCAAAAAATGCATATTCATGTGAATGCACGTACCAATGGCTTAACCCCCAAATCACTGAGGTCGCCTATATCACTACTGCTCTTAGAGGTTGCAGGAGAACCTTGTCGTGAGCGCCGTTTGTGGCCACTAGATTTCCTGCTAGGTGGAGGCGTGTCTACCACAGATTCGTTGTTAAAAATCATGTCGGTGAAGTCCAAGTGTTTGGGTAGTGCATCTGTACCTAGAAGTAATTTAAGTCGGAGAGTTAGATAGGTGAAGCACAAAACTCAAAAACCAATTAAATGCCATTAAACCATTAAAAAAATCGTCGGTGATCAAACATACTCAAATAGTACATTAAGATTTTTACATTCATCTAATCATAAAACACCATGATTTTAGGATGTTCATTTCAAATTGGACAGATGTTTTACAGAATCAATAATTATTACTATTTTAATTGATCCCAAGGTTTACTTTTCAAATGATTTGTGAAAAGCATTACTTAAACAATGCCAATTTGTATGAATTAATCAATAAAAAATATCATTAATATTATATTTCTAAAATAAGACATTAACCTATATAAATTACATCAAATGAATACATCTCCATGATCTATGACAACAAACCTTTTGTGAACCTATACAACCAATATGGCGACTGGTGGCCAAAATGTATTTATACATTTACTTTTCTAAAAAAAAACTGAAAAAGGTCAAATTTGAAATTTTCAAGGTCAAATTTCAACTTGATCTAAATTGACCAAACTTTTTTTTAAATAACATCTACAAGTTCTCAGGATTCCAAATCTGGCCTTACTTTTGACCTTTGACCTTTGGTTGACCTTCAGTGACCTTCGAAAGGTAAAAAATACAAACCTCTCAAACATAAGAATGTTAGGAAATCAGCTGTATTGATCAACTTTGAAGATGTATTGATGCTGCTGTTAGATACATTCCCTGGGGTTGCCATGGCCTTCTGAGGGGTAGTAGAGGGGGTCAGGTTCCTGGGGGTGAGGCTCCTGGGGGTCGTACTAGGGCTACATGGACGTGATGACCCCTGAGCGAACTTCCGCTGGGCATGGATCAGTGGTGATCTGAAATATGACCTATGAATACAAGAGCGTATTATTATCTAGCTAAGCAAGCAGCGGAAATATAGGTGCATTATACAGCCAATATAATTATCTCAGTCTAATAAGCTTAATTCTCATGCCCGTAGCCAACTTTTATTCAGAGGCAAATAATTATTCAAGAGAAGGGGCAAGAATTTATTAAGGAGAGTGGCAAAAGTTTATTCAAGAAAGGGGAAAACAGTTATGCAGGAAAGTGGGTAACATATATTCTTGAAAGGGGGCAAGCATTAATTCAAGAGAGGGGGCGAGCATTTATTCAAGAGAGGGGGCAAGCATTTATTCAAGAGAGGGGGCAAACATTTATGCAGAAGAGGGGCCAAATAAGTATTCAGGAGAGGGGGCAAGCATTTATTCTGGAAAGGGGGCAACACTAACTCAGGAGAGGGGGCAAGCATTTATTCAAAGGAGAAGGCAAACATTTATGCAGGAAAGTGGGCAACATTTATTCTTGAAAGGGGGCAAGCATTAATTCAGGGAGGAGGCAAGCATTTATTCAAGAGAGGGGGCAAGCATTTATTCAAGAGAGGGGCTAACATTTATGCAGAAGATGGGGCAAATATGTATTCAGGAGAGGAGGGCAACATTTATTTTGGAAAGGGGGCAACATTAACTCAGGAAAAGGGGCAAGCATTAGTTCAATCGAGGGGGCAAATATGTATTTAGGAGAGAAGGCAAACATTTATTCAAGATGGCACAGATTTATTTAGAAGATGAGGCAAAAAATAAATTCAGAAAAGGGTAAGGATTTATTCAGGAAGTCTAATTCAAGTGAGTGAGCACAAATTGGCCAGTTTAATATAAATAAATTTTAATTAAATATTTCAGATCGAAAGTAGGCATTATAATTTTGTAGATTAGTTTGCAAATTGATAAAATATAGCATGTTTTGTAAGATATAGAAAGAAAGGATACTTTGAACACAAAATTGTATGTGATCAATAAATAAAGTGACTTATTAAAAGTGACTACATGATTAATCTACTGTATAAATCTATTTTATCAGCTAGCGAAGTATTTGCAATACAATCTACAAATGTCACAAAACTAAACTAGGTTTAATACCCCTAAATCTAATATGCTTCATGATTATAATATATTTATAGTAATTTTCTAATATATTCAATTTCTATTTATTCAAATCAACTAATAGACATACTTCTTAGCTGCGCCATCTGACTCATTCCCAGATTTCCCAGCCTCTGTTTTCATTTTATCTTTTGGCGTTGAGTACCCATGTCGCACTGGGTCATCCTTCATATGCAGGGGATCAGAATTATCCCTACTGGGAGAGAGCTTTACAGGGGTTGTCTCAGATTTACAATGCCTGGAGAGTGATTTCCTTGGAACACCAGGCATTTCTGATGATTCAATGTTTCTGGCTGGAGAATGCGAGATAAATCTTGAATCAATTGTGGCGTTTTTAAATTCTTGGAATGTATGACTTTCAACTGGATTTGGCGATTGAGATCTTGAATCGGGGGAGCGTGTTTCTTGTAGTGATGCGTAGAGGGCTTTGTTCAGTTCTTTTTCTTCGATCCTCGACAGACCCGCTGTGGATTCCTGAAAATACAAAAATCATGTCTAAATATGTCTAAAATGTATGTTCCTACTTTTTCTATCAATATTCCATAATGAACGAGCAAATTGTTAGTTCAAATTCTCTCTGCCAGGTGTTCTGAATCAAGAAATTCTAAGATTACAAAGGTGAATGTCTGCCTTTTCAAGTCTAACTGGTGCTTTAAGACATATCCTGTAACCATATTTTTTAAGAAAACAGGTATGAAGATGAAGAAGTAAGGGTAATACAAGTTCATGATTTCTCCTACACGACATGTTGCCACTTTAAGCTTCTGAACTGTCCAGATCAAAGGCTTAAGGCCAATAGAAATAATTGTAAATAAAGAAGGGAGGGCAATCAATCAATGTTTATCTACTTCAGCAGCCATCTTTATATCGGCCCAAAACCTATATGGTCCAGATCATTAAGCTCCCATTTTAAAGACTATGTCCTCAAATTGATGTTAAATATTGGTGACTTACAAGGGCTTTTGGAATGATGATTCTCTTAGGCCTGTTAGCAAGAAGTGTCTCTACAGGTGATACTGGGCTTTCCTTGCTACCACTTGGACTTGACATAACAGGACTTGCACTGAAAACATTATACATGTATTTACAAGTGATACTGGGCTTTCCTTGCTACCACTTGGACTGGACATAACAGGACTTGCACTGAAAACATTATACATGTATTTACAGGTGATACTGGGCTTTCCTTGCTACCACTTGGACTTGACATAACAGGACTTGCACTGAAAACACATTATACATGTATTTACAGGTGATAATGGGCTTTCCTTGCTACCACTTGGACTGGACATAACAGGACTTGCACTGAAAACATTATACATGTATTTACAGGTGATACTTGGCTTTCCTTGCTACCACTTGGACTGGACATAACAGGACTTGCACTGAAAACATTATACATGTATTTACAGGTGATAATGGGCTTTCCTTGCTACCACTTGGACTGGACATAACAGGACTTGCACTGAAAACATTATACATGTATTTACAGGTGATAATGGGCTTTCCTTGCTACCACTTGGACTTGACATAACAGGACTTGCACTGAAAACATTATACATGTATTTACAGGTGATAATGGGATTTCCTTGCTACCACTTGGACTTGACATAACAGGACTTGCACTGAAAACATTATACATGTATTTACAGGTGATACTTGGCTTTCCTTGCTACCACTTGGACTTGACATAACAGGACTTGCACTGAAAACACATTATACATGTATTTACAAGTGATACTGGGCTTTCCTTGCTACCACTTGGACTGGACATAACAGGACTTGCACTGAAAACACATTATACATGTATTTACAGGTGATACTGGGCTTTCCTTGCTACCACTTGGACTGGACATAACAGGACTTGCACTGAAAACACATTATACATGTATTTACAGGTGATACTGGGCTTTCCTTGCTACCACTTGGACTGGACATAACAGGACTTGCACTGAAAACACATTATACATGTATTTACAGGTGATACTGGGCTTTCCTTGCTACCACTTGGACTGGACATAACAGGACTTGCACTGAAAACATTATACATGTATTTACAGGTGATACTTGGCTTTCCTTGCTACCACTTGGACTGGACATAACAGGACTTGCACTGAAAACATTATACATGTATTTACAGGTGATACTTGGCTTTCCTTGCTACCACTTGGACTGGACATAACAGGACTTGCACTGAAAACATTATACATGTATTTACAGGTGATACTTGGCTTTCCTTGCTACCACTTGGACTTGACATAACAGGACTTGCACTGAAAAACATTATATTATCATAGAACAAAGAATGTATATTGCAGGGTTGATACTTGATAGTTATTGTGTGTGCGCTATTCTAAAATTTAACCAGAACAACGCCAACGCCAAAGCGTAGCGAATCCCATCGAACAGAAATGGCTGGCATTTTTACAAACGAAGCGCAAATATCATAAAACAACACACCAGAAAGGCCACCATTTTCAAAATGGTTGCTCACTAGCCAAGTTGTCATCAGAAGAAATAATATGCTTTTAAGTAGCCACCTCTAAAATTTTTTGAAAAATCGCACACGTACTTGTAAAATAACACACGTAAAAATGGTGGCCATTTTTCAAAATGGCCGAAAATGGCCGACTACTCCCCAAAGTTTTATTAAACAATGTGCCATGCTTAAAGTATTCACATATCAAATATGAACAAAATCGCTCCACCACTTTTCGAGTTATAGTAAAATACGTTAAAATGGCGGCCATTTTTCAAAATGGCCACCTTCTACCAAAAGCGTCATTAGAAATAGACGGTGTTCCATGCTTATAGTATTTACATACCAAATATGAACAAAATCGCTCCACTACTTTTCGAGTATTAGTAAAATACGTTAAAATGGAGGCCATTTTTCAAAATTGTTTTCAAAATGGCCGCCTTCTACCAAAAGTGTCATAGGACAGTGTGCCATGCTTATAGTATTCACATACCAAATATGAACAAAATCGCTCCACTACTTTTCGAGTTATAGTAAAATACATTAAAATGGCGGCCATTTTTCAAAATATTTTTCAAAATGGCCGCCTTCTACCAAAAGTGTCATAGGACAGTGTGCCATGCTTATAGTATTCACATACCAAATATGAACAAAATCGATCCACTACTTTTCGAGTTATAGTAAAATACGTTAAAATGGCGGCCATTTTTCAAAATGGCTGCCTTCTACCAAAAGTGTCTTTAGACAGTGTGCAATGCTTATAGTATTCACACACCAAATATGAACAAAATCGCTCCACTTTTTTTTTGAGTTACAGCAAAAATCGTAAAATGACGAGTAAAGGCCGCTATTTTTCAAGATGGCTGCCATGTGCTTTTTAATATCTACATTTGTAGCATTATTAATGTCCTTTATAATTTTTTTTACATTTAAAACATATTGCTATTACAGTTTTACATATTGCACCTAAATTACTGTAAAATCGTCACTAAAATGGCCGCCATTTTGAAATGAGCGGCCATTTTGAAAATCGGCTTTCGAGCAGAACTTCTACCCCCATAGGGTATATGTGTACGAAATATGAACAAAATCGGGCCAACGGTATTTGAGTTATTGCCCGGACGGACGGACGGACAGACGGACGGACGTACGGACGGACGGAGGCGTTCCCTATATCCCTCCGAACTTTGTTCGATGGGATAATAAATTATATAAAATCTAAAATTAGAAAATCATGAGCTATCTTTAGTCTGATTAGTCAAATTGGATTGTGAAAAGCAAAAGTCTGTAAGTATCTAAGAACATCTCATGATCACTCAATAAATTTTTGATGAAGTCAAAACATGTGAAAATAATCAATACAATCATGTCAATCATTAATTATCGCAACGTGGACTGCTTGCTCATGAAAACCTTTTTGATATACACCCGTTGTGGATGACCATTCCTTAACGATTCACTTAACGATTCGCAGCACCACACTCTATTTAGCTCCCTCCACACCCTATTGGCAAATCATGACTGTTTCCAGTCTAAACTTGACTGGATATACAATAATAGCATGTAAAAAGGATAAAACATAACATAAATATGATTTATCACGATTGAACCGTTATTCTGAAGATGCTAGCACCACACCCTAAATATTTCCCTGTGAGAGCCCTGTACACCCATTATGGATGACCATTCCTTAATGATTCACTACATGGACTGCTTGCTCATAAAAACCTAAACACGCATTGTGGATGACCATTCCTTATTAAGATTATGATTACTCTGGAAAATTACAAATGCATCAATCATCAATGCTCCATTGGGACATAAGTTATTAACTTACTTCTGCAACAACTCTCAGTTTTGCACCTTAAAATGTATATCTTCACAACTCTTGGAGGTTGCTGTCAGACCCTTATTTGATAGTTTCATATATCACTCATGGTGTACATGTGCAAATATTATATAAGCCTACAATACAGTCATACCTTCTTCGAGATTTCCCTCGTTTATTCTTCACAGTTATGGTATCATTTGATCTTGACCGTCTTTCCCTTGATATGCACACAGTCTCGTCCTTAAGTGTCCCTCTACCACGCCTGTAATCCGAATCAGCTTCTTTTGATCGTAAATTTATTTTTGAGTCTTCAGGTCTAGTGACTTCAGGATGAGCTTTCTCCCCTTTAGAATCACTCTTTTCTTCTCCAGATTGCGCCGTCCTTTGAACGTAAGACAAGAACTCTGACTGGAACTCTGTGAATAGGATAAGTTTATTAGTATATTTAAAGCTTAAGCCATTAGGTCGATCAGCACAATGAAAACAATTGATGGATTTTATCTTGTAGTGACGTCACAAGGCCACATTCTGTATAGCTTTTTGATTTTGAGAGATTATCTTCTGCATTTCATACTTTATTGATTTATTTTTCATGAAAGTATGATGTTTGACCAGATCAACATTCATTCTAAGCACAGGCCGAGTCTTAGTTCTTAATGATATGATTGAGATAGCAGTTAAGCGCCCCCAAATTATGAAAAAATCGATTTTGTCAATACTTCACCCATGATCTAGTAGAATTGACATACCTAGTAAAAATCAGACATACTAAATACCAGCGAAGGACATGAGTAAAAGACTTAAAGTAGTGGCGTAATTTGCCTTCTACAAATAGTATTTGCCTTTCACTAAAAAGATGGATTGGGGCTCTCTTATAGAATAGGCATCAAGAAGGGAATGGATAGAATTAGAGATGATGATGACTCATTTTAAAGAGTAGGTACTAAGAATGGGTAAAGCTGGGCATTCAGAGGATTTCAGAAACAGGTTGAATCACCATAACATGAAGTTTAGAGTAAATACCAAGATTCATATGAATATGTGGTGCGAAGCACCATGACATGCAAAGTTGATGGTAAAGACACGATCTTATGAATAGGTGGTGCGGAGCGTCATAACTGAGTACTTTGTATGAATTTGGGCAATAACAGGGTATGTTCATCAAAACATATTGAATTTCCTTTCTGATTGCATATATTCAGCTTTTGTACAAAACAGAATAAGTATGAGCGACTCCTGATGCCACAAACTAGAAGTTAAGAACATCTTTCAAGGTAACCTAAAATAAAAAATAAAGATTTCAGCTCAAAATTGACACATGTTCGCCGTTTCGTCTCTCCATCATGTCTAATATTATTTTCATATGATGTACACAAATAAGATGAAATACATAATGACAGTATCCATAAACAAACTAGATGATGGCAACTCCGCGGAGTAGCAAATCCCAACGAACAAAATATCAATTACCGAATTTCAATCAATTATACTCATTACTTTGGTTAAAATTGAAAAATTTAGATTTTAGAATTGCAAATTCCTGCAAAGCAGCCATTTTGAATTTTCTGAGGTACAAATCTGAAAAATAATACCATAATTGTGATCTACTCCAAAATTCCTTCAATTTGAGTATTATATAGCCATACGTTGAAGGGATCGAAAAATTATTGCGAAATCGTACATTAGACGGCCATTTGAATTTTACGAGGCTCGAATCAGAAAAAAGATACAATATTTGCAATCTACTCTTAATTGCCTTTGATTTGAGTATAATAAAGCTATACTTCAGAAAGATCTAAAAATTAGCGAAAATTTCTGTTTTCCTGACTACACGGCCCCTGGGGGTCAGGATGAAAAACACTGAATATATGTGGAATAGATAGATGTTGCGAATATACTACCAAAATTTCAAACAATAATATTAATTACTTTGGTTTAGAATGAAAAATTTATGATTTTTGCGAAAAAGTCCGGCCATTTTTAAAGCGGCGACCATCTTGAAAAAATCCATTTTGAATTTTCTGAGGTACAAATCTGAAAAATAATACCATAATAACGCAGATGCGAGTAGGTAGTTACCAGTTTCGCCACCAGGTGGCTCGTTCGGGTCAGATAACATGGCGGGTATAGTAGAAAGTTCCCTTTAACTTAAATTACATCTGTTTTAGTGATTCAATTTTCATATAACCCTTATGTATCTAATAGTTATGCAAATTAAAATATGTCCAGTAAAAGAAAATGTTATCTGTCCAATACAAGAAAAGATATTTCACTTTTTGTGATTTTGTAACATGGGGTCTATGAGGAATCAACCCGAGCTCAAAAAAATTAAATTTTCAAAGTTGATAAAAAATTTCGAAACCGTTTTTCTAGATGTACTTTTACATGTAGATTTCAAATATGACATCACTTTGACTGAATTTTGAATATTTAATGGCGTAAATCAAGATTATTTCTATTCGCATCTAGTCTATTGTGATCTACTCCAAAATTCCTTCAATTTGAGTATTATATACACAGGCTGGTATCGAAAGATTTGTCCGCTGTGACGGAGCATGCTATTTTTCATAAAAACACTAAGAATGCTTCACGATTTATTTTTTAACTCATATGTTTCGTTATATCAAAGATAATTACTTACTCCATGCAATGGATATATCATTTGCGTGTAACCTTCACTTCTGTTTGAAGTCCAATAACGCTAGGAGTAAAATCTATTGAAAACGGCGACAGAGTATCAAACTCTAAAATGTACCATTTCTTTTTTTACTTTTTAATGGCATGATATAGTGACACGATAATATAAACATATGTTTTGAGCATAACTCTGAATGTATTAATGAGATATTAATGCATTGGGTCTTTTAAATTTTTTTATAAAAAATAATATTAATATTTTTTGTCCGCTGTGACGGAGCATTTTCACAGTTCAAATTTGCAACTGCTCCGTCAAAGCGGACAAAAAAATTAAACATTATCTTTTATAAAATAATTAAAAAGACCAAATACATCAACATCTCATTTATACCTTCATAGTTATTCTGAAACATGATGTGTAAATATTATCGTGTCACTATATCGTGCCATTAGAAAGTTAAACAAGAAATGGTACATTTTGAAGTATGATACTCCGGCGCCATTTTCAATAGCTTTTCTTCCCAGCGTAATTGGACTTCAAACATAAGTGAAAGTTACCCGCAAATGATATATCCATTGCATGGAGTAAGTCATTTTGTATGGTATAACGAAACATATGAGTTAAAAAATAAATCGTGAAGTACTCTTAGTGTTTTTTATGAAAAATAGCATGCTCCGTCACAGCGGACAAATATTTCGATACCAGCCTGTGATATAGCCATACTTTGAAGGGATCGAAAAATTATTGCGAAATCGTACATTAGACGGCCATTTTGAATTTTACGAGGCTCGAATCAGAAAACAGATACAATATTTGCAATCTACTCTTAATTGCCTTTCATTTGAGTATAATAAAGCTATACTTCAGAAAGATCTAAAAATTAGCGAAAATTTCTGTTTTCCTGACCCCCCATACACGATGAAAAACATGGAATATATGTGAAATAGATAGATGTTGCGAATATACTACCAAAATTTCAAACAATAATATTAATTACTTTGGTTTAGAATGAAAAACTTATGATTTTTGCGAAAAAGTCCCGTCATTTTTAAAGCGGCGGCCATCTTGAAAAAATTTTTTTTGCGTAAAACTATTCATCAATATACATCTTTCCACCAAATATGAAGAAAATCCGTCAACTAATATTTGAGTTATCTTCCGGACGGACGGACTGACGGACTAACGGACGGAGGGCTTCACTATATCCCTACCGAACTTCGTTCGTTGGGATAAAAACACAATTCTTATTGCAAATGGTCAATTGATGACAATTCTAGTCTAATCCAAGAAAACAAATCGAAATAAAATGACTGATGCTTATGCTTGCATGATATCTAGATCTAACTGATCAACTAAGATGATTTGAACGTGAAATGTACTTCTCATACTGAAGCATTTTAAAATGACGGAACTTTTAGGGTTTACCAAATTTTAACGTTCTTTAGCATAAACCGAAAGTGAAAATGAATCGAATCTCAGAAAACAACAAAGACGAATTTCCTTTAGAAATTGAACTCGTATTTTTAGATATATCACAGCATCTACGATGAGTTATATCAGTCTAAATTTATACTTTATACATACCTCGACTCATGGGAATTGTGTTTATCGTGCTTTTTGTTCTATTTTAGCAGAGGATGAGTGTTATTTTGAGAGTCCAAACAAAAACAAATGCACGTGAAAAATGGAAGTTCAATTTGTGAACATTTGGCGAACAACACAAATACTTCTTGTCTAAAAAACATTTCATTGTTCATGAATAGTATCATTATGATTCATAAATGTTATTTTACAGCTAGGTTGCTAGTCTACTAGTCAAAATTGTCTATTTATATTGAAAAATAAATTACGTCGCCAGAAATTGACTCTATTATCACCCACCATAAAAGCCACGTCAGTTTTTTTAGTTTCAAAATTTTGCACAATCATTGGATTTATACGTATTACAGCAGTTCTATAGCTACAACAACAGTAAATCTTATATACGGTAGTTCCATTCTACCCTAAGAACAATGGCACAGAGTGATATAGGCGATTGGTACCGTGGTATACCACAAATAACTCGGTACTGGTTCACTGCTTCTGTTGTTTTTCCTCTGGCTGGAAAAATTGGACTTTTTGCTCCATTGACTATGATACTGAAATATGAGTGGGTCGTTCATCATTTCCAGGTAGAGTATTAATTGTTTTTACAGTCTGCTAAGGTCCAGGCTCAGAAACAACAATTCATCTGGGTCATCCCACAGTCAGCACTACAGTGAGTAGTTCAACGTCGTTAAACTCAATAACGCGTTATTAATTATTAAGAATTTTCTTGGGGCCATTATTGAGTTTAACCTCTTTACTATTCTTTCCATTGATGCAAGTTTTGGATCCACCGAAACCATTTTTCCGCGATAACATGCAACTGATACTTGACAACAATATAAAAACACATAACATCAAGCGATTCAACACAATATTATTGTATTAAATGGTCATTTATACAAGTAAAATGAGGTTAAACTTACCAATCTCTAAAATGACATTTCCGCATGTCCGGCATTGTGTCTGTTCGTCCCGGGTTAAAATTTAAACTATTGAAACGAAATTGTTGTCAAATAGATTGATAATTATCACGCGATTACTCGGGATAAAATAACCATTTTTGAGGATAGCAGGTATCTTTGATTGATTTATATAGCGCTTGTATACACACAAAATCGTTATTAATTGCAAACCTACTGTTCGTTGATGCAGTGTTGCAATGACGGTTAATTCCTGATACGATTTGCAATTTCGATGTTACCGGAGCTGACCGATATTTTCGTAAAATTCCAAACCTGTCTCCAATATTTTCGTAATTATGCATCAATATGGTCTAAGGGGGGTACGGGATGGTGTGTATGTATTTATAAGGTATGTATGCATGCTTGAATCACATTCTTTATGTAATATTACCATGTTTTCGGAGTTTAATTAGTTCCGCATGTCGAAACCTGCTGAACGATTAAATGATCGCATCAAGGGCAAAATCATCATGGAAGTTAGACCTAGCCGGGCCATAAGACATGTCAGATAAGAAACGAGGCCCAGGCTAGGTCTAATGTTGTTGGACTATACAGTGAGGGGCATAAAGAATTACAAAACCTATGGAAATTACATGTTGTCGCATATGTAATAAATTCTTACCTCAGTGTATTCAGTGCTCTATTTTCTCCGTCATAGTAAGTCCAGATATAGTGGAATTTGTGTCCATAATGACAAATAAGAACTTAAAAATTTGATGTGGAATTCACATGTTAATGCCGACTCTTCAAATGTTGAGGTGATTTTGGAGCCAGATTACGCCGCAATGTGGGTTGGCTCCCAGAATGCAACATGACACGTGTCAGCTTTCAAAATGCCATTCCGCCGTTTTGAAATACGTCACGAATAAATAAGGTTACTTGATGTTGCATTCTGGGAGTCAATCCTCCTTGGATCACAAACATGGCGATTCATGAAAACATTAGTCCGATTTGGTAGGGATTTATCCATCATTTGCAGGTATGAGGCTTTGGATTCATTTATTGTGCTATTTAAAGTGGATGGGAATTATTTTTCTACCACTTGGGAGAGTTTGAGAGATGAAACTTAGAATTTAGCTCATTGTGACAACTTTTGAGGGTTGAGATTTATTTTTGTCCCCCACTTTATCAATGGTATATTCTAAAAGTGAATAGATCTCTAATAAATAGAGGAAAGTCCACAAGGCATTTGTGACAATATTTTCCGGAAGTGTTATATTTCCATTTATCGTTCAAACTGTGACATTTATGCTAATAATTCGACATGTATATGATTCTTACATATCCAATACGATAAAAAACGTTACTACAGTTGGGGACAAAAATAAATGACAGGTCGATTTTCGATCACCATTTCCAAATTATGGTGGTCTGAAAGCCCATAATTTCCAATATTGTCTAGATACATATCCCTTAAAATTTGTATATTTTACATTTTGTATAATCTCATCCACTGATTTATGGCCTCTTGTAAATTCTCTTATTTTTAACATGGGAAATCCTCACTTCAACAAATCCACCTGTCATTTATTTATGTCCCCAACTGTAACATACCAAATGAAAGGTGATTTCCTGGTAAAACTTGCAAAAGTTGGTCCAAATTCACACTCGAACCGTCCACTTCCTCCAATGGCGCATGCACAGCCCGATGTAAAAAATTAAACCTATCTGATTGGTTGTTGTTGTAAACAGTGTGAGTTTTAAAAATGGAGGTGTCACTACGGTAAATCATTGAAAAATATTGAAAAAATCACAAAATTCAAGTTCTGGGCTACATATCGCCATTTTCGAATGAACTGGCCCATACAATGACTATCCATAACCTTCATCTTTACACTATATTTAACATAGGGTTTGCGACTCGATTTTTAAATATCACTACGCCAACATAGGGACTCATTTTTAGGTAAAATCCCTGCTTCACCGATGAAAATTAACGAAAAAAAGTAGTTCCAGTTTATGGGACTATATTCTTGCGATTTTATTCTAAAAATGGCACATTTAGAAAGTACTTGGCCTCAGCTTTACATACATACCTCAAATGGCCACAATGCATAATACTTAAACCTACTATACACAGTGACACCATTGAAGTTGGCATGGCTTCGTTTTTAAAGTATTAAAAACCCGGAAGTGGTATTTACCGTAATAACACCTTAATATCCAAAAATGGCAAAATTTTACTATCATAATTTTTGCTCATTCAGCATTTTTTCAAACAATTGAGTTATTTCAGGCTCAAAACAGCTGCATTTCAAACTTTTAACACGTTTTCTACAAAATCTAGCCATATTTGGGGAAATAGGTGAAGGCTGAGTCTCTAAAAACCGGCCAAAATGACCTAAAATTGGGCCATCAACTTCAGGGATCTCATTCAAAAATTTTGGAAGCAAATTCCCCGAGATTATTTCATTTTGTAAATCATTATAGCAATGCATTTCAAGTATTACACAGAATGTACTGAAATGTAGGTTACTAAATGCAAATATTTTGAGTCAAATGTGGTCCCCATGTGCAAAATTGGCCCTTTTCTCCCCCTTTACGCCAGTTAGGCCCCAGTGTATTGTGACATCATACTCATGCCATTGCTACAATGTAGCAATTTACAAATTAATCATGATTACTCCTCCTGTGGTAGTTGAACACTGTTTTTGCATCACGATATTCCCCAGTGTGTTGACTGATTACACGTCAGCTTACTTAGTTACTTACTAAGTACGCAATAACCACCGTCAAAGACCTGCCGGCACCTATTTTTTGGGCTGGTGATGGAATATTACAAGGGCAATACGAGAAGAATTCAATTTTTCAGAATTTCATAATAATTATAGGAGATCTTACGGTAGTTTGAACAAGAACACTGTTATTTCCAGCAAAAATATGGTAGATTTTCAAATATTTACGGTATATTTTATGGCCGTTCTTATAGAAAAAATCGAATGATAATAAAATATTTTACGGTAGATTTTGGTAAAGTTACAGCAAATATTTTACGGTCGTTTTTACAGGAAAAAACTGTAATTTTTTTATGGTATTTAGATTTTTTAACGGAAAAACGAATATTTTTTGGTTGATTCCCGTAAAAATATGGTAGGTTGGCTGGTATGAGTTACCATGGCAACTGTGGAAATGGGTAAAAAATGAAAGCAAAAAACACCCAGACCCGCCATAATGGCACTAATTTTCAAAATATTTCGAGACATACAATTTTTTTTCCACTTTGATATCGTCTAGAACACTTCGAGACAACAAAAATATCAAAAATTGTTGGAAGGTTTATCACTTAAATTTTTTGCAAGCCTTGGTCAAAGTAAAACTACGAAAAAAGCACTCATTTTCACTTTAGAATCACCTATTATCGCCCAAATGGCTATATGTTGTCAAGGTCGCCATGTTAAAAGTAAAATTACGGAGCTAGATCTGCTCTTCAGACAATGTTTGATAGCTTTCCTTTACCATGGAACAAAGATCTTTGCACTGGCAACACTGGTATGCCCATTTCCATGAGATAATGCACGTGAAAGAGGAACAGTGTCTTTAAATGTCATCAAAACTTTTTCGCACTACTTTTGGTGTAATAATACCATCTGATTGATTGTTGGTGTAAACAGTGAGTCGGGATTCCCGGGATTTGGGCTTTAGGATACGATTTTACACTGAACGGAATGTATCGACGCAGTTGTGAAACAAAAATGGCGAACAGTTTTTGAACTTCTGTATTTATCTAAAGGTAGAGAATACCATTGATAGTGCTGACTTTGATCTCCCCCCACTTTACACCAGTGAGTATGTTTATATCCAAGTGAGTAGGGGGTGAACTTATTGTGATTATTCGAACCTCCATAGCATTTCTCGGAATGTAGTGAGCAAACGGGGCTTGAGCTAAGTGTCAGTCTGTCATGACCAAGATTCACAGAACAGACTGGCTGTTACCTACATGTACATGTATCACGGTGACCAAGAGTTAACAGTGCAAATCGGCCCGGTCGTGTTTTTTTAAACTCTTTAGTCGTGTTTTGTTGAAAATTTGAGAGGTAGGTTGATAAATTTGGTCATGAAATTGCTGTCACTTGACTTTATGTAAAAGTAGGTAATTTATATTGCTTTCCATACTATATATCTTAACTTCAGGTATTCGTAAACGTGTTATTTGCACGAATCGTATGCTATAGTCTTGTTATATCGGGAAATGAGCAATTCTGTCAGTGTTATACATATTTTTGCCTGAAAATCACTTGCCTGACTTGTATTCAATGAATACATCGATTCATAAGGAAAGCATTCACAATATGTGCGAAAATCAAAAGTTAGAAGAGCTTAAATAAGTAGCAATTGACCGAATAATATTTTTTAGATTAAACTCTTTAGACGTGTTGAAAAGATTGCGGTTAATGACGTTGACCTGTTAGTGAAACGTTCTAGAAGTGTAGAGACATTGAGGTTTAACGTTTTGGAAGTGGGAAACAGCACAATTAACATTATGTATTTCCCAAAAAATGATCACAATGTGGAAGAAGTTGTTGTCTGAGTGACACTATTTTAATTATAAATGATTAACAATAATCAAATGTACGACATAATATGTCAAGATTGATCTATGGGATCACTACCGAATTTGATAC